GCTCCATTACCTCACGAGACAAGGGTGCAGCGCCCGAGGTGACATATCGGACATGACTAAAATCGCAACTCTTGACAGCTGGATGCTAAATAAATGGAAAACACAAATAGGTGAGACCCGATCATTCCGGAATTACGACTTACCGACCTTGCATAATTGTACAAGTTGTGGGGGGACCAACCTTAAGTCTTGTTCAGTCGAGGTCAAAGAAAGCTAAGGACGACGCACATAAGATGGGTAATGTGGTGCCTGGTTATACTCTTCAAAAAGTCCAGAAAGTTATATTTTGCTGTTAAGACAACCGTCATCTGGATGTGCTTCAGTCAGTGTACAACTGCAGATTCGAAGGTATATCGACGCACTCCGCAGAAAAGGGCAAAATGTGCCTACCAAATATTCAGTAATGAAGTAACCAAATTGAACTGAGCTCGTACATTGAACACTAGTCCATAAATATCTGGAAATAGTTAGTTTAACAACAACATAACGATGGCGATGTTGTAAGAACGGTAATGGCTCACGGTATAAAGGAAGCACTGCGCAGTTAATCAAGCCGAGCCCTTCGGATAAACAGTAACCCACTCACCGGCACAGCATACGTCGCCAGGTTTAAATCGTTGTCCGGCATATTCCTCGCCAACTTTGTGGTGCGTAGCAAGCTGAATGACATTTGCAATCGGCGAGTAGTGGGGTATTGCAACGGCCTGATACATAGCATGTGCAAGTTACATCGACACGCAGGTCCTCGCGAAATACGCGCTCACCTTCGGGCGACCAGTTGTCCCACTGGAAAAATTCAGAAAGGCCACCTTAGTTTTCCCTTCACCAGGAGCAAGTTTTCGTTCTGTGAAGTTCGGAGCACTCGCAAGACCTTGTGAAACCAAAGCTTGCACAGTCAATTTCTGCGCGGTATCCGCATCCTCGACGTCAAAAAGAATGATGCGATCCGCAGATACACCAGCGGCATGTGCAGACGACAGGGCCACCTTGAGCGAATCCGGGTGCGTGATGATGACGGCTGCTTTCACTGTACTGATTTGATACACAAGTTCGTCAACTGTGAATAGCGGGTTGGCACCGCTTGTGGGTGTGTCTCAGAATGCTTTAGGCGACTTAGAGGAATTGAGCATACGATACGGCAGCACCAAGTCTATGAGCCGCCCAAGTAGCCACAAGATAATCTGTGGAATTCATGCTGTCAACCCAGACATACACTGCATGTGACGAAGTCAACTCGCATACCAATATGATTTGGACTGTAGATCAACACTATTAGGTGCGCAGAATGAGGGAATCATCAATGCTGCAAGTGCTTAAATTATAGTGTCATTACCAACATCGTCCTCCTCTGCGGTGCCAGACGAGTAAGTACAAGTCAGTACCATGGAAACGCATAGAACGCACGGATGCTATAGCGGATACTCAACGCATTAGCCAAACCATACGTCCGAGCTCTAAGCTGTGAAGTATACGATTAGCCATGGTAAACATAGACCGGGAACAGGAATTGGTATTAACCCCACACCAACTTTCCCGCATTACCCCGCAAAACACTCACCTCCTCAAGCCCAATCTTTCTCCCACTCTGATCATCAATAATCCAGGCACCATTCTTACGAACGGGCCTCCTGACATGCTCCGCATCCAATACGAACTGCGCAAGCGTGAGGTCGTCGGGTATACGAGGGAGGATTCCTGAGGGCGATACGAGTTCAGCCATTCTCTATCAACCTGGGCCAATTCAAAAAGGCAAGAACAATAAGCAAAAGCAAGGGACGCTCTGCAATATGGAAATTCTCATGGTTGTTCTTATACGTCAACATCAACTCACATCTTATCTTCATCCTTTTCCGTCACTGATTACACCATCGCTTGCCGAAAACCTATTGAGGTGTGGCGAACCAGGGCCAACCCGTCCGGTCGAATAGCATTCACTGGAATTCATAAGTATGGTTTTCTCACCAGTATTGCTGTCAGTTTAAAATTAATGCTTGTTCCGAATTTTGATATGATGACAGAATTCATTGAGATATCTAGGGTGTCCATGTCACCTATGGTCCGACAAGTCACAAGATATCGCAAAGTGGCGTCCCTCATTGACGGTTGTTTGCATTGACCACACAATAACAAACAATACGAGTTCCTGACCAAGGACCACCCACATGTATACAAAATCCACTACAAGTTCAAATTTTCACTGGACAACTAATGCGAGGAGAAAAGGCCAGGGGAGACATATAGAGGTATGATCGGCTACTTCAACCCTCTCCTGCATTGACCTATAATCACACCAGCAGTGTCAGGCATACCTCTCGATCTTAGTCGTTATATCTGCCAAACCTCGGGGAGTATAACGATTAATATCGAGTTTGACTTTCCTTCCGCGAGAATATTACCCAACAGCTGGCCAGGAGTCGTTCTGTGGTTGTAGTGCATACTAAGGCCCAGAAAGAGCTTACATCACCAAATCCGATTGTGTTGGGAGGACCAAGGGTGGACTTTGTGGGCATATCTGACAACATACAACATACCTAGGGCTCGGAGTTCGGGCACTATTTTTCCAGCGGTGGGGGAGGCAACGACGGTTCATCAATGAACAGGTGACGCAGGAACCCGAGCCCCTGGAGGACGATAAGGAATATGACACGGTGGTTAATACTGATGACAGAGAGAATCGGCACCATCCTGCGTAGGCGTGCGCGAAGCTGCTTCTTGGCTTCATTCATGTCGTCTGAAATATCTGATGAAACCTTTGCACAGCGTTGCATTGTAGGGGGCCCTGAGCCCGAAGTGGACCTCAAGCTTTCAAAATCTGTACCAGTTTTCTTGGAGGCTCAGTCCCTCAGGATATACATACTGTGCTACGGCAATATCCTACACGATGAAGGTGATCCTGCAATACCTAATTTGAACGTTTCTAATAAATTGTTCGTGGCCCAGATGATCAGAGAAATCGTCATTCTCGTACTCGAAAACCTCCTCGAATATCCTTTCTTGCAAGATTCTTGTCTGTCTGTGGACTCGGCTCTGGGTGAGTACTAATGAATACTCACAATGATACGGGTTCATCGTCTGGATTAGGTGGTTGGACCGTGAGCATTTGCAAGATACAATAAAATGTCTTACGCACCTGGTCGATATCAAGCATTAACGAGATGAAGGGCGCCTTCGAGGAGTAGTTGACTTCGGAGAGATCGACGCTCTGTTGGTTACGGGTCGACAAGGTAGTAAGGCGCGATTGAATGTATAATGTTATCGGGGCCTGCTGCAAGAACGGATAGCGGAGTAAAGACGTGATGGGCAAAGTCCTGTAGAGGGTGTGTGGTCAGTCCGAATGAAGTTTGGAACAGATGGATTGCCATCAGACATGAGGCTTGGGCGCTTCAGCTGCACAGCCGAATATGCTGTAAGCTGTGCAGTGGATACGAGGACAATGGAGAATGTATCGGCTCAAACTTCCAGTGCACTCTCGACCCGAACACTCATTGAGTCTCAGCGTGAAGACATTGACACCCGCTAAGGAATATATCGTCGTAAGTGATGGTTTTGGACTTTGTTTGACGAAAGCTGAGATGGAACTGCGCACGGTAGCTGATTATGTCTTCACCCATCATTGCGGCGCAAGAGACATCGAGGATTATGCCCTGCCAGAAATTTGAAGGACACACGAATTCGACAAGTTACGCTATACATCTGCCAGGCGGAGAGCGGATAATGACTTCTTCATGGGACGGCTCGCTGTGGGTATGGAACATGAAGAGTGGGAAACAGATTGGAGACGACTGGCGGGACCCAGAAGGTGAAAGTGTGGACGATAGCATTGTCTCCGGACGGGAAGAAGGTGGTTAGCGGGAGTAAGGATGGTGGAGTGAAAGTTGTGGGACATCGACACAGGGAAAATCATCGCAAAATGGATGGGGCATACAGACTGGGTGATGTCTGTCTGCTGGAGTGAAGATGGTCGGCGAAGTGTTGAGCGGATCTTGCGATGGGACTGCAAGGGAGTGGGATGTAGAGAACGGAGAGACAACACTCGGTCCAATCGAGATAGGGCACGAGCTACGTGTTGGCTGCCGTCTACTCGCCAGACATGACCATGTTTGCAAACTGCTGGATGCGACCGGCATGTGCCTGGCCAAACGATCCCAAGTACCCAATCAAGATCTGGGATGCGAACACCTGCGAGCTTCTCGGCAATCTCAATTGCGGACACACAATGCGTTTGCCTGGCTTGGACCGCGGATGGAAAAGCGCTTATCTCCGGGTCACACAGTTCAGATCGATCTGATTACCCGATTAGGATATGGGATACTAAAACTTGGAATCACGTCGCAGTGCTGAAAGGGCACATTACCTCAATCCTGTCCATTGCTATATCTCCGAATGGCCGCATCCTCGCAAGCGTATCGTTCGACAAGACAGCACGATTATGGAACCTCGAGAACGGCCAGCCCATCAGTTCGCCCCTCCACCATGCAAGCGTCGTGTCTTCAGTGTCATTTTCGGCAGATGGAAAACTACTAGCCACTGGCTGCTTTGACAAACATGCATACATGTGGGATGTTTCTGCGATATTAAAAGAAGCTGGCCTCGAAGACTTACTGTTGGACCAGCGCGACAAGTCGGAACTCGCTGTACGTAACACTTTCATCACAGATTTTCTCGTTGCATTTAAACATATACATTCTAGACCATTAATGCAACACGACATCCTGTCCAGCCAATCAAGTTTTCCAACCGGGTACCCCGGGGTTTCTTCGATGACTCACCATATCCTCACGTATGTCGCGCATGTCTCATCTAGTACTGTTTATATTGACCTTGATGTTCTCAGCGATCTGCACGACCCGATCCCCACGATGCGCCATCCCAATCCCTGTTTCAATGGGCTCGCAATATCTTCTCTGGTAGTGTACAGATCGAGCTGGACGAGCGTCGCCCAGCAGTCGTTGGCGTCCCATATGCTAAGGGCAAACGTGTATGTCATTTTCTTCCCTCTCGGATATTCAAACCTCATCTCATAGCACACAGAGGAACGCTGTGTGCCAGAGAGAAACGGAGACCAGCTTTGAAAATCCCCACTGCAAGCAGTTTACGCCCTCCCAATAGCAATGTCACACAACAATCCAGCGGCGCAGGTCAGGCACAGTCATCTTCGCAACCACATGCGGCTGCTTCCACCTCCACTGCACCTCCCGTCGTCGCTAATACAACTTCCAGCACCAATCCTGATGTAATAATCAGACACGCTGGATGCTGGACTCGCTTCTGGCTCTTTATCTGTTGTGGCTCTTCTGAGTATACCGACGGTCAACATTAGTTTACTTTCTCGTTCTTTACAATCTCCGTTTTCATTTGATATGCCACGATGTTCATCTCATCTCTGCAGCTTCATGGAGATGTAAAGTTGTTTCCTATTTACACTCGCACCGACCATTTTCAACTGATGTTTCATTATTCCACACAAATAGCATCTACTCTCAGATTCAAACTATGCAGAGGGATCTTTGTAAGAGTCCTTTGAATAGCATTGCGAGGTTATTACACTTCCAAAGTGCACCTTGAAATATTGCTGACTATGAGTACGGGCTCGTCCAACATCTAACGGCTGCATCTCATATTTAGTCGCAGAAGATACAGAGTAGAGAGAAAACAAAACAAACACTCTGGGCGTTCGACAGCAGCACCGTATCGCTGCCAGCGACAGTTATAACGACACTACAGCGTGGCATTCTCGACATCGATGATGTCACACCCAGAGGCCCTAAGTTTAAGACAGAAAGAATTCAGCAATGTACCTCTTGGCATTCAAATTTACAAGTCAAGAGTTAGAAAATGATGGGAGGTCAGCAAGTGAATCTACTGAGTGAAGAAAAACACCTGCTTACAAGCCGCCAATGTTTCTTGATCGATGTGTCTCGAATGGGCGACCTACCGATGAAATCTTTGCTCTGTAGGGGACTTTGAGCCCGAAGTCGACCCCAAGCTTCCAAAACCTGCCCAGTTTTCTTGGAGGCTCAGTACCTCAGGAGATACATACTGTGCTATGGCAATAGCCTACATGACGAAGGTGATCCTACAATATCTATTTTGAGCGTTTCTAATAAATTGTTCGTAGCCCAGATGATCAGAGAAATCGTCACTCTCGTACTCGAAAACCTCCTCGATTACAAGAACATCCTTTCTTGCAAGATTCTTGTCTGTCTGTGGACTCGGCTCTGGATGAGTGCTCACAATGAAACGGGTTCACCGTCAGGATTAGGTGGTTAAACGGTGAGCATGTGCAACATACAGTAAAATGTCTTACGCACCCGGTGGATATCAAGCGTTAATGAGATGAGGGAGTCCTGTAAGGAGTAGTCGACTTCGGAGGGATCGACGTTCTGTTGGTTACAGGTCGACAAGGTAGTAAAGCGCATTTGAATGTGTAATATTATTAGGGTCGGCAGAAAGAACAGATAGCGGAGTGAAATTGTGTTAGGCAAAGTCGCGCGGAGGGTGTGCGGTCAGTCCGGATGAAGATCGGAACAGATGGAATGCGACTCGTGATTACAAACGAGGCTTGGGCGCTTCAGCTGCACAGCCATATATGCTGTAAGCTGCGAAATAAACATCGTACGAGGATAATACATGTGGAAAACGTACCAGCTCAAACTTTCAGTGCACTCTTGACGTTGAGCTTTGGTGTCAAGACATCGACACCCGCTAGGAAACATATCGTCGTAAGTGATACTTTTGGACTCTGTTGGATGAGACTCAAGATGGAGCTGCGCGCGGTAGTTGATTATGTCTTCGCACATCGTTGTGGCGGAGGAGACATCAAGGATAACGCCTTGCCAGAAATTTGAAGGACACACAATAGGGACCAATGACGTTATACATCTGCCAGGCAGAGAGCAGATAATGACTTGTTCATGGGACGGCTCGCTGCGGGTATGGAACATAAAGAGTGGGAAACAGATTGGCAACGACTGGCGGGACGGAGAAAGTGGAGTGCGGACAATAGCATTGTCTCCGAATGGGAAGAAGGTGGCTAGCGGGAGTATAGATGGCAGAGTGAGGTTGTGGGACATTGACACAGGGAAAATCATCGCGAGATGGATGGTGCATAAAGCGCAAGTGAAGTCTATCTGCTGGAGTGAAGATGGTCGGCGAGTGTTGAGCGGATCATACGATGGGACTGCAAAGGAGTGGGATGTAGAGAACGGAGAGACAACACTCGGTCCGATCGTGATAGGGCACGTAAACGTGTGGGCAGCCGTCTACTCGCCAGACATGTCCATGTTTGCGACTACTGGAGATGGCCGTATTGGACGTAATTATGACAATTCCCCATTCGAGCCCCTAGTGAAAATCTGGGATGCAAGGACCGGCGAGCTTGTCGCCACTCTCAACTTGAACGAACACTCAATGTTTTGCCTGGCTTGGACCGCGGATGGAAAAGCGCTCATCTCCGGGTCATTCCAATTTGATCACTCAATTAGGACATGGAATACTAAAACTTGGAAATGTGTCAGAGTACTGGAAGGGCACACCGACACAGTCTACGCCATTGCGATATCTCCGAATGGCCGCATCCTCGCAAGCGCATCGCGGGACAAGACAGCGCGATTATGGAACCTTGAGAACGGCCAACCCATCAGTTCGCCCCTCCATCATGCGGACGGGGTACTTTCTGTGTCATTTTCGGTAGATGGAAAGCTACTAGCCACTGCCTGCAGTGACAATAACGCATACATGTGGGACGTTTCTGCGATATTGAAAGAAGCTGGCCTCCAAGACCTACTGTTGGACCAGCGCGACAAGTCAGCACTCGCTGTACGTGACACTTTCGAATCACAAATTTCCTCATTGCATTTAACATATACATTTTAGACCATTAATGCAACACGACGTCCTGTCCAGTCAATCAAGGTTTCCAACCGGGTACCCCGGGGTTTTTTCGATGACTCACCGCATCCTCACGTACGTCGCGTCGCGCGTGTCCCATCTGGTACTGTTTATGTTGACCTTGATGTTCCCAGCGATCTGCGCAACCCGATCCCCACGATGCGCCATCCCAATCCCTGTTTCAATGGGCTCGAAATATCTTCTCTGGCAGACCCAGTAGTGCACAGGTCGAGCTGCATGAACATAGCCCAACAGCCGTCGACGTCCCATATGCTAAGGGCAAACGTGTATGTCATTTTCTTCCCTTTCGGATATTCGAACTCCATTTCATATCACACAGAGGAACGCATCGGCAAGAGAGAAACGGAGACCAGCTTTGAAAATCCCCACTGCAAGCAGTTCACGTCCTCCCAATAGCAATGCCACACAGCAATCCAATAGCGCAGCTCAGGCCCAGTCATCCTCGCAACCACATGCGGCTGGTTCCACCTCCACCGCACCTCCCGTCGTCGCTAATACAACTTCCAACACTAATCCTCATGTAATGATCAGACACGCTGGACGCTGGACTCGCTTCTGGCTCTTTATCTGTTGTGCCTCTTCTGAGTATGCCAACGGTCAACATTAGTTTGCTCGGCTTATTTTCTCGTTCTTTACGAAGATTTCCGTTTTCATCTGATATGCCACGATGTTTATCTCATCCCCGCAGGACACTTTATGGAGATAAAAGTTGTTTCCTATTTACACTCGTACCGACCATTTTCAACTGATGTTTCATTGTCCCACACAAATAGCAGCTACTCAGATCTAAACTATGCAAAGGGATCTTTGTATGACTCGGAGTCCTTTGAATAGCATTGCGAGGTTATTACACGACCAAAGTGCACCTTGAAATATTGCTGACTATAAGTACGGGCTCGTCTACCATCTAATGGCTGCATCTCATATTTAGTCGCAGAAGATACAGAGTAGAGAGAAAACAAAACAAAACACTCTAGGCGTTCGACAGCAGCACCGTATCGCTGCCAGCGACAGTTGTAACGACACTAGACGGAGTGGCATTCTCGACATCGACGATGTCACACCCAGAGGCCCTGAGTTTAAGACAGAAAGAATTCAGCAATGTACCTCTTGGCGTTCATATTTACAAGTCGAGAGTTAGAAAATGATCAGCAAGTGAATATACTGAGTGAAGAAAAACACCTGTTTACAAGCCACCAATGTTTCTCGATCGATATGTGTCGAATGGGTGCACTGTAGGGGACTTTGAGCCCGAAGTCGATCTCAAGCTTCCAAAATCTATCCAGTTTTGTTGGAGACTCAGTCGCTCAGGAGATGCATACTGTGCTATGGCAATAGCCTACTATAGTATATGATGAAGGTGATCTTGCAATACCTAATTTGAGCGCTTCTAATAGATTGTTCGAAGCGCAGAAGATCAGAGAAATCGTCAGTCTCGTACTCGAAAACCTCCTCGAACATCCTTTCTTGCAGCTTGTCTGTCTGTGAACTTGGTTGAGTGCTAATGAATGTTTACAATGATACGGGTGCATCGTCTGGATTAAGTGGTTGGACGGTGAGCACCGGTGAGCATTTGCAAGATACAGTAAGATGTCTTGCGCACCGGATGTGTATCAAGATGAGGGGCGCCTTCGAGGAGCAGTTGACTTGGGAGAGATCGACGCTCTGTTGGTTACAGGTCGACAAGGTAGTAAGGCGCGATTGAATATATGATATTATTTGGGCCAGGAGCAAGAACGGATAGCGGAGTAAAGTTGTGATGGGCAAAGTCACGTGGAGGGTATGGTCAGTCCGAATGGAGATTGGAACAAATGGAATCGATCAGACACGAGGTTTGGGCGCTTCAGCTGCACAGCATATGATATAAGCTGCGAAATGAACACGAGGATGATGCATACCAGCTCAAACTTCCAGTGCACTCTTCACCTAAACGCTCATCGAGTCTTGGTGTGAAGACATCGACACAAGCTAAGGGACATATCGTCGTAAGTGATACTTTTGGACTTTGTTGGATGAAAGCTGAGACGGAGTTGCACACGGCAGTTGATTATGTCTTCACCCATCCTTGTGGCGCAAGAAACATCAAGGATAACGCCATGCCAGAAATTTGAAGGAAATACGGATTTGATAAATGACGCTATATATCTACCAGGCGGAGAGCGGATAATGACTTGTTCATGGGACGGCTCGCTGCGGGTATGGAACATGAAGAGTGGGAAACAGATTGGAGACGACTGGCGGGTCGGAGAACGTGGAGTGGGGACAATAGCGTTATCTCCGGACGGGAAGAAGGTGGTTAGCGGCATGATGGATGGCGGAGTGAGGTTGTGGGACATCGACACAGGGAAAATCATCGCGAAATGGACGGGGCATAAAAACGAAGTGAGATCTTTCTGCTGGAGTGAAGATGGTTGGCGAGTGTTGAGCGGATCTAACGATGGGACTGTGAGGGAGTGGGATGTAGAGAACGGAAAGACAACACTCGGTCCAATTGAGACAGGGCACCAAACCGTGTGGGCAGCCGTCTACTCACCAGACATGTCCATGTTTGCGACCGCTGGAAGCGACAGGGCACCCGATTCTGACTACCCGATCAAGATCTGGGATGTGAAGACCGGCGAGCTTGTCGCCACTCTCGGACACAATGTTTTGCTTGGCTTGGACCGCGGATGGAAAAGCGCTTATCTCCGGGTCATTCGGATCTCAATCTGATCACTCGATTAGGACATGGAACACTAAAACTTGGAAACAAGTCGCAGTACTGAAAGGGCACACCAACTCAGTCTACGCCATTGCCATATCTCCGAATGGCCGCATCCTTGCAAGCGCATCGTTTGACGAGACAGCACGATTATGGAACCTCGAGAACGGCCAGCCCATCAGTTCGCCCCTCCACCATGAAAACATCGTGCGTTCTGTGTCATTTTCAGCAGATGGAAAGCTACTAGCCACTGCCTGCTATAACGGAAACGCATATATATGGGATGTTTCTGCAATATTAAAAGAAGCTGGCCTCGAAAACTTACTGTTGGACCAGCGTGACAAATCGGCACTCACTGTACGTGACTCTTTAATCACAGATTTCCTCGTTGCATTTAAACGTATACATTCTAGACCATCAATACAACACGACGCCCTGTCCAGCCAATTAAGTTTTCCAACCGGGTACCCCGGGGTTTTTTCGATGACTCACCATACCCTCACGTGTGTCGGGCATGTCTCAACTAGTACTGTTTATATTGACCTTGATGTTCTCAGCGATCTGCAGCGATCCGATCCCCATGATGCGCCATCCCACTCCCTGTTTCAATGGGCTCGAAATGTCTTCTCTGGTAGACCAAGTAGTGCACAGATCGAGCTGCATGAGCGTCGCCAGGCAGTGGTCAACGTCCCATATGCTAAGGGCAAACGTGTATGTCATTTTCTTCTCTTTATTCGAACTTCATCTCATACCACACAGAGGAACGCGTGTGCCAGAGAGAAACGGAGACCGGCTTTAAAAATCCCCACTGCGAGCAGTTCACGCCTTCCCAATGGCAATGTCACAAAACAGTCCAGCGGCGCAGCTCAGGCCCAGTCATCTTCGCAACTACAGGCGGCTGCTTCCACCTCCACTGCACCTCCCGTCGTTGCTAATACAGCTTCCAGCACTAATCCTCATGTACTGATCAGACACGCTGGACGCTGGACTCGGTTGTGGCTCTTTATCTGTTGTACCTCTTCTGAGTATACCGACGGTCAACATTAGTTTACCCTGCTTATTTTCCCGTCCCGAAGATCTCCGTTTTCGCTCTCAGATCTGAACTATGCAGAGAAATCTTTGTATGAGTCCTTTGCGAGGCAATCATACGTCCAAAGTGCATCTTGAAACATAAGTACAGCAGGCAAGGCTCATCCACCACTGGCATTTAACGGCTGCATATCATATTCAGTAGTATTAAGATACAGAGCGAGCGCATGGGGCAGAAAGCAAAAGAAAACGCTTCGACATGGTCCAGGACTCGCTTTGAGCGACAATTGTGACGGCACTACGGAGAGGCATTCTCGATGTCGACGATGTCACACCAAGAAAGCATGCCGTTTAAGACAGAAATGAATTCAGGAGTGTACCTCTCTGATTCTGCCGAGACCATGCGCCACTGCCCATCTGCCAGCACACCGTGACTCACTGGCGTCCGCGTAGAGTTCGCCAGCACCCGCAAAACCGGGGACTACTGCGTGCATGCGGCGGTCTGCTCGCTAGATAACACAATAATTGCGATGGGAGGAGGCAACATTGGGGTGGAAATCTGGGATGCCAAGACGTCAGGCGAGCTGCTATCCACACTCAAACACGATCTGGATGCTGACAGCTAGGAAGTGCAACACTCGGTCAACTGTTTGTCATAATTACGACGATGTAGCGCCTAGACAAAGCATGAGACGCACCTTAAAAAGGCAAGTACAGCGTCACGGCGTGGTGTTTCCCCGAAGTCAGCGACTCATCTTGATCATGGAAAGCACATAGTCGTTGTAGAATCTGAGTTTGAATCACTTGCGTGGAATACATGGAGATCATAACGGTTTAAGTCTGATTTCATCTAAGCCTGACATCGTCATTTCGCAAATCCGTAACAAGTTTGTTTACGTAAAGCAACATTTAACGTACTAGTACTTTGAGAGAAGGAATAAGGGCAACGTATTCCGCTCGCTGCTCATTTGTTATTGATACTTGGAAGCCGAGAGTCAGGCTCTCCAGGGGACACTTTGACCGCATCAAAAATGCCTTGAATTCCTCATGAGGCCATGAATATATATCGCAAGCTTCGAGAGCGCGCAAATTGGGGAGTGAGAGGGTATCGAATAGGTTAATATGATCTCTGGCGTCGTCATAAGAATCGTTGGAAATGATCCGTAAGGATTGGAGTTGAGTGTGCGTGAATGGCTCCAAGGCCTCGCTAGCGGCAAAAGATGTAGCTATCGTCAAGGAGGAGAGGTTGGGGCATACACGGAGCAATTGGAGAAATGCACTTCGTTCGTCTAGGTCGATCTGGATATTTGTAAGACGGGCCCAGGCGGGATTGAGGGTAGTTGCGTACTCCACGTTGAAGAACAGCCCCTTTACCGTGAGACTGCGTAGAGTGCATGGCGGTTGCGAGATAGATTGGACGACATTATGAAAATACAATGATATGGTTAGCGCCTCAAGTGCGAGGAAGTCTGATATCATAACCTTAGGTTGGAGGGCGTTGTGGCAAAAATCAAGAGACAGAGACGAGACTCGATTTATGTAGGGCTGAAGAAGGCTTCGCAGCTCAGTCCAGTTGTTGTTGTAAAACTGGAGTTCCAGCGAGAGCGGACGCCCTCGTGATCGCTTAAGCCATGACTCATAGCAGAAAGCCCCCCGCTGCCAGTCTTTGCCCATATATAGTCCTTGCCACAAACTGGACATATCCACAGCAACCTCCCTCCATCGTCGGCATATTCTTGTCAATAGCAAAGGAGCTGCCCTTGACGCGGGCGACAAGCGGCGACAATTCGGAAGACAGCGAGTAAAAATCTGGGATAGGACTTCGGCTGGCAAGCGCCAGAGAGCTGATACAAGTCGCTTGTGTGAATTCATGGACTGAGTGATCTTGTCCTTCTTCGCGACCAGTTGCTGATGAATATGGTTGATGCCATCTATGACTGTTTGGAAACGTGAGATTTCGTGGGATGCTGCATCCAATTGCTGCTGGCGTTCGGTGATGATGGCAGTGATGTTCTGGTAATTGAGGTTGAAGGCAGAGTGGTGCGTATTGCTAATGGGATACTGGGTTTCGAGGTCTGGTATCTGGTCATCGCGAATCAATGACATCGATACATGCATTAAACTCAATTGACGTACGATTACTTGTGAATGAGCGAGCTGAAGCAAATTGTTTATTGTCATGTGCATACGAGCTCCTATGAAACTGGGTGCTTACGATGTTTTGCAGGGCACCGATGATATCCGAGGGCGAGGAAAAAATTGCTTTTGAGTTGGCTGTCATAGCATAAATGGTGTCTGTATGTTGTCGGTTGTCTTACGCGAAGGACACAGTGTGTTTGCAAGGTTCAATAGGGTTCAATATTGTTCGAGCCTGAGTCACAGTGAGTCCGCTTTTCAGAAATTTAAGACGGCTGTCCCCGAGACCCCTATAGGCAAAATCAACAATATTATTATATAATGATTGCACGCGATTTACTTATTGCTCAGCCCCATGGCAATTTCCACGCGCTGCCACGCAGATATACTGTGGCTATTTGAAGGGTGCAACTTCGTGTGAAAAGGTTTATGTATTGGCTGGGATGTCACATGGATGGTTTTTGCGTTACATAAAATTTACAAAAAGTTGGGTTTGCCGTGTAGCTGTGATGACTGCATGTCACAATTTTGTCACAAACTACCAAGTGAATCTATCCTTGTTGGCTCGTGCTAAAATGACTGTCCTTGGGAAAGTCTTGAATGATATCCTAATATGAAGCACAAATGATATCAAGTGAGATTGCCCAACGACGTCGACACAGAGGCACTCTCATCCCTGGCTAGTTGCGATGGCAGCATGTTATGACTTTGTCACAAACTCCTCTTGCTAGCCTTTAGTGGTAATCATACATGGCTAGCTAGGAACAAATCAAATTTCTCGTAGTATACATGGCCATCTTTGGCAGTAAAATAATTAGGTCCTCATGTAGTTCCCACAGCTACAATATCAAGGACTCAGGTGTTCACTGATGCAGGCTCCCAAATTTAATCCTCGCTGAGCGCTGATGGTACCACATCTATACCTGCTATGAAATATGTATTTTGGTGAAGAAACGTCAGAGGATACTTATGATGGTCCGCACTGGTTCAGGGCTAATTAGGGTTTTTCCAATCATTAGCATTTCTCGTGTCACCTATCTGCGTCGCGATAGGCCGTATACAACAACGGGTTGGGATTGCACATTACGGCGTTTCCCAGTGGTCTTCTGCAAGGGAAACGGCGGGGATACTCGGAGCAAGTTATGTCAGAAGTCTGCTGGCAGTGAAAATGTCGTCTGTTTGAAGGGGTATTTTAGGTGGGCAGGTTCTGCACAGAACACCATTCAGCATATAAAAGAAAGCTGTCCACCCACCGTCTCCTTCAGCTTGATTTTTAGGATCCCATATCACATCTCAGAAATAATGCGCCTCTCCTTCATTCTCGCGGCTGTTGCTGCTTTCAACTTTGCAGTGTCTATGCCTGTTGATGATGAACCACAGCGTCACGACTACAAATACATACCTGACCGCCGCCAGGAGGCTTGAAATGCCAACCAGTAGAATATGGCCCCACCCACGTGAGCAGGAGTACTCTTCATCCAACCCTATGACTCACCGGCGTAGTAGACTGCAATCATATATCTGTGTGTTAAACCTGTCCCATCACCACAAGCCAACCAACATCCACCAATAGCAGCTACTAAAACCATCTCATTTTCGTTGAAGGGTGCATCTAAAACGGCCGCCGGCGGGAACGGCAGAGTCTGATGGGGGCATGCCACCCATCAGGGCATTCGCGCACCTGTGACTGCCACGCATTGCCTCTAATTAGACGTGATTATAGATATGGCTAGCACATCTAAAATGACAGACGTACAGCACTTCTAAGCCTTCTTCAACATCTCTTGGATAAAGAGTGACCTATTGCAAACATTGGATGTCAGATGATGGGCGTTTTTCAAGGAATGCGTTCAAGATTGGTGATTGCCCTCCATGTCCAGAGTCCAGTCGCTCCAGTATCCACGATACCACAGTTGGAAAGCATCTTGCCGGCATGCGCGGAATCCGCTTAATTAGTAGGCTTGCATGAGAACGCGGACTGTAAGATAAGCCTTTGGATGATCTATATCGTCCTCTAAGGGTTCGTACCAGTTGAAGGGGCAGAGCCTTCTGGTGTTATCGCTCGGATTGCACAACTGTCAGTGGAGATAACTCATATACATACTTGGTCTCACAATCTAGTCTGACAACCTCACGTACTTCCGCCTTGGCACATCTTGATGGTTGACCAACTCAAAAACACGATGAACCGTCACTGATAATGTCATACCGTAACTTAAACTGAAGCAAAGCTTAACCATTATCATGATATCAGGTGTATAAAGTAAGGTATCAGAAGTGCAAACTCGTCATCTATTCTAAGGTATATTACTTACAAGCCCATGTCAGAATTTGCTTCTCTGTTGTTGATCATTCTCCGGTGCAAAGGGCCAATCCGAATAACCTTTGGGTGTGAGATTACCGGGCATGTACCAAGTTGCTTGGTCACCCCGCTCAAGCGCAATGTTCTTTAGCAGGCGGAATGGAAGATCAGGCTACGAAAGAGGCACACATCAGTCATTGCCAAGTCTGGGATCAAATGGCTCACGTTCGGCATGAACAACCTCCCGAATCCAATAAGGCCCCCTTTGTTGTCTACCGTCTCAATTGCGCTATTCCGGGTGTGTCCGTTTGTGCTGATGAACGCACTGCCTTCAACCCCTTCCCAGATATCACGAATGAAATCACTGTTTTTTTCACTAGTGACTTCGGCAGGCATCGGCTCCACGACGTGAATGTACGCAAGTTTGTGTTTGCGCAGCTGCTCAACCAGGTAGGAGAACTGGGGTTTGGGGTCTGCCATGCCCATACCTGCACCACAAATCAGCTAAATAAAGATCGGTAATATTGAATGATACACGTACCACTGAATACACCCCACGGGCTAATTCGGAATCCTGTTCTCTCCGCACCAACGGCCTCCACAACGGCATCAGTTACTTCGAGTGCAAATCTTGCGCGATTCTCCGATGCTTCCGCCGTATTCGTCTGTACGATGGTTGGTGACATCTTGTATGAACTGATCGATTAAGTAGCCATTCGCGCCGTGAATTTCAACGCCATCGAAGCCAGCTCGAATTGCATTCTTTGCGGCAGCGACATACGTAGAAATGTACTCTTTGATTTCATCCGTGGTGAGCGCGCGAGGCACGTCTACTTTTCCCGGAAGGGGGATGGGCGAGGCACTGACATAGGGACTATTGTTCTCTTTGGCAAGAACGGCTGGTTCTGCAGCACGGCCGAGCGCCCAGAGTTGTAGGAAAATGAAAGAGCCCTTCTCGTGAACTGCTTTTGTTACCTGCAATCCGGGGCGTGAGTCAGCTCTGATCGAGTAAAATCATGAAGTAAGATACAACACACCTTTTTCCATCCCTCCACATGGGCATCGGTGTATATCCCAGGGACATTATTATAACCACCAGCGTTCTGAGATATGAATGTGGCCTCTGTGACGAGAAGAGTGCCAGGGGTAGAGCCTCTCTGAGAGTAGTACACTGGTGCTTGTGGACTCGGGACATGATTTGCGTGTCCACGTACACGGGTGAGTGGGGCAAGAACAATGCGGTGCTGCAAGTCGATGTTGCCTACGCGAATTGGGGAGAAGAGTGCGGAGGTCGAAGAAGACATGGTGATCTATTGCAGACTAGGTATGAAATGCTTGGAATGGTATTGACCTGGAGAGATGGTGATCCACGCTGCTGTATTTTATAGCCTTCGCTCAATGGCAGGAGATGGATTTGTCATGATCAGATTGGATACCGGTAGAGAGTACTTCCGGCCATCGAGGAAATTCTCGATGAACCGAGAAATCATGACTGATTCTGAGCAACGATGGCGTTAAAGAACTGATGCAGGTCATCAATTACAAAGATTTCACTGCTTTTTCATCGAACAGTGCCTTAGTAAGGATTACCAATCGTCTGACGCCCATTTCAACGCTTACCTTGACCACCATCAGCGCACCGCTAATCCTCGGTCAGCACGGACCTTGACTCCCTTTCAGCACTAATCTCTCGTCATTGTCGACCCTGAGGCCTCAGCTCCCATTCCTTGTCACCGTCACCCCATTCTCAGTTCGCCGCTTCCGAATCTGTCATGCAACTCTTGTCATTCTGTCAATACCATACCCGTTTATATCGCTATTCTTTCGTACTCTCATGTCAAGAGTGACGCGACTCCCTTCAGCGTCCGTTGTCACATAAGCGATTCGGGATAGTCATACCCGAGGACCCTTAGCTTTTCGAAGTAACCCATGTACACTCATTACTGCCAGGCAATCACATCTAGTATCGCAAGTCTCCAATCTCGCACTCGTTGTCATTAGTATCAGTATATCTATCATTTATCATCTCAGACTCATCATCGTCCTCATCGCATAACTCTCGCTAATGCTAAATCTAAACTCTGCAGCGCATCTACATCCCATCAGCGGTCCCCACGCCCCTTCGAACTCGCAGCGAGAGCCACTTGAGTTCTTACACATCTGCATCGCAAGGCTCGGTCGAGAGTGGATGAGCCCACGCGAAGAGTGCTTCAAGATCCTGTGAAGTCTCGACAGCAATACCGAATATTTTCCATTTGCGACCTTCACCGTGAATTCGAATAACCTACCATTGGCTACCTGCGTAACAGTAAATTTCCGACATAGGAACAGTTGCATAGGATAAGATGGTTCGGTAGGTTGTTGTCACGACCCTGGATTCGAGCACCTGATGAGTTATTAGCCTATATTAATGTTGCCTCATCCCATTCGTCACCCTCGCCATTGTAATTAACCACCTCAACATCACCTATTGAATAGCCTGTAGTATCATTCCTTGCACGACCTGATCTGACTCGTCAAAATAAAAAGTATTTCTCTTGACCACTTCAACTTCCTTACTAATTCTTCAGTCCCTTTCAACTCTTCAAGAGCTGCAAATTCGGCAGCAAGTCGTCAGGCGAGACTCTGGACCGGCAAGAAGGTCATCTGCATCGCAAGGTTCGGTCGAGAGTGGAAGTTGTGCAATGATCCCGGCAGCGGCAATGCCAAATATTTGCCAGGTGCGACCTTCACCATGAATTCGAATAATCTGCCATTGGCTACCTGCGTAACAGCAAATTTCCGACATAGGAGCAGTTGTATTTTTGATGAGATGGTTCGGTAGGTTGTTGTCACGACCCTGGATTTGAGCACCGCCTGAGTGTCGTCGCAATGTTTGCAACTTTGCATTTCCAGTAGTTGCGATTCGAGCTGTTGTTAACTCGTTTCAGACGCTCAAATTGCTGTTGATCAGTGATACGAGGGAGCGCTCTCCAGCATGCACCATCTTACTTCAAGGACGTCGGTTTTCATGTTCTCTTGAAGTCAAACTGTGTTATCAGGGATCTAAATTACATCTCCGCGAGTCTTGGATACCCTGGAGTACTGTCAGGTTCTGAGGAATGCGTATATCTATCTTCAACCGCATATCTTGCATGGGGATCATACAATCAAGTATCTTCTTATGCTGCCTCGACTACGGAACAGAAAAGACAAGTGTCCCACGCACCCCTGAGAATCCGCTGAATTCCTGTTGATCTATCGAAACTCACAGGTTGGTCCTTTGTGAACTCTTCATCGAAGTTACTGGTATCGGCACTCCCGTCCTGCAAATGAAACCAACATCTTTCCTTCGGACTTGAATCGGCGAGCCTAGCCTACTAGTACCATGGTCATTAGGGGATACATATTCCGACTTTCTCCGAAACCTCAGAGGGTCAGCTCAAGCCGGGCCTAAATAAGCTTTAAATTTTGCAAAAACCCTAAGTCGACGGCTCAAGCCATGGCTTTTCAGCGAGTCAAAGTGTATTTGCTTGGCTGATATTGTCATCTGTTCGATGTTAGTACCGCACCTCTCTAATTCTGATGAGACCATGCGCCACTGACTACCTGCCAGCACACACATTAGCGCTCGCCAGCACTCGCAACGTCACTTCGCAGCATCCAGCACCCCAAAGCCGCGGCTTTCTGCCGGCTTGGGCTCACGGCTTAGGTTTGAAAGCTAGTGAGTGACTGCAAATCTGAAAATTGGGTGAGAAAATCATCATCATCATCATCATCATAGACCCGAATTCGCTAAGTGCATCCAGCACATTATTCGAAGCCTTCATGACGTACCTTCAAGAGGATGATGTCATAGAGTGTGAGCTGGCATCTGTTTATCCAGCAATGCAGGCACGTGCAGATTGGCTGCCCTCATACTCACTGTGCATAAAAGCCAACGTAGTGTTCGACTCAGAGGGCATCATCAGTTTCAGGGATGATATTCACGTCACTCACCACCATGATCATATCTGTCGCAGCGATGGCTGGCGTAGCCATCGCATCTGACAACCTGGTAATAACACCAATGGGTCTACCCTGCGACACCCCTAGTAAGCACTTTTGCGGTCTATGTGCAGACCTTAGACTGCGTGCTTACGACTAGTATCCGCAGATCAAGCGGAGTGCTCGACGGGCATCAAAATTTGGAACAACGACAACGATTTCACGTATTTGTGCGGACCTTCTAACACAATTATTGACTACGAGGCATGTTTGTGTAAAAATTGCTGCCACATGGATCCCCTGGGGAACATCCAGTGTTGAGCCTGAGTGAGCCTCTCGTTCCCCACTGCCTTTGGAGTTGGAGTGTTGATGTGCTCGCTTAGTATGATATGTGAAAGGCTCTGGGCGTGAAGAAGTGGTGTGACGTAATGTCAATCATATGACATGCATTGAAGTTTCTAACAACCGCTGATGTGAAATAAGAGAGGCCCATCGAACTCACCAGCAATATTTGCCAACCCGTTCAAAATTTTTTTTTTTTAAATTCAGATTTTTTGTCCTATTTGAGAGTAAACTCTATGAAGGACAATACGTTCTAGTCTACTGGACCCCCTGTGTCCTATCGCATCTCCCAATTCATGAATGCCCTGGTGTGAAGCGTACTCCCACCAGTCCGCCGTTCCCGCCGGCCGTTTTAGACATGCAATTGGTGTTGTGATGAGATGACTTTGAATCGATTGCGGTATTATGTGGTTGCTTGATGTATGCTGACGAGTACTCGGCTTGCCGGGGCAAGTAAGTACAGGAATCGAACGGTTTGCAGTAGGAGTGTTATGGTTGTGGGGTCCGTTTTTGGGCGGGACCGTCTCTTGCTGTCTGATGACCGTTGGATGCGAAGGATTCCTGTTTGGCGAGTGTTGGGTGGTGTTATTAGAGTGATTAGGGTAGTTGTGGTGTGATTAAGTAGATGGGGAATGCTATAATACGTGTCTGATCAGTTCTTGCGTTTGTTCCGTTCTAATTTAAATACCCTGGGCTGGTGTTCTCGCATACCCGAATGTCAATCACGTATTCCTCGACCAGTGAGACGACGGTACTCATGCCCCATAGGGCGTTACAAGGCCATACCGACTGTGCACGTGTTGTGCACCTGCCTGGGGGACGAGCACTCCCGTCCTGCAATGAAATCAACATCTTTCCTTCGTACTTGAACCGGCGAACTTACTACTACGACGGCGGGATATATTTATTCCGACCTTCTCCTAACCTCACTGGGCCAGCCCAAGCCAGGCTTGAATTTTGCAAAGCCTAAGCCATGGCTTCTCCCATATAGTATAGTAAGCGCAGCGAGTCGAATTGTCTTTTCTTGACTGATATTGTCATCTGTTCGATGTTCGTGATTTTAAACAGAGTACTAAGTATAGAAGCTGTAGAACGGCGCTGTAAGAAGTGTCTACGACATGGCGGGAGACGACAAGGAGAGGACAGTCTACGACGTAGGTATATATACGTAGTCGGGACTATCCGACCAACGAACGATGACGAAGGGTGAAATATCAAACTCTAACACTAAGGACTCGATTGCAAATACAAATATAAAATTGGGTGCATCCGGCAATATCAAAGAGCGTGAGCTGGCATCTGTTTATCTAGTTATGCAGGCGCGTGAAAATTGGCTGCCACTACACTACCTGTGTATAAAAACCAACGTAGTTATTGACTCAGAAAGCGTCGTCAGATTTAAGCGATGATATTCACCTCACTTACCGCCATGATCATATCCATCGCAGCGATAGCTGGCGTAGCTATTGCATCCGACAACGTAATAATAACCCCAATGGGCCTACCCTGCGACAACCCTAGTAAGCACATTTGCGGTCTACGTGCAGACCTTAGGTTGCGTGCTTACAGCTGTTATCCGCAGATCAAACAGGGTGCTCAACGGGCATCAAAGGTTGGAATAACGACGACGATTTCTTGTATTTGTGCGGACCCAATGGCGTAATTGTTGACTACGATGGATGTTCGTGTCAAAATTGCTGTGGGAGCCCCGGGTGTTGAGCTCGAGTGAGCCTGTTGTTTTCCGCTGCCTCTGGAGTCCGAGTGTTGATGTACTTGCTTAGTATGATATGTACAAGACTCTGGGCGTGAAGGAGTGGTGTGATGTAATGGTCCATCGAGGGCAAGCAGGATGTTGTCGAGCTTCCGATCACAGTAGATGATACTATTCGTGTGGAAATATTCCAAAAAATGAAGAACCGACTTTGCGCTTACGAGTCCGACTGCGCCCGAGGTGTACATTAGAACTCAGGAAGAGGTTGCATCGCCAAACCCCATCTCCAAGATTTTGTGAGCATACTTGCTAACACGATGCATAAAAACATACCTGAGACTCAGAGGTCGCGTACTCTTCTTGCTCCTGGTGCCGGTGGTAAGGGAGGCAACAACGGTTCATTGGTGTAAGTAGGGGGCAAGAACCCGAGCACCTGGAGGAGGACGAGGATGCATGGGACAGGGGTTGACATTGACAATAGTAAGAGTCAACACCGTTCTGCGCCGCCCCAAAGCTCCTCACTTTGCTTGGAGGCTCGGCCCCTCAGGGGATTACACAGGATACCTACCTTGCCGGCCACTAACCATCTGCCAACACACACTTGGCCCCAGTCACCGTCATACACATAGCGTTCGCCGGTACCCGCAACGTCACCTTCGCACACTTCGCTGTGGCTTCGGTCAGCTTGGGCTCACGGCCTAGGGTTGAAATTGGTGAGTGACTGGAAATCTGAAATTTAGGCGCATCCGGCAATGTCAAAGAGCGTGAGCTGGCATTTGTTTATCAAGCAGGCGCATGCAGATTGGTTGCTCTTACACTACCTGTGTATAAAAGCCGACGTAGTTTTTGACTCAGAGTGCATCACCAGGTTTCAGCGATGATATTCACCTCACTCACCACCACGATCATATCTGTCGCAGCAATGGCTGGCGTAGCTATCGCATCCGACAACCTGATAATATCACCAATGGGTCTGCCCTGCGGCAACCCTAGTAAGCACTTTTAGGGTCTACGTGCAGACCTTAGACCACATGCTTACGGCTAGTATCCGCAGATCAAGTGGGGTGCTCAACGGGCATCAAAGGTTGGAACAACGACGATGATTTCGGGTATTTTTGCGGATCTTCAAGCACAATTGTTGACTACGAGGCGTGTTCGTGTCAAAAATGTTGTTACATAGATGTCCTGGGGAATTACCAGTGTTGAGCCTGAGTGAGCTTGTCGTTCCCCACTGCCTTTGGAGTCCGAGTGTTGATGTGCTCGCTTAGCCAGATATGTGCAAGACTCTGGGCGTGTAAAAGTGGTGTGATGTAATGCCAATCATATGACATACATTATCTTAATGTGTCCGTCGGGAGTAAGCAAGATGTTATCGGGCTTCAGAACATAGTAGATGATACAATTCACGTGGAAAAAGTCCAAAACATGAAGAACCCCCGATGCGTGAAACTTGGCTTAGCGGAACCAGAACATGAGGTCGATGCCACGAACATACACCATGCCGAGATGAATGCACGTGTCAGTCTGGAAACACGAGTGCAAGCCAGGCAGGAAGGAGTGTCGTTCGCGAGCGGCAGCAAGAATGCTCGTTTCGCCTAGATTAGACATACCTCTAGACTTCAATCGTCATCAATGACAATCTTATTGAGCGCCTTGATGCCATACAACTCTTGATCAGAACAACCATGATCTTGAATTCGTCCAGACCCACTTTGCGCTTGCGACTTGAAAGTCGCTGCGCCGGAGGTGCATATTGGGACTCAGGAAGAGGTTGCATCGCCAAACCCGGCTGTGGGGGCCCAAGACTTTGTGAGCATATCTGCTAACACGATGCATATAAACATACCTGAGACTCAGAGGTCGCGTACTCTTCTTGCTCTTGGTACCGATGGTAAGGGAGGTAACAACGGTTCATAGGGGTAAGTAGGGGGCAAGAACCCGAGCACCTGGAGGAGGACGAGCAGGAACATGGGACGGCGGCTGACACTGATAATAGTAATAGTCAACACCGTTCGGCACCGCCTCACTTTGCTTGGAGGCGCGGCCTCTCAGGAGATTACACAGGATACCTACCGTGCTGCGACAATAGCCTGCATGATGAAGGTAATCCTGCAATACCCAATCTGATTGTTTCTCTCGTATCAATTTTCTCAAAGTGGAGATGATCAGTTGTGTCTACTCTATATGATAATAATCAGTGCTACTCAATAATCGATGCAGGCGATGAAGCTTGCGGCGTAATGAATGGTGTGTCATGTGTCGTCACTGCTCTCGTCTTTTAATGTCGATTGATCATCGCCGCCAAGTACCGTCGATTCGTCGTCGGTCTGTATTCTCGACTCATTATCACTCTCGTACTCGGAAACCTCATCGATAATCAGAGATTCCTTCCTTGCAAGATCCTTGTCTGTCTGTGGACTCGGCTCTGGATGAGTGTCGACGAATGCTTGTAATGATATGGGCTCATCCTCTGGATCGGGTGGCTGGAGCGTCGATCCCTCCGCTTCGTAGAAATCGGTGAGGGTGAGTGAACGCATGTTGAAGCCCTGGTATGTCCATTTAGCGAGGTTCACGAATTATGTCTCAAAAAGCGTACCTCTTTCTCGACCTTCGTCAACGCTTCTTCATCATGCTCCATGGCGCGCATACATTCCCTCACTGGGACCATCGCAGCGTTGCGGCATAATTCGCGCAAATCAGAACCAGAGAAACCTGTTGTCTGAGAAGCAAGGATGCGCAAGGAAAGATTAGGATCCAATTTCGTGTCCTTGAGCATCTGATGGAGTTCAGAGCAAGCAATGTTACATCAGTGATGTAGACACGTACTAGGGACAGGATTTTGAATCTCTGTTCTGCATCTGGAAGAGCCACAGCGAACCGCTTCGGCATGCGCCGCAAAATTGCACCTATTACTCCCACCTTTCTAATATAGTAAAGCGGTACCTAAGACGTCTACTCACCCTCATATTAACCTAAAAACCGTTATTTGTGAGGACCAGCGGTCCAGACCAGCAAATCAAGGTGACTTAGAACATTTAGTATTGTTACCCTTGGGTAGCACGCGGGAAAGCTGACACAAGCATCGTATTCGGTAATAGCGTGTCGCCACTGTTGCCTTTAACCTTGTGCTCATCGTCACACACGACGAGCTCAACAATTCCCTTAATTCTGCTCAATTTAGGGCGCATTTTATATATAACCATTCTACTCTTCAATATGATACATTCTAACACTGTATAGGTATACTAGTGTGTGCTGGTGTCATCAATATCCTCCCACCCATTCTCCTCATCCGAGTCTACCACAGAAGAACTATTTGCACCTCTCTTCAACTTCCTCGACTTCCTCGATGCTACATAGAGTGCTGCCTTTTCCGTTAGTTTCCTCTTCCGCTTTGATGGCACTCTATTGGCAATCTGTGGGGCACCTCGCTTGTGGTTTGTCAATCCTGGAAGGACTTCAGCGGGTGAAGATGTCGTGTTTGATGCTGAGGGAGTTGGTAAGAATGGATTGCTGGTTGGTAGCTGAGTATTGGGTAGACGAGGCTCTGTGTTTGTCAATCCTGCAAGGACTTCAGCAGGTGAAGATGTTGTGTTTGATGCTGAGGGAGTTGGTAAGAATGGATTGTCGGTTGGTAGCTGAATATTGGGTAGATGAGGCTCTGTGTGTGTCCCGCTAGGTGTTGAATTCTCCGTAGTGAGTGGAGGAGAGGGTGCGGAGACATTTGGGATAGAAGGGGGGGCTGAAAAATAGCAGAAAATCAGTAGTAATAATGTACACCAATAAAATATCTACCTCAAAGGGCAGGATCAATGAGATCATCAATGATCTCACTAACACGAGGGAGCTGGACCTGAGATGTTGTCATGAATGGGTGTTGTAGGGTCTCTAGATGGCATGATGCATTGTGCCGATGTAGGAGACAATGATGCGGTGATGGGGGCATTGCCCTCATATGTGTCGTCGTCATCGACAGGGCTCTCTGGTTCTTGATCTATTTTGTTTGGGGTCAGGATCTCACCTGCCTCAATGCGTTTCATATGCTCATCAGCTTGCTGCCTCGTAATTTCGAACAAACCTGCACTTCTTATCTGAAACAGCGCGTGCAAGAGCCTCTAGTGGTTCAACTCCACCTTTCAGATTACTGGGGTTACCCCATTCATTGTGGCACCACCCAACCAGCTTGACTAGGTGCTCCGAGTCCTGAACCATGCGTTCATAGCGGACAAACTCTAGTGTTGTGTTCACGTTCACGGTAACCTTGACTATTTAGATGGATTAGCAGACTATAAATCAAGACTATGAAATTGATACCTAGACTCTCATTTAGACCACTTCGTATCCCTTGCTTTGCAGCCAACTTGCGGTCTGTATAACTCATAGACAGAACTAAAATGAGAGGATCGGCAATAATAACACAGCAGCAAACCAAAAAATCTTACCGCTTTGTGGTGCAAGCCCAGCGAGCACAGTGGACTCCATCTTAATACCCAGTTTCATTGGATCCTCCTGCAGAAGTGTATGATGTACAAAGTGAGACACCACATCGCTTGTAAGGTGCACTTTTGGTAGCATGTTGAGGTTTGCTGAACTTCATACAGTGACGAGTAATGTTTCTGTGCCCACATGTTCCTTCATCGCTTCAGTCTGTGCCAAGACAGCTCAGATTTCAAACCGCAAACCAAGAACATTTAGGACTGACCTCACTAACCATGGCTGCAAAGCTACTATTTATTTCCGCGAGATGAGTACAAGAGGTTATGTTTACCGGCTTGCTGAGTCCTGACATTTTGATTTTTTTGAACTCCTCCACCATTTCTGTGCGCTGCTCAAGTGTAAGTTGGTGATATTCACCTGTCTCCTTAGCGATGGCATGAAGGTTGGCTCATTGACCTATATCTTTATCTATTGGTAATGAATCAGTTGAGGCTATTATAGTGTCAGAGAACATACCAGCATTGAATTTTCCGCTTTTGAAATGCAGAAAGGTGGACCATGCACTTGTCTTGTTGTGCTGCTTTCTCCGTAAGGCCGAGCCAATGTAAAACTTTTCCAGGTAACATCGATGGCTTCTGCCAAAACGACGAGCCAAATCTGTGGCCTGTTCATCAATATATGTAAGTATGTCGTCCACTGCAGCATCCTCATCTGCACGTTTTTCACAGCTGTCGGGCCATCAAAGTTTGTCTTGCTTCTCGAGACAGCTTTGAACCCTTCCTGCGTGCATGGTTGCGACCTATGATACACTGCTTGCTACTCAGGAATACTGCTCGAACCATAGTAGGAGAGGAGGAAAATCTCAGAAATGAACATTCATTCATGTTAGCGAAGTATTACATTGCGAAAAAAAATGAAGCAAAGCGATCACTTCCCGATAGTGCCACCCAACACATTCCAGTCCTCCCACATTGCAGCCGATATTTGAAGAGCTTCAGGCTCAGAGCTAATATTGCCCCTCTTGGCTAGCTCAGAAGCCCACCTATCAGGAATACATGCATTGAAAACCTCATGGCAGGTATTGTGAAGGGTGTCACTGTAACCCAATTCCTCCAGTGTGGCGTGAGTGTTTGGACCAAATGGCAGAAGAAGTTCCCCTGGAATTGGATACATAGACCCTGACCGTGATGATGAAGAGATAAGTGGCACTGAATGGTTTGTTGAACGAGTTGGCGAGCTTACTGATGAAACACCCAAAGACATGCGTGACGGCAGTGGTGAAACACCTGAAGACATGTGTAATGGCAGTGGTGAAATGCCTGAAGACACATGTGACTGTGGTGACTTTGATGGTGTCCAAGCCACTTGAACTGTCCTGGATGTTGAACGAGCTGGAGTAACAGTAGGCATAGTAGTGGATGTTGGACAAGCTGGAGTAACAGTAGGCCTAGTAGTGGACGTTGAATGAGCTGGAGTAACAGTAGGTGTAGTAGGAGGTTCAAAAGGGGAATCAGGGTCAACCCTCACACGCATAGCCTCATAAGCCAATGGAGGAATCGGATAGTGATGCGAACTGTCCCCGAGCGTGAGGTGTTGGAGCTGGTCATCCTACAAACTGACATTAGTCACACATAAACTTTAAGATGATCTCACTTACAAGATCAAGAGTGCGATCTCTTGATGGAGCGTGCCTAGATAATGTTATCTGCTGATTTGTCCACTGAATTGTTGGAGTTAGAGAAGAGGTGGACAAGAATGGCACCATTGAGTCGGTTGTTCGTTGAGTGGAAATGACACGCTTGAGGCAACCAAAAGCCTATCCAAGGATATCGAAATCAGATGAGCAAGTGCTGCTGGAAGGTAATGGAACAAGGGGAAGAGAATCATAGTCTGGGATATCTGATGAGCTGCGCCTGAGCTCCTGCTTCCATCCATGTGCAAGACAAGCTTCCTAGAAAGACTGTGCAACCGGTAGAGCACATCCCTCAATAAACATCTGTGTGATTTCTGTGATGGGTTGATGGCATTGTAAGGGCTCAGCAAGGAGCTTTGGATTGAGATACAGCGATGCAGAAAGATCTTGAGGTTGCAGGTCTGTTAATGGTGCTGTTGCACCTGGGTGGTGGAGGCAGATTGTAACACCACCAGACAGGCGGTCAAGAACAGTGCACTGGAAACAATCATTAAATGATAAACAGGTAAGTGAAGACACAACATATCAGGTCATATATCAATTTTCGCACTCAGGAACAGATGATTAGCTCTCTCTCGTGAGGCTGCTTGTTTATCTTCAGTTGTCATGCCCTTGAAAAGTGTTGCCAAGATAGTGTGCTTTGGTTAAGGGATGGAAGCCTTGGTTTGATTTAAGATGATCATTGTCAGTGTGAGCTCCATGTGCCGACACAGCGATTACAGCTGAGAGCCAGCGATCTGACATGTCTGTAATGTCGGCAAGTTCTAGAGGGTGAGAGAGTGTTTCAAGTAGAGTACTGATACCATCCATAGTGGGTGGCTGATTAAAGGAACTTGTCGACCAGTTCATGGTGGGATGTAGAAAAACGCAGTAATTGAAGTAATCAAGCTGTGCAGTACGTCTGAGTCTACATGTGGCAATAAGTGATTACTTGAAACAGGTCTCATATACACCATCTAATTTTTTACTTCACCATGTCAGAAACAGGTCTCGTTTACTACCAAGATTCCAACTTGCCATGTCAGAAACAGGTCTTGTTTACACCATTTAATTCACCATGTCAGAAACGTGTCTTGTATACATGATATTCTACCATGACACGCAATGTAATTGTAGGCTAAGCTATGCATCATCTGCGCATGTTGGTCCATCATGAAGCTGGTCGAAAAAGTCTTCCATCAGCGTCTGCTGCTTGCCATCAGGGTCATCATGCACATCGTCATCTACATTTCCTTCATTGATATTACCCTCGGGTTGGGCTTGTCGTGGAGTGCTGTCTGTGTGACCAAGTCGTGTTCCTGCAGCTCTGCTGCCAGAATATCCTGGCAGTGCCTCAATCTGCGCAATGTGGCACAAGTGAAAAGCATTCACAGAGCGGAGATGATCCCAGCGGTGCTGAACTTCCACTGCAAGAGCAGGATTAGATATACAAAGTTGTGCAATTACCACTGGGAAATGAATGGTACTGTCTTGAATCTTTGTGCGAAGTCGTGTGATCTTGACATTGCAGCGCACAATCTCCTCCTTGGATCATTGCAGGTTGAAGTATTTTACAGAGGCTTGGCGATTATGAGGAATCGCCCAACATTTATCTAGCAACTGATTATCTGTGTCTCAAAGGAGATCAAATTCGGCGAGCTGCGAGAATTTGACTACCTGCTCCCATGTAATTGGTGGTCGGGGAGGGTTGAGTTCAGCTGCGTACTTGTTGTAGCGGTTTAGTGCATTCCTGATTGCAGTTGCGCGCGTCTTCAGTGCTTTTGAAATCTGTGTTCGTAGCTTATAACCTGAAAAACATATGTTAGAGCATGATCCAGTAATATTGAGAGCTTGCCTAAACCGCTCATCTGAAGCTTCATAAGTTCAAGCAGCCGCATTACTACGAGACGCTCCACGTCATCGACAGCTTTATGGTACTGCACATTAGCAATACGTGATTGCGCTCTCACACGTTCAGGGTGAGTCATCATCCATCTCTCCTCGATCCCCATGCGAGTTTCAAAATCATCAACTACTTGACCTTTCAGCTCCATCTTGTTCTGGGCTGTGGTGTGGCGGTGGCGGATGTTGGCAATATCCTTGTTTGTGAATCCACCTGGCATGACACGCAGGTCGAGGCGATTAAAGTCATGCTGAGCAGTCTCCCACTGAGATCTAAACAAAAGTCAATTGTTAAATTTACAGTAAACTTTACAGCCATTTGAGAAACTAATGTCATTGGCGTTTTTGTTCACATGCATGTGACAAAAAAGGAAATCACTGGAAATCACAGACGCAACGTGTCTTGGATGTTAGGACGCGACTTCCTGCAGTTCTACATAATACCTAAGTCTTTTCAACCATAGTATTGCATTTATTTCACACCATCGTCCAAGTCTTCGTCCATGGCAAAGAAGAAGCAAAGCAGTGCCGAGAAGCTTACCATCAATCTCCCTGCAGGAAAGATACCAGACCATCTGGATGAGGGCCTCGAATGCCTGGATTCACTCTTGCCCACCATCAACAATGACAAGGCGATACACCTTTCTGAGGCTGAATGGTTGTTCAGTGATGAAGAGAACCAGCTACAGGCTGAAGACAGTGAGGTAGAAGTCGAAGAACTTGGTGTCCTTCATGAAGACAAAGACCGTCAATCAGAGGATAGGTCCAGCATGAATTCGGCCGCTACTGGTATATCTGAGTCGAGTAACACTTCACCTTCCTGTTGCTAAACAGATGTCTTGATAGGTGCTGAACTTACCTTCGTCAACATGAACCCTTCGAGCTATAGCGCTTCTCACAAGCGAAAACAGCTAGCCGAGCACATCTCGGCTGATGAAGAGCTACCAGTGTCAAAGGCTCCCAGCAAGAAGCAGAGAGTAGTTGATGACAAAGTCATCAAAAAACTGCTGCTTGGGAAACCAAAGAAAGCAATGACCTGAGGAAAGAAAGTCCGCGAGAGAAGTATCCCAAGAAGTGATGCTAGTGAAGCCATGGCAGACGAAGACGCTGATGCACCACGGAAATTCACAGTCTATGTTCAAGTGTGGTCAGCATCTACAACCATAGAGAAAAAATCAAGCAAGGCAGCGAAAGGACCAGCAATGATAACCAGAGGCCCTTTCAAAATTGACACGACACAAACTTTCCAGAAATTCAAGGAGGCGGTAGCAGAAGTCTTACCATGTCGACCCATAATGTTGCCCGTCTCTAAATTCGTGTGGAAGTTCAAGAACCCACAAAATGCACCTCGCAAGAAGATAGCCAACGAGGCTGGCTTTGAGGCACTGGTCGACGCTGTTATGGCAAAGCGTACTACAGAGAATGTTGTTGTTTGGTTGTACACCCCAAAGCCTGCAAAGGAAGAAGAAGTAGGTGCACAAAAATCGCTTCGACCTATACTCATTGTGTTTCTACTAGGACTGGGACACCGGAAATCCAGATCATGTTGAAAATCCATTCGATTTTGATGAAGAAGCTGGGCAAGACCTGGGTTCAGTGTCTAGAAAGGCACTGATTGTACGTGATGATTGTGACAGTGTTTGGTGCTTCTGACAAACCTGTTGTAATAGGCGGAGATGGGTAATAAACGACTAGCAGCAGAGACAGAACTCAAGAACCTCTACACATTTGGCCAATGCCTGATTTTTCCCGACAAGCGTGTGTGGCACGACAAGAGGGGCAACAGATACTTCGAGCTCAATGATATGTGGATTACCATCTGGGCAACAGCCATTGTGAGCTTTTGTTGATTGCTCGATTGAAACTGAACATAACTAGTCATTCGTGTTCAGGCTTCTGGAAGGGCTGACAAGACAATGCCTCCAACCTCCATTCACTTTTTGGATGACAAGAAACTCAAGGTGCCGACAAGCATTCGTCCCCCACCAGGTGCACCCCTTGCGGAGTTTGGTGAATTCTACCATCAACGTCAAAGTGAACAGGCTCTCGCAAGTGCCATGTCCGATGTGCAGGTCCCACCGGTTCCTCAGCCACAAGCTGCGCCTCCTGCGCCTCCTTTCCCTCCTCATCAGTACAGATTCCATCCAGGAGCATACTACCCTCCATATATGCACCCTCCATATGCCGGAGGGTTTGGCTATCCTGGCCTACCATATTATCCTCCTCCACAGGCACATGGTCAATTGTTCGGAGGACCGCCACCTGTTGGACTGCCTGGGGAACCACCCTCAGCTTCATCATCTCCTGGTGTAACTATGTCTCACAAAGTCACGCTCTCTGACTTCTGCATCAAATATTTCATCTCGGATGGCAATCAAGCAAAGCTTGCAGCGCTGGAGTATAGGCCAGGGAATCAAGCTGTTGAAACACTCAAAGAGAAAGAGTGGTGTGAAATTGGACAGTTTTCGAAACTCGGTTGGCAATCATTCCTTACTGCGCACAGGAAATTTTGCATGGCCATCAAATCAGGTACCTGGTTGAAGCCCAACTCGGAGTAGGCTAGATTCTTCTTAGGCACTGCAATTGTTTTCTTGGCACGACCGTCTCAAATGACATTGAACATTCATGTACTTTACAGAACACTTTCGATCATGTAACAATGTAACCCGCGTTTTTGAACCAACCATAAGCCTTATCTGCGGTGATGCAGCTTGTTGCTTCAAGGAGTGCAAAAACTGGGTCATCATGTTGACGCAGCTCGTGTGCATGACGGCGAATATAGGCCTTCACTGGAAAAGACAGGTCACAATATAATCATGTCAAATCACCAGGATGTACACGTGCTAAATGATTCCTCGATCGGCGTTAGATCTGGGGAGTATGGTGGAAGGTAGAGGACCAAACAACCTACGAAGCCTGTCAGTAAATAGCTAGACAAAAAAACAAGAATCAAACCAGCACTTTCAACGGCAGCAACAAGAGCTTCATTGTGATGGATGCGGCAGTTGTCTAAAACAAGCACAGATTGTTCTTCGGGAAATGGATTCATATGTGGAAGCTTCAAAAGTCATCAACTTGAAGAGCTAATGCTGGTAGGAGACTGAAATTGTACCACTTCTTCGACAACAAAATCATAAAATTCTTCTGAGTCAAATGAACCCTCCACAACACGTGCTGCAGTGTAGCCATTGATCGTCATTGCAGCACACAGCGAGTAACGATCCCCTCGGACAAATACATTGGTAAGCTGTGCACGTTTTCCACTAAGTGCTCATCCATAACACCGTGCATAGGTGCGCTCATTCTTGCTGGTTTCATCCAGGACAACAAATTCAGAGCCATTGCCTGTGAAATCGGTGCGAAGACTGGCTTTGAATTCCTCCCGACGGACCTCATCACATTCAGATGCAAGCTTTCAGAGGATCTTTCGGGTGAGTCCAGCATCTTTCAGGTTGAGGGACATTGCTGAAGAGGTGATTATGATATTGTGCTCGACTGCAAGCCACATACAGACTTCGTCGAGGAAAAGATCAGGGTCCTCGGTGAAGATATCTTCGACAGCTGTCAGGAGTGCCCGAGTGATTGTTCGAGTACGGCCAACAAGCGGAGAAGGGGGCCTCGTTACAGAACCAGATTCATCAAAGATACAGCAGCCAGCAATAACAGCTCCTTCGAGAAACCCCTAGTGCTTCGGCAATATCCTCTAAATCCCACCCATGGTCCCAGAGTCGAAGAGCGCATTCTTTGATATCTTTGCTGATTCTGCGGTTAACCATCGCATATACGGACAAAGAAAGCTGTTTTCGGTGTCTGCCAAAGGCTCCCAGTGTCGTCTGAAGGTGATTTCCTTTTTTGTCACATGCATGTGAAAAAAACGCCAATGACATTAGTTTCTCAAACGGCTGTAATCTTACCGCTGTCCTGCATGATTTGGGAATCATGCATGGACATGACTACTAGGTATCCCCCTAAAAGACAAAGTCTGTTAGCTTAGTCCTCAGACTAGTCAACCCATACCTTGGTATCAAACCTTGGTCCAATAGTTTCAGTTTTCCCTCAGTGATTCATGAATCCACCATGTTTTGAAGAAAAGTCATATGTGAGATGGGAATCACATAATGACCTAGTTGATATGAGAAGCAAAAATGAAGGTTAAGGTATTGCCTTTCATTTGGCTTATTCACTTTGGCTAGAGAAACCCATAGAGAAAAGTTCAAAGCCTAACAAAAACCTATCTAAAAAGCCCGCGTATTGTGTACTATTATTTGTTCCATTATTTCTGAGTTGTTTTCTCTAGTGTTTCTTTACTTTACTTTTCTATTAGGATGCTCTGACTAATCAGATGCTTCATAAAATTGTACCTACAGGGTATGATGTCATAATGATGTCATAGGACTTCACCTACACTCCTGCAGGTATTTTGGTTGAAAGATATGATATCATAGTGATGTCATAATGATGTCATGTTCCATGGAATTTGCTAGAACATTCCAATGACTCATAATGACTCATAGTGACTCATAGTGACTCAGAATGATGTCATTATCCCACCATGAATATTCTGGAATGTTCTTTTGCACCTGCTAGAACATTCTGCTCCAGTTTTTGGAATATTCTTCTCACATTCTGAAGTCATTACATCACCTTTTTACTTACATAATATTCCCACACAAAATGTATATAAGGAGAGCCCATTCTCCCCCAAAAAATAGATCTCCCACTTGTTGCATTCAAGAATCTCCCACTTGAGCAAATTGAACTCTCACCTAAGAAGCTTCAGTCTGAACAAATTGCTGCTTACAAAGCCCATTTCCTTTGTAAGAACTGTCCAGGCAAGTGCAGGGAAAGTGTTTCCCTTGAGATTACGTAAGTTTCTCTGTGATAGAAACCCAGTTTTGTGAGACCAGTGTTCTCACCACGTAGTGTTTACTGACCAACACGAGCTTTGGTCACCGTTGTTATTTGTGAGACCAGCTGTTCTCACCAGGTATTTGTATACTGACCAACACGAGCTTTGGTCATTGTTGTTATTTGTCATTGTTGTTATTGTCATTGTTTTTTATTTGTCATTGTTGTTATTTGTGAGACCAGCGTTCTCACCAGGTATTTGTATATTGACCAACACGAGCTTTGGTCCACGTAGTCACATTTGAGACCAGCTTCTCAACAGTTAACCGTATATTCAGGAAACCAGTTCAAGTGTCTAGACGGTATATCCTAGACAATCCCATAGTTTCAATCAGAGATAATAAGCTCCGGCTAAGTTAATCTGACTGATTGGTTTAGCGAGCCTCCCAAGAACTCACACGTTATCTACCACGAAAGAAGAAAAGTCGTAGACCGTGTTAATCGAGGACTGGCAAGAAGTCTTATCCAGTGTAATTGTGGTGTCATTACATTCTTACACGTATTTATATAAGACCCTCGGTTATTAAGACACCACACCACATCAAGCTCATTCAGTGCCTTCATGTACTCAACCTCCACACTATCTCCAGGTCGCCGTCGACTAGCCTTTTGAAGATAGTCTCATTCATCATTCAAATCAGATTCAAAATCTTCAGGCGTGAGATTAAATAGGAGGAGGAACTCATTATGCGTTTGGATGCATTCTAACGCCTGGACATAATTACAATAAATGAAAGTGCCTAATTATCGTCAGTACATATCAGGCGACAGGATCAGCAGGTATGAACTTACTGAGTGCTGCATATTTGTCTTGATCAGTGAATTGGAAATGCTCATCGAGCGCTTGATGTCTGTGAAACTCTGTCAAATTCCGAATTTCAGGTGCCAGGGCATTCGACTCTGAAAATGTTCATTCACAAGTCTCAAAGTCCTCTTTGCCAGCACCAAGCATGAACTTCAAGTGATGTTAAACTTAACAAAGGCGATTATGGGCATGTCCATGGAATCCAGGCACCACACCCTCAATACCAAGATCTCGTACAGCAGGTCCTAAGGATGAACGTTGAAGGATGGAATGGAATGCACATTTGATATCATAGCCGTAAAGGAAGGGCTCGGCAAAAATGTCAATCAACTTGTTGATTGTCACCAGTGGGTATTTCATCCTGTGATACTGTCAGTAGATGTATCAAGCTAGACTAGAACTTACAGCTCGCCACTGCGGACCATGTCGCATATGGACAAAAGGAATCCATGACGGCACACTGCAACAAGATACTGGACTTCCGGAAAACAGAGAAAATTCGCTTGCGAGCCTCAGGTGCTGCATTACACCATTGATCAACACAGATGTTGACTGGCTCATTTGAATCTTGATCTTCATTCTCACAATCTATCCAGGGATCATCAGGATCTGTAGTGTCAGCAGGGGTCAAAGTGTTCGGATGGTGGTGGCGTCAAGCGTTCTGGACTTCATCTTTGAATTGGTCAATGTATTCTTCGTCAATCCATATGTCTGATTGTCCATTGTGAGGGTCGAGACACTCTCGTCCTCTACGTAATGCAGGGTCTACAAACTTCGCTGAGTTATTACCAGTCTAGTGCAATTTCAATGAACTTAGTAAGTTCAGGTTCATCCTGGACTTTGTAGTGGCAACAGGGACATGAATTGCATGCATGCCAGTTGGAACCAGTGTGTCCAAGGGCTTGTGAGACACAAAGGGACACCCGCCGCATAATTTCCAGGTACACGTCATATGCAATGCGAAATTGTTCGGCTAAATACTGACCATAACGAACCTAGAATCAGAAGACCCATTCCATCATTTTTAATGTACTAAATGAATGTATGTACTCACACCATGCAAATGACATAACTTCTTTGCCTCTGCATGGATACTGAGCCTTGGGGATACACAATGCATCTGACGATAAACCTTGAGCATTCATATGGTAATAGCCACAGTGGGCTGCAATGGCAAAGAACCTATACACCCGTGTGTCATTAGAGACACATTAATGTGTGGTGAGCAGTGATCAAAGACACTATACCTGTCGTTCTAAGCAAATGTGAGATACATACATGTGGAGAAGGTAGAGTTCACTCACCAAAGATATCAATAATGTCTATTGAAAAGGTGTCTTCAGAAGCCGGGATACCTGTGTTGAGGCTCACTAATGAAGGATTCTGGAGATGAAACTGCAGATATGCATTGACGAGGGCTTCATATTGGTCTGCCCATGCATATGTGAGTCTGGCGGTACAGTCATGACGGTCACGATCATCAATACGAGTTCTGGATCACCTATTACTCCCACATTTCCTAGTCAAGTAAGTCTTACATCAACATGTTTCCATGCTCTTAATATTGTTGACCGAATGAACATAATCTCCTTGAGGTTTATGCCGTGAATAGAGCAGGAGGTGTAGTTGACAGGTGAGATGACCTCACCGGCAATAGTGATGCACCGGGAGATGACGTCCAAGCTTCGGTTGCTAGAGATGCTGTCACTTGGGCAGGAATCAGAATCTTGGCTCGGACCGAAGGAGGAATGTAGCAATTTTCAGTAGGGAGATGTGGATTACTAGCACTGGACAGAGGGGCGCAAAGATTCAGCATATACTTGCAGGGCGTCGGCATATGATACTCCCAGTGTTTCTTCATCTGCTCGTTTGTCACTTAGTCTCACGTCTCACAGTCCAAGGGTCTAAATTGCATTACCCTGTCAGTCAAGTGTCTAAGTTCTAATAGAAATTTTCAACTTACAACATCACTCATAATTGGTTGAATGACCCTTGGTGCATTGTGTGATGTTCGATTAGATAGCGGGACCTGTTGAAGAGTCAGTCAAGCATCTGAGTTCAAACAGAAATTTTCAACTTACAATATCACTCATATTTGGTTGAGTGGCCCTCGGTGCATTGTGTGATGGTCAATTAGATAGCAGGACCTGTTGAAGACGCCATGTGACTATCTTTGGTGCTGCAACTCCTGATGTCTGGGGGAAATGAGAAAGCAAAGGATGTGCAAGAGAACCTGGCGCTCGGCCAATGAACTCAAAGCAAGAGCCTGATGGTACATCACATGGCTGGGGGATGAGAGGATGCGAGTCCCTGTGTGGAGCAGAAGCGAGTGGTTGCTGCTCTAATACATCCTGCTTCCATTGATGTGCAATGCGCTGCTCCTTGAATTTCTGTGCGATTACAATAGCCCACCGTTCGATGAAATTTTGGACAAGCTCTGCCGCAACAACATGCAGTTCTGGGAGGTCATAAAGGACTTTGGGATTGAGATACACGTTTGCTGATATGTTCTCCATACTGAGGTCAGTGTTTGGTGCGGTTGCACCAGGATGGTGTAGGACAATGGTAGAACCACCTGACAGTCAATCAAGAAGTGTGCACTGTTGGACTTGAGGTGAGAAAATGCCAGAATGAATGAAAGAAACATACAAGATCATAGATTGTGCGACGGATTCGAGTGAGATGGAATTTCCTATCTTCATGCACTCTTTTCTTGTCCTCAGTATTCATCCCCTCAAAACACCAGTTCAATAGTGACGTTAATGGGTGAAACCCCCTGTCGGTGTCAAGATGATTTCCATCACGATGCATATTGTAAGCAGACATTGCAAGCAGAGCAGAAATCCAGCGATCAGACCAAGAAGTAAGTTCTGGAGGCTTTGAAATTCGCTCTAGAAGAGTACTGATCCCATCAAAAGTTGGTGAAACATCAAAGCCATTACTATTAGACCAAGATGAAGACATTGTGAAGCAGCAGTTTGTGGTAGTGGTTCAAATGATTCTTGTTCAGTGTTGCTTACACATAAGTCAATGAGGCTTGTGCGCGGTAGATTATGTATGCTTAAATTATCAATACTATTCAATGTTCAATGTGCAAGTTTTGAGCATTCTCAATGATCTACTAAATGCAAAACTCTGAATGCAATGACTCAGGATCTCATTCTGCCAATAGCAAATGCAGCATGAGTCCATGATCCAAATAATCTGCATGCAGGTCCTGAAAGTAGCTTGATTGACAAGTTTGCTGTCCCCAAATGAAAAGTGCTAGATTATTTGCACTAGACGCAGGTCCTGAAAGTAGCTTGATTGACAAGTTCGCTGTCCCCAAATGAAAGTGCTAGATTATTTGCACTACACACAGGTCCTGAAAGTAACTCGATTGACAAGTTCACTGCCCAAAATGAAAAGTGCTAGATTATTTGCACTACATGCAGGTCCTGAAAGTAGCTCGATTGACAGGTTCGCTGTCCCCAAATGAAAAGTGCTAGATTATTTGCACTAGGGTCAGTTACAAGCAGCAACATCTTGACTTTCCTACCTCATGATTGTTCTACTACATAAGACATGCTAAAGTGTAAATGTGTCATTACAATTACATATGCTTCATATCTCATCAGGGCATCCCAAGACAACCTCCAGTGCACTCTGCATATCAGTGATTTCCTCAGGCTCATCATTCCCATCATCCTGTATCTCCTGATGCATTGAGCCATGGGCAGCACTATTGGAAGGCTGGACTGGGCAGCCGACTCGAGAACCTGGACTGAAGCTCCCCGTATAACCAGCAAGTTGCTGGATTTGTTGAATACGGCTATGGTGCCCTGCGTTGACGTTGCAGAGATAAGTCCAATGACGGTCTAGTTCTGCAGCAAGCGGAGGGTCAGTGGACTGCAACATTGAAATTGACATTGCATAGTCTTCTTCATCATCTCTCATCTTTGTTAGCAACCGGACAATCTCAATGTTACATCTTGTGAGCTCTTCCTTTGAGCGCTGAACATCAAAATATTGTATGGCAGCTTGACGATTGGCAGGACTTGCCCAACGCTTCGCATGAATTTGCTCGTCGGTTTTGCATAGGAGATCAAATTTGCCTGCGAAAGAATATTCAGCAATCTTCTCCCAAGTAAGCTCAGGGTGCAGGGGATCTAGTTGTGCAGCAAATTTGTTGTACCGTTCAATGGCATTACGGATTGCATTTGCACAAGTCTTCAAAGCCTTGGATATCTGAGTTTCGCAGTTTATACCCTGCTCTGAATCTTAAGTATCCAGCTGTCAAATAAGCAAAACACATACCAAGCCCACTCATTTGCAGCTTGGTCAATTCTAACAGCTGCATCACTACAAGCTGCTCAACATCATCAGCAGCCTTATGAAAACTGCAGTGGGTGATCCGTGATTGTGCTGCAACATGTCTGGGGTCTGTGGGAGACCAATGCTCCGTCAACCCCATTTGGTTTTCGAAAGCCTCTACCACATCCATTTTCATCGACAGCTTCTTGCTAGTATTGGTCTGCCGACGAGTTACACCAGCAATTTCTTTCCGACTGTACCCATCATTGATGTTTTGGAAATCGAGTGTCTGGAAGTCTCTGCAGGCTGCCTGATGAGGCTGCCTATGAAATTGTTAGCGAGTCTGCAAGACATGAACACAATACATACTCAGCATCCTCCAATTCAAGTAGTACCTTTACATAGTCAATCTCGACTGAATCCTCTTTGCACTTACTTGCTGCAGTTTGAAGGTAGAGACACTCATCTGATAAATCAGCCTCAAAATCATCAGGCGACATGGGAAATTGATGGAGGAAGTCTTCATTTGTCCGGATAGAGTCAAGTGCTTGGACGTAATTGTGGTATATGAATGTACCTAGTAGTAGTAGTTGAGAATTAATAAAACCTAATCAAACACTATAAAATAACATACTGAGAGAAGCGTATTGTCAAGCTTTGAGAAGTGAAAATGTTCATCCAGGACCTGATGGCGGTGGAATTCACTTGCATTACGAATTTCTGGAGCAACTCCATTGGATTCTGAGAACGTGCACTCACAGGTCTCAAAGTCCTCCTTGCCAGCTTGTACTTACAATGGTGTTGGACCTGGCATAGACGGTTGTGCACATGCCCATGGAACCCATTGACCACACCGTCAACACCAAGTTGATGGACAGTGGAGGAGAGAGAGCTTCGAGAGATTATTTTTTCAAACATGCACTTGATATCATAGCCATAGATGAAAGGTCATTGGTAGACCTCCATAAGCCGGTGAATTGTCGCAAGCGGGTATTTCATTCTGGTTCAACATAATCAGGTCATGTAACCGGGAAAAAAAAAACTTACAGTTCTCCACTTCTCACCATATCACATATGGTAAGAAGATCTAGACACACAGAGACTGGCTCCGATGAGCTAGAATCATCTGAGTCAGGTTCATCTACCCATGTGTCATTAGTCTTGGTAGCCTGCCCTGAATCTGGCACCTCAGTAGGCAACGATGCCTGCTGTCGTGCATTGCAAACCTCGTGCTTGAACCTATCAACATATTCCTCTGACATCCAAAAATAACAGCACTGGTCTCGGGGATCAGGGTGCTCATTGCTGTGGTGGAGAACTGGGTCTACAAGTTTGGCAGAATTGTTTCTGTCCATCGAGAGCTGGAAAGAAAAGAATATGGTGGGCTCATCCTCAAATTCGTAGTGGCAAGCAGGACATGCGTTGAGCATATGCCAGTTAGGTGAATCTTGTCCCAGTGCAGAGTCGACATGAGTATCGACACGATGCTGGACTTCGATATAGACATCGAAGGCAACCCACAACTGATCCGCAAGATACCGGTGATAATGAATCTACCAGTTATGTATATGTGTTAGTCAGAAACCACTAAATCAAATACACTTACCCCATGAAGATGACACAACTTTTTCGCCTCAGCATGAATACTAAGGTGTGGACACACACGGTGTGTCTGGCGATTTACTTCCAATGTATGTATTGTAATGGCCACCGTTGGCTTGATGGGAGATGCCACAATGCATCCTTCACAGCATGAGCGATACATTGAGATATGTGGATGTATGTCGGAAGACGCGAATGGAGCGATCTAGTGAGAGATTAGCAGGAATCATAGTCTACAACATAAAGACATACCAAAGATATCAATGACTTCAATGGTGAACTGGTCGGCCTCATCATCACTTACATCTGAGGGCTGCTCCTCCATATATTGTAGGTATGCATCAGTCAAATCCTCGTATTGAGATGCCCAAGCTTGAGCCATTTCAACAATTTGATTGGTCTGATCGTGATGGTCATAACACTTGCTAAATAGAGGTTCAGTGCATCAAATAGAGGAAGAGTAGTAGAGTTCTGACCTTGTCATAGTCAACATATTATTGAGCTCACTGTATAACTCATATTCCCCACCAGCGTGACTAGTTTCAATGCCTTCAGCACCAGCAGGCGGAATAGCAGAAATAATGTCCATGGGATAAGCATCATCCTGTGGACTGAAATGAGTTGAAAAATTGATGGGGTCATCAGTAGGCTGAGCGGCCTGCTCAGCCAGAAAAAAACCGCTCACATTGATGGAGATCAAGTGCTGTATAAGTTGGAAAGCATGTTAATCATCTCGGCGCACAGTAGAAGAACATAAAACATACACCTGAGGTGACGATTCCACTGGTGGAATGCCTCTTGTTCCTTCTGCTTCAAATGTCCTGCGCGAACAACTTCTGGACATTTCCAACAACCCACAGTAATTAGAGCACCCTGAGAGGTGCCACAAACAGAATATTTTGCCTTCATGAATATTGTCGTTGTTGTTGATGGTAAAGGGTTGTTGTTGTCAATGGTATAGCATGCAGTGTTGCCTTTTTGGGACAGCGGTAATGAGGCACATGCATCGTCAACGGTGGTTGCTGGGGTGCCCCGCCAGTGCTCACAGACAAATCTATTGCCTTACAAGTACTGTGCTGGTTGCTGGGGTGCCCTGCCGGTGCTCACAAACAGAAAAACAACCTTACAGTGAATCTAAGTCATAGCTGGTTCCCACTACCTGAGACAAGGAAATACTAATTAAAATATCCTCCATACATGAAAAAGTGCGCCTCCAAAAGACACGAGAATGAGTGAGATAGTGAGCTCACTGCCTGACACAACACTGACACAGTGTTGCCTTTTTGGGACAACGGTAATGAGGCATGTGCATTGTCAACAGCGGTTGCTGGGGTGCCCCGCCGGTGCTCACAGACAAATCTATTGCCTTATAAGTACTGTGCTGGTTGCTGGGGTGCCCTGCTGGTGCTCACAAACAGAAAAAACTACCTTACAGTGAATCTAGGTCGTAGCTGGTTCCCGGTGCGCCCCGCCAGATCTCACAAAAGCGTTATTTCAACAATATTAAGAGTGTGGAAACATGTTGATGTAAGACTTACTTGACTAGGAAATGTGGGAGGAATAGGTGTTCTGGATAGTCCCATCAGAGAAAGGCAGTAGAAAAAAAATGGCGTGTAATTACGCACCGTTGGCATGAGAAAGCATGGCCAAGTCCCTCATAAAGCTCCATCTCCCTGCCACCATGGCTGACTGCAAAACCTTCCTCGCCAATGGGGGGGATAATACTTGAAAAATCCATGTCATTGTTGATTCCGTTGTTGTTGAGGTCAGGTGTGGGCATGGTAACACTGCGCTCAGCCTTGAGAAATCGTTCTCTCTGCTGCAAATTCATGACTGTAGATACTATTAGGTGGTAGCAATAGAAATGAACAGAGAAAACTTACGTCGAAGCTGGGATGCACGTTCTGCAGATGCCCCCGCTGCTCGTTTGGGACAGTCCTGGCTGCGGACCACTCTATTTCTCCTCCCTCCGATGGATATTCGCGATGCCTGTGAGATGCCAAGTGTGCTGGAGCTGCTTTTCGTCATTAGAAACAGAGAATCTTGAAGGATGATGGTGGTTGAAGGTAGGTGCCTTTAAGATGACCAAAAGGTAGGAAGATTGAGGGAATTGTTGAGCTCGTCATGGGTGATGGTGAGTGCAAGGTTGAAGGCAACAGTGGCGACACGCTATTACCGAATACAATGCTTGTGTCAGCTTTCCCGCGTGCTACCCAAGGGTAACAATACTAAATGTTTTAAGTCACCTAGATTTGCTGGTCTGGACCGCTGGTCCTCACAAATAATGGTTTGTAGGTTAATATGAGGGTGAGTAGACGTCTTAGGTACCACTTTACTATATTAGAAAGGTGGGAGTAATAGGTGGCTTTGAACCAGGTCGCAAAACTTACTTTCGCCCATGTGGGTTAATATATATCCATAGTCCGGTATGGCGTTATATTTGCACATTTATCATTTGCATGTTCCCGCACCTTGCGCGCTGCGCGTTTTGTCATCAGAGAGCTTGCGCGTTGTATTCAGAGCTTGCGCATTGTATTCATGAGCTTGCACATTTTATTTATGACTTCCCGCCTGTGTCCATGAAGAGCTTCGTCTGCAGTGACACTGGCACTGACTCAACGCCACATTTTTCACAAATATGATGAGTGCATCATGGATAAAATCTAGCGGTACTAAACACGAGTAAAACTATGGCTCAAAAATTAACTTTTTGACTAGAAAGTGACAAGCTTCAGAAACAAAATGTTCTGCATGATGAAACACAGTTCCTTGATCCAGGATCTTGAACATTAGTTCTTTGCAACCCTCACTAACCTGTCCAAACGTCAGTTCCTTGAAGCGCTTGACGGCATCACTATATGGTTGTGGATTCCTGCCATCGAGAAGGAACCGGGCCATTCCATTCCACCAAATAGCATGCCAATCCTCACTACAACCTGTCGGGTCTTGACAGTCACTCAAGTGCATCAATATTTTCGGCTCCTCCGCAGCTACGATCCGACGATGATGATTGAGTGCTGCTTGAACATAAACGATGTTCAAAAATACCTCATGTCCCATTAGCTCGCGGTGTGTGTGTGTGATTTCAGTAACGGGTGTTTCTGCCAGTAGCTGGAAAGCGAACGGAAAGATGGAGTGGACATGGTATCTGATGGCCAGGTTGATCAACTGAGCTGGATGGAAGCAGAAATGTGCAGAAAATATGCGGTGCACGACAAATTCTCGTGTATGGCAGCATTGATACATGTCGCAGAAGTGGAGGAATTTTGAGAGCTTGTCAGTGGTATAAGGACCGGTGCGCACTCTACAGGCAGTTCAATGGCTGAATAGTAAGGAGCATAAACAACATATTGACATACCTTCCAAAAGTATGTTCAAGAAACAATTTGAATGCGTCCCGGGACAGTCCATTGAGGTGGATGGGCCTATCATCACTCACTCCATCCAGTTCTATTTGTCCATCCTGTGTGGCAGCAAACATATCGCGAAAAACATTTGAATATGTCGATAATATTGATTTGCAGAGTTTGTACAGCACATTCTCAACCTTCCAGCAGAGCTTTCAAACAAGGAATGATTCGATAATGGAAAAAACTCACCTGAAAAACATGACTTGAAGCATGAAAATAAAAGATTGGGTGTCGAGTTGGGACATCAGTTTCAGACATAGTAATGCTGGTAAGAAGTTGGACATTCAAGATGGCCCCAATTGAGCTTGAAGGTTAACTGAATATTGTCGAATCTCAGCATCTGCTGTTTGGTTGTGTTGGGTCGCTCATGCTTGCTGCAATCACGGTTCTGGGTACCACTGAAGCCAGGTCTTTCAATTATCATGCCTGTAATACTACCACAGACCTTTCCTCAATTTCCATCTCGTGCAGTGACTCAGGCTCCGTTGCCAGCAAACTTTCTCACTGCACATGATATACTCTCAGATACCTACCGGCATACCTTCCAGATTCTGAATCAAGAAGATGCTGATCCCCTTCAGCTTATGTTTTATATAGAAACACTATCAGGAGATGCCATACCTCTCCTAGAAGCGCTTGCACAGAATCCTTGAGGCAACGAGATATGTGATTGGTTATCTCATGCAGCAAATGTGCTAGGAGAACTCTTAGCGCAGTTGTCATTGTTTCAATATAATACTCAAAACCGGTAATTCACACTATTGGCTTACTTGATTTCAATAGTTATTAATTGCGCAACCAAGTATGGACAAGGACGTGGTGTTTCTGGAACCAGTAACCTTGCTGCGCACGAATTGTGCAGGTCGCCTGAAGAAAATTATTGACATTGAATTCCTCACTGAAGCAGTTTTAAATTCACGACAGATTAACCTGACAGAACTTGCTAAGACATTGGGACTCCACAGGAATACTCTGCAACTCTATATGAAAGGCCATGGAGTCGCACAAAAGTACTCTGAACTTACCAATGGCGATCTGGATATCCTTGTTGGCGAGTTCAAAAAAAGCGACCGGACTCAGGCATCAGATACATAATCGGTTTTTCTTCACAGACATGGTCTCCGAGTGCAGCATCAACGAGTTGTGGAATCACTTCGTAGAGTGGATGGCTTGGGTCAGGTGTTACGAGATTGTCGAGTCAAGCGTAGGCGAAAATACCATGTGAAGTGCCCCAATGCTTTATGGCATGTAGACGAGCATCATAAGCTAATCCGATGGGGAATCGTGATTCATGGTTTTATTGATGGGTTTTGTAGAATGGTCCGAGTCTGATGTGTTTCATTTCTGTATTTGATTCTAATGTCTATTCTCATCAGATAACGGGACTTAGAGCGAGTAATAATAACCGCTCGGTTACTGTCTTAGACCTTTTCAAGCATGTAACACAAGACTTTGGGACACCCTCTCGCGTGCAAGGAGATCGTGGTGGAGAAAACCTCGACGTTGCAACTTATATGATAATGAAAAATGGACCATGCCGAGCATCGTTGTCTTAATAACCGAGGGTCTTATATAAATACGTGTAAGAATGTAATGACACCACAATTACACTGGATAAGACTTCTTGCCAGTCCTCGATTAACACGGTCTACGACTTTTCTTCTTTCGTGGTAGATAACATGTGAGTTCTTGGGAGGCTCGCTAAACCAATCAGTCAGATTAACTTAGCCGGAGCTTTATTATCTCTGATTGAAACTATGGGATTGTCTAGGATATACCGTCTAGACACTTGAACTGGTTTCCTGAATATACGGTTAACTGTTGAGAAGCTGGTCTCAAATGTGACTATGTGGACCAAAGCTCGTGTTGGTCAATATACAAATACCTGGTGAGAACGCTGGTCTCACAAATAACAACAAATGACAAATATAAAACAATGACAAATAACAACAATGACCAAAGCTCGTGTTGGTCAGTATACAAATACCTGGTGAGAACGCTGGTCTCACAAATAACAACGGTGACCAAAGCTCGTGTTGGTCAGTAAACACTACGTGGTGAGAACACTGGTCTCACAAAACTGGGTTTCTATCGCGAGAAACTTACGTAATCTCAAGGGAAACACTTTCCCTGCACTTGCCTGGACAGTTCTTACAAAGGAAATGGGCTTTGTAAGCAGCAATTTGTTCAGACTGAAGCTTCTTAGGTGAGAGTTCAATTTGCTCAAGAGGGAGATTCTTGAATGCAACAAGTGGGAGATCTATTTTTTGGGGGAGAATGGGCTCTCCTTATATACATTTTGTGTGGGAATATTATGTAAGTAAAAAGGTGATGTAATGACTTCAGAATGTGAGAAGAATATTCCAAAAACTGGAGCAGAATGTTCTAGCAGGTGCAAAAGAACATTCCAGAATATTCATGGTGGGATAATGACATCATTCTGAGTCACTATGAGTCACTATGAGTCATTATGAGTCATTGGAATGTTCTAGCAAATTCCATGGAACATGACATCATTATGACATCACTATGATATCATATCTTTCAACCAAAATACCTGCAGGAGTGTAGGTGAAGTCCTATGACATCATTATGACATCATACCCTGTAGGTACAATTTTATGAAGCATCTGATTAGTCAGAGCATCCTAATAGAAAAGTAAAGTAAAGAAACACTAGAGAAAACAACTCAGAAATAATGGAACAAATAATAGTACACAATACGCGGGCTTTTTAGATAGGTTTTTGTTAGGCTTTGAACTTTTCTCTATGGGTTTCTCTAGCCAAAGTGAATAAGCCAAATGAAAGGCAATACATTAACCTTCATTTTGCTTCTCATATCAACTAGGTCATTATGTGATTCCCATCTCACATATGACTTTTCTTCAAAACATGGTGGATTCATGAATCACTGAGGGAAAACTGAAACTATTGGACCAAGGTTTGATACCAAGGTATGGGTTGACTAGTCTGAGGACTAAGCTAACAGACTTTTGTCTTTTAGGGGGATACCTAGTAGTCATGTCCATGCATGATTCCCAAATCATGCAGGACATCGTTCATGTGGGGATTGTGAGTCATACTTGATTCTGTTGATTAACTAAGTCACATGCTAACTCTGAGTACCAGTTCTACCCGTAATTCGCGAATCGAGCATTTGTGGGTTGAGGTGGGCACCCAGTTTGCTCAGAGATGGAGAGCATTTTTAACTCGACTTGAGAACTACCATGGGCTTCGCCCCAACATCTCTAGTCACATTTGGTTACTCCAAATTCTATTTCTTGGCGAAATCGATCAAGATTGCTCGGATTTCCAAGCGGAGTGGAATTGTCATCCAATACGTGGTCCAGATACGAATGATAAGAGTCTGAAGGTAAGCTCACAGTCGCATTTTTGACATACCTGTGGCATTGACACACTGTGGGACAACACAGGATTTATGTTTTTTGGGGCAAGTGCAATTTGGCGTATATTGAGATGACTGTGAAGGAATTCATCCTGATGTAATTGAAGAATATTATGGGGTACATGGTGATACTGCAACTCGAAGACAACACCAGACCGGAGCGGGACATCCCATGGATGAAGAAGACAGTGATGATGACGACGACGAGGAACCTCAAAACATAGTACAGTCAATCAATGACCAGCAAAGGGACCATGTCCACCATGAAGCCATCAGTGTTCCGTCACAAAGGAAACCTTTCATCAATGACGAAACACACCAGCAATTTGCTGCTGTTCTCACCGAAGTTGTAGCCAAAGATATCACACCATGCCATTGCAGGCTGACCACGGACGAGTGGGAAGGTAATGAATACCCGATTTTTGAGACTATCCCCATTGGTCGACGTGGATCCAAAGAACTTCATGTCTCCCTTGCTGAATTGATATGGTTTAAGCGAGCAAAGCTATGGTGCCAAGCGTCAGTTGTATTGTCATATTTTTTAGCCGCCGGTAGAGAGTGAGTACCTGCAAATACATGTACAGAATATCATATCCTACCAGTGGTGATCTCAGAATTAGTTGCAAATATAAATATGGACACAATCCACCAATTAGCCTCACTTCAGGTCGTTTCCGCCACTTCCTCCTGAAGTCACGGTTTTTCTGCACCCTCTTTCACTCACCCAGGCCACTGTAACTGCATGGATCCTGCTGGCGAGAGCGACCTCACCAATAAATGCATCTATTGTAGAGGTGTTGACACTGATAGTCAACCATGCAACTGCGAGGAATTTTTCACCGAGTCACAGGACATGGCTCATTGTGTGGAGTGTGGCCATGGCCGTAGCAAGCACCCTCGCAAGGTATCAGGCTACACATCAGAAAATGTCCAAGATGAACCTCGCCCAAGTTCATCGGCCGCTGTCAAGAAGATAATGGATCGAATAACTGGTGCAAGTGTTAATGACAAGCTGGTCACCACGAAGCAAGGGAGCCTGCCACTCACCGCTGCCCGAGAAGAAGCCCTATCAATGTTGTCTTCTACTCGGATTGCCAGTTACAATAAGTTGGCCAAGGGTCCTGCGCCATCAACTGGCTTGCGCAAGGTACGAGATGGGCCAACAGCTGGTGCAAAAATTTACTTTATAACTTCTAGGATCACAAAGAAACTAACCCATACCCAGTTAGTAGCCAAACACGCCGGAGCACTCCCTCTAGTAATACCACAGCAACGACCACTGTGTTTCGAGTTGTGTCAATCGCCATGCTAACCTGTGGTGTCGACATAAGTCAAGCAGTGCCCTCAACAGATCAAACTTACACTATATTGTTTGACAGATGAATGGCTTCCTCAGAGAAACCAAAGCCCCAGGCAAGGGTGGGCAAAAGGAAATACAGGCTATGAGGAACCACGGGTGCTACCTTGACCAGCAATTTAGAATCGATAATGGATGGACATATTTGACGATCACAAGAAACCTATGTACTTGGTTTCCAAAGGTCTTTGAATACCTGGATGGGCAAGTTGACAAGCGAGCATCACAACCACCCACCCGAGAAGATAAACCTATTTGGCGCCTCCTCAACAAGACCGGACTGCTGTTGACAGTTGTTGATGTTGCATTTCCAACTGGAAGCGACCTTGCAAAACACAAGGGACGAGATAAAGCCAGTGTCAATGACTGTCATCTCTGGTTTGGTAGGTTCATGTGTCTTTGCATTGCTTCGACATTTATGTGCTAACAAATTCAATTTTCAAGTAACAAGGAATCAAGTCCCTGAGAACGTTTATGAATCCTGGAACACGCAACCTATCATAGCGGGCTCAGATTCCAAACATGATTGCAGTGACCAGCTTTTGTCCAACACAGACAGTTCAGTCGACGATAAGTCAGACAACGAGCTCACGAGTTCCTTAATGGAATTAGATTTAACCGATGTGACAATATAGTTTTCCCTGGGCTGATATTCCCCCTTTTTACTTACCTTCACTTACCCACTTTCCTTAGTTTATGTTCGCATTTTTACTGCTTACATAATCATGTCTCCCTTTCACCACTGTCAGTACCAGTCTGAATCAGAGTCTTTTGCTTGATGATATTTCTACTCTCTGAGCTCTGAGTCTAGTACAGAAATCCTTTAGGGTTGAATAGCAGCTAGGCATAGCAATCTTGACCCAACATTTGAAGAGTACTTTACAGAGTTCTCTTCTTGTTGTGTTTCCCACACCGATGATGAAGTCAAGCACTCAGACTCCAAAGGTAAAATGACAGCTATATTGCCAAGGGGGACTAATCACAGTGAGTGTTCAATTATACTAATCGTGTATGTTCTTACTACTTGTCTGCTTCACAGTGAAAAGAGCTCTTTCTCCTGATGAATCACCATTGGATGCGAAGAGAGTGGTTCAAAAGAAACTCAAGAAAGATTCGTGTTCGTCACTCCACCTGTTTCCCATGTATGTATTTGACATTCAGAAACAACGAGTGACACTAGCATTCCACTATTCTTTATGGACTCAGGAAGTTCAAGTTCTCAGGCCCCTTTGTCAACCCAGCCTACTCAATCCAGTAGCCTCCGTAAGTTCACCATTCCGCTCGCTCATGACTTATTATTTAATCTACACCATTATCACTAGAAACGGCCTCATTTCGCAGTCAAGTGCCTGCTGCCGTCCTGGGGCTCAAGAATGAATTATCACCTCCACTTGAATTTGTGTCAGTCAGTAAGGATGATGTCGTGTGGCGCAACAAAACAGAAGATGATGACCCCTTCGCACCGGAATGTATTAATCCTTGGGATTCTTGTTATATGATGATTCAGAACCCTGCTACCTTTCTCGTCTGAAGATTCAGAGTTGCCATACCGGTCTCCCACCATAATCTGGCTGCAACCATGACAGGTCCAGGTCTATTTTTTGAGTGACAGGCATGCTAATTTCATTTCTTGTTCCTCCTTGTGCTTTGCAGTACATACCGTCAATCTCATCCGACACTCATCACATCTTCTCATACTCCTACCTTGCATCCTCACGATGCACTACCTATTAATTATATAGTGCAATCACATACATGATTTCACTCATTACTTTGCACTCTTTACCGATTGCTGAATGTGATCAAGTTTCTTATGCCGGCAAGATTTTCTACATGGATTCATAATAACATTTGTTGTCAATCGGAGTTTGATGTCAGTACCCTTGGCCTGGTTTGTTTTTTTTCAGCGGGAAACCACGGTTAAAAGCTGAACGCCGTCGGCTTATGCCACAGCTTTCGCTTATAAGGTGTAAACACATTCTAATAGGAAGCCACCCTTCGAAATCATGCCTCCCACCTGTTTGTTACAGTGCAACAGTAGCTGCCTGTCTCCCTTACTTTCTGGATCAGTTAAAGGACCATCCACAGAGAATGTCAAGAGGCACTCCACATCTACAACAAGTCTTGTGAAAAATCGAGCCACTGCCTTTGTTGTCGAGTCAACTTCAAACCTGGAAGTACCAAAGGCGCCCCGGTCAAAACCAGAAATGCTGAAGCCAGAAAACATTGAAAATGCGGAATCAAACATACAGAGTTCTAGTATGTTCGTTGCAACTTACAGACAATTCAATTTATTTACTAGTATCTGCAGGTTTGTGCCAACTGATTATCAGCAGAATTCGAAATGGTGGCGATGGGCCCGAAGTTGAGGTACAAGAAGCTCCATATTTCTTATCTTTCTCAGGCTGATTGCCGTGGTAGATATTCTCGAATGTTTCAGAAGAAAGTTATGATTATGTTCTGAATGTTATTGGATGCGATGATAATCTAGTTCGCAAGTGAGTCTTTTCGTCGTTTTCCAAAATGGAGCTGATCTCATACTTTTGCCTTAAGACCATCATACATACATCCCTAGACTTAAGCAACTCGTCGCCACCCTGCCTTCCCCAATCCATGAGGCGATCCTGGTCCCTTTATGCACCACGATGGGGATCACTGTCAACTCTTTCATCATTCCGGATGATTTCGAAGTCTCCTTACCTATCCACATGGCGCATATGGTGGATGCGCCCACTACTGCAGATCTCCCTCCTAGCGATGAGAGTTATCACCTTGGGATACCCGACATGGTTTTGATGTTCCAGACGGGTAACGACATCCTTCCCTTCTGGCCATTCGAGGTGTCCGTTTCTCAGACTTCTGAAGCTGCCGTAACGAAGCTGCCGAAGTTTTGCTGATCGGAACGAAAATGTCTTGGCCGCCACTCATATCCACATTTCTGAAATGCAGAAACATTCGTTGCCCACGTTTGAATGGGGTGTTGAGAGGGATCTCGCTAAGAGGGGCGTTCAGATGAAGGAGTTGACATATTCGGAAAATGGTGGATTCACATTGCTCTCTCATACATGGTGTCACCCTGTAACAGTTACCATTTCTACATGGATCCACCCCCCTGGAAAACCATTGAACCTGAAATCTCGTAGCTCTCATTATTATGCGACTGCCGTGCGTGTCCCTTAAAGTCGTCTAACATTAATGCTGACTATTCACACAGGTACTCTGCCCCAATCAAGATGAGGGGGCCCTCAAGAAAGTCCAACGCATGTTTTGACATACGCTGGAGATAACCCGTGATACGGTTGTTGAACACCTGCAGAGTGAGCATGCACAGGACGAGGAGCTCCTGTAAGTACTACTATTTGGTTATTATCGTTAAATTCACCAATTCGATTGTTTTCAGCAACTCACTCAAGGCTGTGAAGAAGTGGACCCCACCGAAAGAGTTCCTTAATTGGGACACGTGCAGGAAAGAACTACGGCCAGCGGCAAAGCAAACCGGATTTGATCGGTACCACTCATGGCACCGCAACTTCCTCAAGCGTGCTGCTGATGAGAGTGAGGTTGTACCTAGTTCGTCTAGAATGACCAAGAGAGGGAGGGTCGTGTAATCTGTCTCGTTCTACTGTGCGTCTCGTGCGAATCGTGAATGTTGTCACTAGCTTTAGAATTGGACTAATTGTACTACTATCGTTTTGTACGCTGTGTCAGTGTTGTTTGAACGACTTGTACAATACACTTTTTTCGTTTTTGAGCCATAGTTTTACTCGTGTTTAGTACCGCTAGATTTTATCCATGATGCACTCATCATATTTGTGAAAAATGTGGTGTTGAGTCAGTGCCAGTGTCACTGCAGACGAAGCTCTTCATGGACACAGGTGGGAAGTCATGAATACAACGCACAAGCTCTCTGATGACAAAACTGCGCAGCGCGCAAGGTGCGGGAACGCACAAATAATAAATGTGCAAATATAACGCCATAGTCCGGAAGGTATTGACCTTCACCTGTAGCTTCATATTTGTGAACCTCCCTTTCGTTATGATGTCATTGATTAATCTAGCTCAACTGTTGACTTTTGCCACACCTTCACTTCGACTGTGAGTTTGAGTGAAATCAGGACCTTTTCTCGATCATAAAATTTTGTCGGAAAATCAGGGAATCTTCTTTCCTCTATAAGGCCAAACATAACAATATGATTGTCGATGGCAGAATTATGCTGGTTCTTGTGATTATGTACTATATACCGTGATATATGGCCTTCTATTTTCCTCACGTGTTCACTGATGGATCGGCTTCGAGGACATTTGACTTCCGTGGGTATCTTATACGTCGGACTTCACACTCTTAGATTATGGATGTAAATAACAAAATAACATCAGAAATTCATGCCACTACAATATCTCTAGCGTCCTAACCATGTCTGGAATAGAAGAAAGGTCTTTGACTTGTGCAATAATATCACGATCTGACGCGATTCTCCTGTATTCTCCGCCGCGCTGCTGCGCTAGCAAAAATGCGCTAAAAGGCTGCTCAAGGCGAGCAATCAATCGCAACGCTCGGTCGCTCAGTTCCGAATCAACTGACTCCCATGCTTCAGGGAACCCGTCAGGCGAATCCTGTAACGGAGACCCGGGCGCAGACCAATAACCTTCTTCGCTCTGCGTGTCGTCAGCAACGTCAGGCAGCTCTGCCAAGCCAGGCGGCTCCCCGAAGTCAGAAAGCTCGAGCAAGTGACGATTCCATGGACGAACAAGCAAAAATGTCTGCATGGTGGGTCGTGGTGATGAGAACTGATTTAGCTTGTCCGCCGTGGTGATCAACAGGTCATGAAGCCCGGAGGCCGTGACATTATGTGTCTCCTGGTCTTCGGCTTGACTCCGTTTGACTGCTGTGACACGAAATGCGATGCAAGGCAGATGTAGTCTGCAGTTCGCGAAACGAGGCGCGCTAAGGTTGTCAAGCACGGAGTAAATTTTCATAGCCAAATCTACAGCCATGACATATCGGAGCGAGGCAATCGACGTCTGAATGTCATCTTCGCACAGAGATGGCAGGGTGCATGGTGGAGCCTTGTATGAAGTAATGTCGGCTGGCAGACAGCTATTAAATTCGGATGGTTGGCCCACCCAGTCCAGGGCAGTAATATCACCCGACTGAGCCACGACCTCCTGCAAGAGCCTCCCAAGCGCCTTTTGTTTCTTCTCGCCGTAGATGACAGGCAGGTTGACGCCAAAGATACCAAACAATGAGTACGCGATATCTTCCTGCCACGTGGTGACACGGCCCGACACCCATCGAAGTTTCTCCCGAGCGTCTCTCATTCCCGGACGAAATGCGACGAGGGTTTGTGCATCTATGCCCGATGCATCTCCCATCTCCTGTATGATTGTGAGGGAATCCTTGTGGTTGGGAGAGCGATCGTCGAGATATAAGGACCAATTCTTCTGGTAAAATAGGACAAATTTTGGGGCTAGGAATTCTTGAACTGTCCATCCTCGCGTGTTCCAAGCGCTTCTTGCGAGTGCCCCAGGCTGCGACGAAGGTGGAACATCCGACAAGTAGATGATGGTAAGGGCTGAATGGCGATACCAGATAAACATGGAGTTGACCGATAGTTGGACTTCGACGTTGTTAGTCTGGTCAATGCAACAGGTATCGATCCATGTCCAGCGATACCCCATATCACGAGCAGTTTCACAGAATGACTGCAACTTCGGGATGCCACCGACTGGATCCAAGTAGTACACCACATTGCCCTGGATATCATGTAGCAGCGGCTCCGTCCCTTCCCACCTATGCGATAGCATGACATAACGGAAGTACATAGCCACCACGTCTTGGATGCGCTTCATTTGAAGATCTGTATGCTTCATTGCGGATGACAAAAGCTCCTTGTACTCTGCGCTCGTTTTGAAGTCATTGATCTGTGCCTCGCGATTACATAAGCGCCCAGTGGAGGTGTTGATTAGACGATGCGGGATGTCGTCGAGTTGAGCCTTGATGGTCTCTTGAATGGCTCCTTCTGCTTCGGATGGACTGATATACTGTTGGAGCAAGTCTGCACAAAGAGTCAACAACGGTTAAAGACGTGCTATTTAGGGCGTACTTCTTGTTTCCGAGTCGGGAGCATTTTCTAACTTGGAGAGCATGATTTTGAAGGCCTTGATGGCTTCATCGCATCGGTGTGCACCATGAAGTGCCGCATGCTTCAACTGATATCCTAAGTAAGATGAGGGGTTGAGTTCGATGACCTGCGTATCACCGAAATGAGCGATGAATACGAGACGATAGCTGTTATCGCACCTTTTCTGCGTCAAGGAGTGCATCATCCCATAGCATTTTTCTCGACCTTGCCTTACTACGGTTCGCATAGGCGGTATCTGTTGCAAAATCGAAGTCGATTGCCGCAGAGTAAAGCTCGATAGCCCCGTCATAATTACCCGCAGCTAGGGCAGCATCTCCGCTCGCAGCGAGGTCAGTCAACCCGGCGGTAGCATAGAGCATCCTACCATCTTGCTTGAAAGCTAAGTGAAATGGGGTTGAGAATTATACCAGGTTGGCATCACGAAGACTTGCCAGTGGACCAATCAAGGCAGCGTGTTTTCGTAGCCTCATCAGCCGTATCCATCATGTTTCGGTATGCTTTGATGGCTTCCGGGCGTCTACCTACCCGAAAGAGCGTATGACACCAATTCTGGTGAGCAGTTCGCCACAAGGACTTGAGGTCCCACCCGAATAGCTAGAAAGGGTAGCAAACGTGAAAAAAATGATTTCCAGTTGCATTGCAATCAACCTACCACCACAAAGACATCATATGTAGAATGGATGGCCGCCATAGACGAGAAACGAATATTGTTGACAGCGGAAGTGAAGTGGCCAACCGCTTTATCGTAACGTGCGTCGTCCAGTGCATTCATTCCCACTTGGACGTGTAGATAAGCCTGAAGTACGAGGTTCGCAAAATCAGTATCGACGCATGAATCTGAAGTTAATTGCATCAGGAGCACTCACTTCCACGATACCACAGGCAAGAGAATTCGGATTGGGACGAGTGGTAGCTAGCTGTTGGACGCGCAGAATTGCTTCATCATGTTGATTTGCATTGAAAAGGGCGATGGCCTGACAGCTGTCATGTAAGTGGCGAGTACATGAGACATAATCAACGTACCTTAATCAAGAGTAGAAGACGAGTTTTATTCAAGTCTGTGTCCACGTACATGAAAGCTAGGTCAAATGCTTTCATCGCATCCTGGAATTGTCGTTTTCCACAGCGGGCGATGCCCTCGGAGATACAGCCCATCAAGGATGGCTGGATACTGATGCTCTATGTCGCCATATGAATTAGTCTATTAAAAAGGTCACGACGGAACGGTGCATCTCACTCTGAGCGCATCATCAAGTGCGCAGTCCCAGTCTGAGTTTCTTGCCTTTACAAACGAGCGATTTGCATAAGAGTCGTAGTTGTTGCTATCAGCGTTGATCTCTTGTGTTAACAGTCGGTCAGCAGTGGGCAAGTCCCCGCTTATGCATGCATCGCGGGCTGTCGTGTTGATGGTGAGGAACTGTATCACGCATGGTGAGATTATGTGGTAAAAGAGAAGGCTGGAAACAAGCCTTGCATGCCCGGTCCTCGAGAATGTCCTCTAACAAAGGTACTGCCCACTTTAAGATCATAAAATCTGCTCCTCCGCTGAGAATATGCTTGCCATCCACGGAGAAGGTGACACGATACACCACATTGGTGTGCTGGAATGTGGCGATATTTTGTCCATCCGAAAGCCGCCAAAGGCGAACTTGGTGGTCTTGAGATACGGACGCGAGCAAGGTGCCCATAGGGTTCAAGGCAATCATCTCGACATGGCTGGTATGGCCTTTCCAGGGTTTACCGATCTGGTTCCATGTCGATGAATCCCAGACCCGTATGGTGGGATCATGTACATCGCCAGCCGAGATAAGCTGTTTGCCGTCAAGCGTCCACGCGACTGAAATATGTCCTCCAGGGTGAAACTTTGCGATGCATTCCCTCTTGCCTGGATTCCATATTTGGATATTTGACATAGTTGCCAAGGCAACATATTGGCCAGACGGCGAATACCGAACACAGCGAATCCAAGCGCCACAATTGATTGGATTTCCATGCACCTGCCATGTTTTTGTATTCCAGAGCACTATTGTGCCGTCGCCTAAGCCACTCGCCAGCAATGTTTTGTCTGGGGAAAAGTCCAGCGAGTAGATTGGGCTGGAGTGCACTTTGATGGGTTGGGTGATGGATTCGCCGTCTCTGTTCCAGATGATGAGCTCTCCACCTTCATCACCACTTGCTATGAATTGCCCGTCACTTGATACTGCAAGTGTTCGTACTTCGAAGCGAAGCCCTCCCATTTTCTTCAATACAACACCGTCTTCTGAGTCCCACAGACGAAGCGTCTTGTCGAACGAGGCCGTTACCATCCGGCGTCTATCGGGGAAGACTGCGATTCCCGTAACCCAATATTCATGACCTTTAAATGTTTGACTGGGCGTGGTAATTTGAATGGCGGGCTTTTCTGCCTCTGTCATCCTGCTCGAGGTGGTGCTGAGCACAACTTGCTGGGGAGCTTGTGGGTGTCTTGATCCAGGTGCGTGTACCGGGCCTTTTTGTGCTTTAAGCTTCACAGCCAGGACACGAGGCCTGAAACTTTTCTTTATGTAATTTGCAACCATGTAACTATAAATCCAGGGTCAGCCTCGCTCTCTTCATCTAGCTAGTCCATCATGTCCATTCATTCGATTCTACTGCCTACACCATCCTGGACGTACGGTCAGAGAGTCGACACCACTCCTCGGAAAAGACTGGCTCGCAGGCTAATCTGCAGGGCGGAAAGTCTATAACACAGCAGAAACAGACAAGGCGTACGTACTCTTCGACCTGTTGTTCAGCCCCAATCGTGCTCGCGATCAACAGCGATGTCTACAAGCTCTTGATTTCAAGCATCGTATCGCATTCGTGCCCACGATCAGCGAGGAGGGCGTAGAGAACTTGGCACCGTCCAGGCATGCTTACCTGACTTGCATCTAGCCAGTTAATTATGGGCTAACTACCAGGTGTTCAGGTGCAAATAAAAGCATCCCGCGTCAAGGAATGCGCTACCGGTTGTCCTTGTATGTCTAAGTTTAAGTCACGAATTAAATGGATCTAAGTGAGAGAAAGCGTCTAGGGGCATCTCACAATATAACACATGAATGTAGCATAAACCTACAACAATAATCGGTACTCAGTCCTGATGAAAGGCGTGATAGTATCCATGATTAATCTTGTCTGTCCCGTCCTCCCTGTTTGCTCTCCTCGTCGCTGCGCCGATCATCTCGTAGGTGACCACGAAGCCCTTCTCGAAACTGAGCTTGAGCACTGGGCGTCAACAGATTTTGTTTATTTATTTTGAATTCATCATGGGCGGCAGATTTCACGTTCTACCACTGAAGCCGTCGCGCCTCGCCGCGATACCAGGTTCCACGAATTATCCTTTCGTCGGACGGTCACCTGCTTTAGTGGTCAAGGTGAAATCACTGGGGAACTGCTGTGCAAATGAATAAAGCGCATGAGGGAGCAAGCTAGACGAAACACTTTGACGCAGTACAGGACCCCTTGCATCATTGTCCACTGACATTATTACGGGCGCTTCGTGGCGCAGAGTCTCTTGCAAGAGCTTGTCCATGATTGCAAAAAAAAACGTGATGTTTGTCTCAAGTTTCAAGGCAAGGCGTTCATGGCATCCTCTGTCTCTGCCTCTTCACCGCCTATGTCTCTCCCCTCATCTCCGATTTCTGGGGACTACCTCTCTACCGGACAAAACCACCTCAACCCCAAAAGAACCTTTAGACGAGAGAAATCGCCATAAGAACTCTCCGTCTTCCGATTATAATCCGGAAGACATCTGCCGCGGGGAAGGCAACTCGATTCACTCGACGACCATGGTAATCAATTTAATTCATACCGTCCGTCTATCTAACAGTTCACTCGCACAGCTTTCTCGGACATCCACCGCATCCTTCACCGCTACACCTCACATCCAATCTAGTACCGATCCCGTCTTCCTAGCTAGACTCAACCTCTGGCGCCCCACGCAAATAAGACGAATTTCGCATCAGGGTACAAACGTGTTACCCACCTGGCCAGTACTTAGTCGATGTCCCGTGTACCCGGGCCTGCAGGGCTTGTCTCGTTTTCTTGGTTATCCGTCTCGAAATTCTAAAGTAACACAAGAAAATATCCAAATACTATTGCAAATTCATATTGAACGTATGCAAGAACACTATGTCCCGATGGCAACCTGGCTCCCAAACTTAATCCTCGCTGAGCGCTGATGATACCACGTCTGTACTTGCTACTAGTGAGATGTACATTTCAGTGAAGAAACGTCAGAGGATGCTTATAGTGGTCCGCAGTGGTTCAGGGCTAATTTGGGTTTTGCCAATCACTAGCGTTTCTCGTGTCACCTATCGGCGTTACGGTAGGCCGTATACAACAACAGGTCGGGATTGCACATTACCAGCGTTTCCCAGTGTTCTTCTGCAAGGGGAATATCGGGGACACTCGGAGCAAGTTAAGTCAGAAATCTGCTGGCAGTTCAAATATCGTCTGTTTGAAGGGAATTTAGGTGGACAGGTTCTGCACAGAACACCATTCAATACAAAAAAAGAAAGCTGTCCACCCACCGTCCCCTTCAGCTTGTTTTCTTATTTTTGGGATTCTATATCACATCTCACAAATAATGCGCCTCTCCTTCATCCTCGTGGTTGTTGCTGCTTTCAACTTTACAGTGTCTACGCCCGTCGATGATGAACCATCCCGTGGTCACAAGTACTCCTACCAACCTGACCGCCGCCAGGAGGCTTGAAATGCCAAGCAGTAGAATATGACCTCACCCATGTGAGCAGGAGTACTACTCTTCATCCAACCCCATGACTCACCGGCGTAGTAGATCACAATCATATGCCTGTGTGTTGAACCTGTCCCGTCGCCACAAGCCAACTAACATCCACCAATAGCAACTACTAGATTCATCTCATTATCGTTGAAGGGTGCATCTAAAACGGCCGCCGGCGGGAACGGCAGACTGATGGGGGCATGCCTCCCATTGGCAGGGCATTCGTGCACCTGTGACTCCCACGTATTGCCTCTAATTAGATGTGATTATAAATATGGCTAGTAAAATGACAGACTTACAGCGCTTCCAAGCCTCCTTCAATATCTCTTGGATAAAGCGTGACTTATTGCAACACCGGCAACACCGCGCCTCTAGGACCAGGCAAAACTCAAACTCTGGGCGCCTGAGGGCGCCCTAGCTAAGCTACGACAATATTCCTGACAATGTTGCCTCATCTCATTCGTCAGCCTCGCCATTGTAATTAACCACCACAACATCACCTATTGAATAGCCTGTAGTATCATTCCTTGCACGACCCGATCTGACTCGTCAAAATAAAAAGCATTTCTCTTGAGCACTTCAACTTCCTTGATGCTCTGAACTTCCTCAGTCCCTTTCAATTCTTCAAGAGCTGCAAATTCGCAGCAAGTCGTCAGGCAAGATACTCTCTGGACCAGCAAGAAGGGCTTTCATGTTTTCTTGATTCAAACTGTGTTATCAGGGATCTAAATTACATCTCCGCGAGTCTCGGATACACTGGAGTTTTCTGCCAGGTTCTGAGGAATGCGTATACAGTACACTATCTCATACATAACGTCGGGACCCCCATCGACCCTATGCATTATGAGATTTTGCATTAGTGCATATGTCACACTTGACAAATTGTGACACCGTGCGGTAGAGCATCGCCGGCACAAGTACATACTACATATCTAACGAAAGTAAGCATCTATTGTAGTCTGTGTTGAGTGTAGAAGCTCCTCGCGTCGCAGCTCAACCCTCAGCACGGAAAAGACGGATCTGTTTTCAACAATTCAAGTGGAAGTGTTGCATCAGTGTTTCCAAACTGAAGGCAAGCCCTTTCGAGCCGCTGACACAGCGCAATGTTTCTGCGTGGGAAACCTCTGGCATGGCTCGATCACTGAGAGTGAGGTTATGACGTGCTGTGTGCACTGTAGCTGGTTGCTGAAGTTACCGGAGTATTTTTAACCTTGAGTTTTTTTGCTGTCTCTGGTATGGTGGGGGACACTGGGGGTGTATCTCGAGATTTGCGTTTCCGAGCAGACTCGGACATGGTGGATGGTAATTGAATCAAGGTTGGTGACTTAGCAATAATATTAATGTAGCATGAATAAAATGCATAATCTGACCCGAACAAGCATCACCGATATGACTCAACCGGCCAAAAATGCTATCTCATAATGCATAATGGTCCCACAGGCTTATGCATTATGGTTCAATTTCTCACTGGCCCACGGTGGGACCTTCCGAAGTCGATGCATTATGAGATAGTGTACTGTATATATCTTCAACCACATATCTTGCATGGGGGTCATACAATCAAGTATCTTCTTATGCTGCCCGACCACGGAACAGAAAGATAAGCGCTGAACTCCTGTTGACCTCTCGAAACTCACAGGTTTGGTCCTTTGTATACCCTTCATCGAACTTGCTAGTATCGGCACTCCCGTCCTGCAAATGAAATCAACATCTTTCCTTCGTACTCGAATCGGCGAGCCTACTACTAGTACGATGGTGGGATACAACTATCCCGACTTTCTCCGAAACCTCAGTCACTGGTGACTGGGTCAGCTCAAGCTGGGCCTAAATAAGCTTGAATTTTGCAAAGCCCAAGCCGGCAGCTCAAGCCGTGGCTTCTCCCAGTAGTGAGCGCAGCGAGTCAAAGTGTATTTACTTGACTGATATTGTCATCTGTTTGACGTTAGTACCACACCTTTCTAATTCTGCCGAGACCATGCGCCACTGACCACCTGCCAGCACACACATAGCGTTTGCTAGCGCCCGCAACGTCACTTCGCAGCATCCAGCACCCCAAAGCCGCGGCTTTCGCCCGTCTTGGGCTCACGGGTTAGGTTTGAAATCTAGTGAGTGACTGCAAATCTGAAAATTGGGTGAGTAAATCATCATCGTCGTCATGGAGAAGTGCATCCAGCACATTATTTGAAGCGTTCATGACGTACCTTCAAGAGGATGATATCACAGAGCATGAGCTGGCATCTGTTTATCCAGCAATGCAGGCACATGCAGATTGGCTGCCCTCATACTCACTGCGCATAAAAGCCAACGTAGCGTTTGACTCAGAGGACATGGTCAGTTTCAGGGATGATATTCACCTCACTCACCACCATGATCATATCTTTCGCAGCGATGGCTGGCGTAGCTATCGCATCTGACAGCCTGACAATAACACCAATGGGTCTACCCTGCGACACCCCTAGTAAGCACTTCTGCGGTCCACGTGCAGACCTTGGGCTGCGTGCTTACGACTAGTATCCGCAGATCAAGCGGAGTGCTCGACGGGCATCAAAATTTGGAACAACGACAACGATTTCATGTATTTTTGCGGACCTTCAAGCACAATTGTTTACTACGAGGCATGTTCGTGTAAAAATTGCTGTTACATAGATGTCCTGGGGAACTACCAGTGTTGAGCCTTGGTGAGCTTGTCGTTCCCCACTGCCTTTGGAGTCCGAGTGTTGATGTGCTCGCTTAGCCTGATATATGCAAGACTCTGGGCGTGAAGAAGTGGTGCGATGTAATGTCAATCATATGACATACATTAACTTGATGTGTCCGTCGAGAATAAGCAAGACGTTATCGAGCTTCATAACGCAGTAGATGATACCATTCGCGTGGAAAATTTACAAAACATGAAGAACCCCCGATGCGTGAAACTTGGCTTGGCGGAACCAGAACTGCTTGCACTGGATGTGCAACATGAGGTCGATGCCAAGAACATACACCATGCCGAGATGCATGCACGTGTCAGTCTGGAAACACGAGTGCAAGCCAGGCAGGAAGGAGTGTCGTTCGCGAATGGCAGCAAGAATACTCGTTTCCCCTGGATTAGACATACCTCTCGGCTTCAGTCGTCATCGATGACAATCTTATTGAGCGTCTTGATGCCATACAACCTCATTCAATTCTTGATCAGAACAACCATGATCTTGAATTCGTCCAAACCGACTTTGCGCTTGCGACTTGAGAGTCGCTGCGCCGGAGGTGCATATTGGGACTCAGGAAGAGGTTGCATCGCCAAACCCGGCTGTGGGGGCCCAAGACTTCGTACTCTTCTTGCTCCTGGTACCGATGGTGAGGGAGGTAACAACGGTTCATTGGGGTAAGCAGGGGGCAAGAACCCGAGCACCTGGAGGAGGACGAGCAGGAACATGGGACGGCGGCTGACACTGATAATAGTAATAGTCAACACCATTCTGCGCCGCCTCACTTTGCTTGGAGGCGCGGCCTCTCAGGAGATTACAGGATACCTACCGTGCTGCGACAATAGCCTGCATGATGAAGGTAATCCTGCAATACCCAATCTGATTGTTTCTCTCGTATCAATTTTCTCAAAGTGGAGATGATCAGTTATGTCTACTCTATATGATAATAATCAGTGCTACTCAATAATCGATGCAGGCGATGAAGCTTGCGGCGTAATGAATGGTGTGTCATGTGTCGTCACTGCTCTCGTCTTTTAATGTCGATTGATCATCGCCGTCAAGTACTGTCGATTCGTCGTCAGTCTGTAATCTTGACTCATTATCACTCTCGTACTCGGAAACCTCATCGATAATCAGAGATTCCTTCCTTGCAAGATCCTTGTCTGTTTGTGGACTCGGTTCTGGATGAGTGTTGACGAATGCTTGTAATGATATGGGTTCATCCTCTGGATCGGGTGGCTGGAGCGTCGATCCCTCCGCTTCGTAGAAATCGGTGAGGGTGAGCGAACGCATGTTGAAGCCCTGATATGTCCAGTTGGCGAGGTTCACGAATTATGTCTCAAAAAGCGTACCTCTTTCTCGACCTTCGTCAACGCTTCTTCATCGTGCTCCATGGCGCGCATACATTCCCTCACTGGGACCATCGCAGCGTTGCGGCATAATTCGCGCAAATCAGAACCAGAGAAACCTGTTGTCTGAGAAGCAAGGATGCGCAAGGAAAGATTAGGGTCCAATTTCGTGTCCTTGAGCATCTGATGGAGTTCAGAGCAAGCAATGTTACATCAGTGATGTAAACACATACTAGGGATAGAATTTTGAATCTCTGTTCTGCATCTGGAAGAGCCACAGCGAACCGCTTCGGCATGCGCCGTAAAATTGCTGGGTCAATATCACCTGGTCTGTTCGTCGCGCCCAGCACTAGTATCCTGTCAGGGCCTGACGTCAAACCATCCCATGAACTAAGCATCCGAGATCAGTCAAAGATCGACCAGAAAATGGATTGCTCACGTCATGAATTCTGCCTTCATCATACCCATGACCTCGTGGTCATCTCCACGGCGTTCCCTCAGGAAGGAGTCGATCTCATCGACAAATATGATCGCAGGTTGGACCTTCCGTGCGAGGCTGAACAGACCTGCGACTAGCTTGTTAGACTCACCGAACCACTTATTTGTGAGTGTTGATGCGGGAACGTTAATGAATGTTGCGCCAGATTCTTTGGCCAGCGCACGTGCGAGCATAGTCTTCCCGCATCCCGGAGGTCCGTAGAGTAAAACTCCTTTTGGGGCTCCAAGAAGGGGAGAGGCCGAAGTGAAAAGGGTGGGATGGATTAAAGGATAGATTATAGTTTCACGGAGAGATGATACGATTAGCTCCAGACCCCCGATGTCTAAGAAATGTTGGTTGGCATGGGAAATTCATTTGCAAATTACGGCGGACTAACCCTGAAATCGGACGGTGATTTCGTCTGGGTGTACGACCTCCTTTGATATCGCTCCTGCATGAAGTTCCAGAGGTCAGCAGGAAGCGGTGCGTAGCCGAGGAGGTTACGCGCACTCTCATACTCATCCAGCTTGAGGTTCTTTTGTCCGATGAGCTTCTTGATTGCCTCAGCACTCTTTGTTGTGAGGTTGTCACTCCGTTTGAAGTACCACTACAAGGATGTTAACTCTGCTTGCCGGAAAATTCCATGACGGCGACGTACGCGAATAGCACAGTAAACCGCTGCCTAATGCGGATCCTCAGCTCACGAGAGCAAAATGGTTAGCAAAATGAATAATCACCTGGGAAGCTAGGAATAGAGCAACTGCAAGCATATCAGCATAGTAAGCAGTATTTGTGAACGAAAGCAGCGGTAAAACATACCATCCAGGATTATGAAGCGTCTCGTATTCAGGGGAGATGTCATCGAAGAAGAAAGTTCGATTTTCTATCTGCAGTCAAAAAGCAGACACCCGTGCCCACAACTTTTCAGGAGAATGTGTGATGACTGGCAGCTGCAGCGTGGTCGGGTAATCACAGATCCATATTGTGTTGTTTGTATGTGTTTGACAAGAGCTTTAGAATTCAATAGAGCCAAACTTCATTGGGTTGGTCAGATGCCTTACTGAATGGTATTAATACGAGCACTGATTTTGGTCCCTACATATTGTGGCTGGTCGCTAGCGCTGTCTTACGAACTCATCTGAGAACTACTCAAATCTCGCTTTAAATTTATTGATATGCAGATTGTTTGCCGAGTTTGGCCTAGTACGGCAAAAATCAATCTTCGCCACGGAGGCTTAATGAGTAGTCCAAGTCCAAGCTCCAAGATTGCATATGCTAGGTGCCTCATAGGTTAACGTTAACTTTCATCGTCCCTCTGCAGCCAGGCTGACTGTGGCCACTATCGTACTTGGACCAAAGGAAAGCAAAAAACATGCCAGGACCGTGGATTGAACACGGGACCTCCAGAAAACATCGCACTTCAGTCTGTTGCTCTCCCAGCTGAGCTATCCCGGCTACGAATGCAACGAGCCTATTTGACAGTTATATTTCGATGTACACCTTATCTAGGTGTCAGTGCGGTGGCAAATACAATACATAGTTGCTACAACTACGTGGACATCCGTTGGCGAAGCCTGCTGAAGTCAGTCCAACGTTCTCCGAATCAGACGGCCCCCACGGCAAGCGGAAGAACGGGTCCACTCCGGAAATATAAACATGATTCGACAAGAAAATATCTCGTAAGTGGAAAATTGGAAATCATGTGGTCTGCCAGGGTCTGTCCAGTGATAACTTCTGTTATCGGACAGAATTGAATACTTCTGTCAATCCCCGTCACGTTCCTCAGCCACGTCGGCTTTTCGGGCAGGTTGAAGCTGCCTTAAATAAGGCACCCTGACCACTCTGGTCTTCCCAGACTCTCTTATCGCACCCCCACCATGACAACCATACAATTAACTCGATGGACGAAATACTTTGGTGATATCTATGGAAATGCAAAGCCACCTGTTCTAGGCTCTTTCGCAGTGAAAGAGATAGAGGACAAATCCCGGGAGGTAATGAAAGACCATCTCCGTGAGTGTTATCATCCGTTCAAGTCGCAACTCTTGATTCGAACGAGGGGAGCTAGCGGCATACATGTACACGTTTGGGAGTGCGGGAACGTGCTCGACGGCCGCTGCAAATAGGCGTGCGTTCGACCGGTGGAAAATCGTCCCTGCAATGCTCAAGGATTGTACTAATCGAAGTGTCGAAGTGAGTATTTATGAGCGTGTGACACCCCTATCTAATGTATTTCTGCGTCTGGGTAGACAACGATTTTTGGAGAGAAGTTCCACGCACCTCTTTTCGTTGCGCCCGTAGGTGTACAGGGTATCTTGCATGCAGACGGAGAACTCGCAACTGCAAGGGCTGCCGCTGCCTGCGGGATCCCTTACATTATGAGCTCGGCATCATCCCGGTCGATTGAGGATATTGCAAAGGCAAACGGGCCTGATGGTCAGCGGTGGTATCAGCTCTACTGGTATGTCTAATCTCGTATCACCATCCCCCTTATCATAACTCGGCTCCGAACACCTCAGGCCGCGCACGGATGAGATAACAATATCCCTTCTCAACCGTGCCAAAGCTGCAGGCTTCACTGCGCTCGTGATCACGCTCGATACCATGCTCTTGGGTTGGCGTCCACACGACCTTGATACTCACTACATACCTTTCTTGTACGGTGTCGGCATCCAGGTTGGCTTGTCCGACCCCGTGTTCATGAAGCGCTCTGGGTACGAACCTGTGCACGAGACCACCAAGTTCCCTTTCGAGCCAGAGAAGATCAGAAACGCGGCGTTGAACGCGGGTGATGCGAATGCCAAGAAGGCAATGAAATTGGGCAAGGACTGGCTCGCAGAAACCAACTCAGGTCTTTTCAGGTCCTGGGAGGATCTACAATTTATCAAGGATCACTGGGACGGGCCTATCATTTTGAAGGGAATTCAACGAGTGTCGGCAAGTTCATGTCTTTCAATTCAATGACGACTTGTGACAATGTTTGCAACAGGATGCGGAGAAGGCTATTGAGATGGGCATTCACGGGATCATTGTGTCTAACCACGGTGGACGGCAGGTGGACGGTGCCATTGGCTCCTTGGATGCATTAGCCAAGATCATGCGCTCGCCGAAGGTCCTTGGTGCGCAGACGAAAGGCGACCTGACAGTGCTATTCGACTCTGGTATTCGCACAGGCAGTGATGTCATCAAGGCAATAGCAATGGGTGCCCAGGGCGTCCTCAGTACGTGTCATGGCTTTTCTACAGTAGTAACTTTTTTACTAAAGAATTCTAGTCGCTCGTCCATACATGTACGGTCTTTCCATTGCCGGACAAGCGGGAGTCGAGCAGATTTTGATGCAAACCGTGACTGATATGCATCTCACGATGGGTCTCTGCGGGTACAGTGATGTTAATGACATCATTGGGAAGCGGGAAGAACTTCTCGAACTCGTAGATGATTGAACGGCAAGCTGCATTGCAAATTGACACATCATTTGTCCTAGAAGACTGTATTATGGACTATGTATTCCAAATGGCATCGAGAAGTTCATCAAAGCAGGAAAGTAAACTCGCCCCGAAAGTTTGTCAAAACGCAAAACACCCTTTAGATCCCGGCTTCTCCCGTGATAAACAAGAAGCCGTCATCTCCAGTCGTTGCACATGATCTAGATTAAAACTGCATTCATTACAAAAGCAAGCGCTTGTACACGACATTGGCACTACAGCTGACCATGCCCCAAATAGGTCTGTTCTGACATCCATTGAAAGTAGCTGCATAAGCGAGTCTTAAAGGAAACTGCTTGCGATTCACTAGCACTGTCCAGGTCGAGCGATAGTGGTGATTAAATGAAAAAAGTCATCCGTGGAATAAAGAAGCTTTCGAGGTTGTTGAGCATTTGGACTTCGACGAATCGACGATGGAAATATTCAATTAACCTTCAGATCCAATCGATGGGGAGGAATTCCCGGCTCAGGAGTCAGTGAGCATGGTTGGTGTCTGACTGGGTCAGATAAGTGCGTGGTCTTAAGATATTCGAACTTAAGTATAGACTACATTCGATTGGCAATCTTTCCATGATGGGTCTACACTCACAGTAATTGTCCAGAATTTTATCATTGAGGATCAGTGCTCATGCTTGATACGTAAAACGTCGAGTGGCAGGTTCAAGATAATAAGTAGTGATGATTATTTACTAGCTAATTGGAATACATGAAGACCATAAACTTCGAATGAAGACCATAAATTTACATGAAGACCATAAAATATAAACTATTGATAGATAATAAAGAGTAGTGATTATTATTTACTGATAAGTTTGCGAATACACGAAGAGCATAAACTATAAACTATTGTACCCATCCTTTCCAAGCAGCTTCCCAACCCTCCACGAAGCACTCCTCGGCGAATGCGCTTACAGCCCACGTACGTGCACGCATCCTCATCGCTTGCTCCTCCGACTTATCCATGCTCAACACTGTGTGCATGGCGTTCGCGAAGCTCTGCGAATCGAGTGCATGGAATCCGGTTGCTTCACCGTTCAGAGGCACAACAATATCATGAAGTGGACCACCGGAAGCGTGTGTCACAGGAATCACACCTGCAGCCTAGTTTCGTCACAGGTAAGTTGCACAGAACAGATATAGGTGAAACAGGGAATCTGCACCATGAATTCAACGACGTTTATTCCAAAATGTTCGTCCACCATCGTGCTGAGCCCGATGCTCGCCATTGCGAGCCAGCCGAGCATCTCGGGGTAGCTTGCGTTGACGATGAACTGGATATGAGGGGTAATCTTGAGTTCTTCTGCGAGATCTCTAAGGGACTGCACACGCGCGTGGTCGTCCGCGTTACGTGCACCACCCAGTAGGAAAAGTTTCACAGAAGAGGAGCCAGAAGTATATGATGGGTGATCGGCCAACAGCTGCGCAAAAGCGCGAAGTTGAGCAGGGTGATCTTTCTCTGGCCTTTATAAGTAACACTTGAGCTCCAGCAATGAATGAAAAGTGGAATGAAAATAACCTGAATTGTGCGATACTCAGTATGATTCTTTCCCTCTTGTCCAACGGGAATTGTGACATCTCGCGGGTATCACATGGTGGGTAGACAATTTTGGCCTCTCGTTTCTTGCTTGCTGACTCGGTGTGTAGTTTTCTTGACCTCTTGAACATAGTCGCAAAGAGAAGAAGAGCAAAAAGGGGGTTAAAAAAGTGCATGGCGTTCATGATGGGGTCAGAGTGCGAGAGTATTGCATCGACATGATTCTTTGTCCAGCTGGAGTTGGCCATAATGAAGGAAGGGCGAGAGAGTGCCAGGGAGTAGTGATACATTAAGAAACGGTAATACCTATGGGAGAAATTGTTATGATAAGTGACATCGCAACGCCAAAGTCACAAACCAAATCACAGCAGGGGACAAAATTCTGAAAGGAGCAAGAATACAAGAGGTGGAAGGTGGATCACTTGTACTCACCACATCTTCCCGCGGCTCAATACCAACGAGCCTGCGACATCTCCACGGTTGGTATGACCCACCTGTCTGGCCTTTACACGGGCCAACATGTCCGTACTGATTGTCGGATAATGTACATATGCACCCATAGGTATGGAGCCCTTAGTAATCCACGCAACTACATGGAATGTAAAAGCGTAACCCATGCTGTCTAGGCGGTATGAGCATCGATAACCCTACAGCATCCAAAACAGGTAGGCCTACCAATGTATAAGTCTGGGATGACTTGGGCTAAAGCTTCCCAAGCGAGAATCATGGACCCAAGACTCTGGCCAAGAAGTGTAAAACGTGGCCAGGCAGCATCCTCCACTAAGCGTCTCTTCTTTAGGAAGACGAAATGCAAAGATTTCGGGTCAAGGGAGATATCAAAGCGTGCTTCGACTTGAGCTATTATTTGTTCTTTGGTCACGTCGACGTCTCCAGTATATACTAATGAGACGCAATTAGGATGTGCACGTTGGGTGGCTGCTATAGCGGTCCAGAGGACACGTTCACCTCCCCCACCTGCATTGCTACAAGAATCTCACGAGTCAAACATCACCCAGTTCTTGGTGGAAAAAACCTACCAGTAGGGATGGAAGAAACCGATAAATTGGGGGTTTGATGTGGTGGGGATGCCAAGGGTCTTGATAATGGCATGGCGAGCTTGTGCTGAGTGTCTGGCAAGTTTATTTGTGTAAGCAGTAAAAATGATGATACCAAGAAGGCCTGTTAGAAGAAGGCACAGCAGAGCAATAGCGGAAGCCATGTGCAAGTACTGTATGGTCTGCTCTGAGGCTCGCCTCGCTGAGATGGCAAGAGCCAAAAACAATGTGCCCCGCAAGTCCCGCAGGACTACCGTATTATAATCGACACAGCCACCTCACTCTAGTACAGTAGTACTCCACCATACATGTCCCGTTTAAGTCTCTCCCGTTTCCAAGGCAATGGCAACTTGAATCAACTTTATTTACTTATTCGCACTCATGGCTGCCACTCATCCGCGTCACATAGCCTACTTGCGGGGCAGTGCGGGGCCCGATAGTACGAGCTTATGTGTTCCCCATCCGGCAGAACATTATCGTTATTCTAGAATGATGCATGTCCAAACTGAACCAAACCACCAAACCCTCGTAGACAGGAACCGCAGTCGGCCCAAAGTCTACCCACACAAGATCATGATGAGTTTCTATCTCAGTTGGCCAGTGGCTGCACAGCAATTTCAAGGTGAGCTATAGAATTTCTTTTTTACTCTCATAGCTTATTATCATAGGTCTCGCTTGGCTGCTCCTGTGAGCCTCACGAACCGCATGGCCATATGTAAGGTCCTCTACATTTCCTGCGCGAAATTCGCTGTTAACCGACAGCAGTGGTAGTTACACGGAAATACTCGGGTGAGTGACTTTCGCCCTCGAGTAAGAGTCTACTAAGTTCCCATGTAAAGTTTAAGGCTTTGGGTAGCATAGCTATGCAAACATCGTAGCCGGTCTACCAATCAAGAAGCTTGGTTCAGCGCTGGCAGATGAGCGCTCTCTACCATCTTCGTACCTTCTTATATATCTAAACCGCCACGACAACTCTTTGGATTTTTCCGTTCACTGTCTTCCACCTGCTACGTCCTTCCCGTGCCATCTAGTACATATCATCATCTATGGCTCCTCTCGTTATCATAATCCAACCTATCAAGTCATTCCCAGCACCCAGGTCTGGGAATATTGTCGCCCGCAGTTACCAGTCCGGGTCTATGGACCATCATACCATGATTGATGTCATCGTCATGATCGGTTAGTTTGCGTTCCTCCAATCCTTTAGCAACGAATAGGGTCAATTTCAAAGCCTCTATGCCCATTGTCATTCCTCCTTTGACCCGTGACTCTTGTACTTCATGATACTGACAACGTCTCAACAGTGATATTCGTTGCACTCCTTCTATCACTCTCTGTCTTGGCATGGTTCCGACCTACATCGCTGAGCTCACTCCGCGCAATTCCCATCCTTGGTACTTCTGTGCCCGTCGCCAACACAGCCATGCCTATGCGTTCAACTGCGACTCCTGGGCGCGGCATTGGCTACTCCAGACAGATAGTGGTGTCGTCCTTATTCCACAACTGGTGGACGCGTGCATCCCATAATGGTATTATTCGGATTGTCACGAATGCTGCGCACCATGAACAAACTCTAGTTCATGTTGCTCAATTACCCCACACCCCATCGACAGTTACGGGTACAGAGTTCTCTACTCGCTCACCGAGCTTCACCACTTTTGCATCCACTTCTGTATCGGGGGCACCCAGCATCGTCAACACGTTCGTTAACAGTGAAGCCGTAGAGCTTCAGGTGCTTGGTGGCAGTAAAACCCCGAGCACACCCTCATTAGCAGTAGCCGACGATGTGGATAACCAAATTGTTGTGCTACCTGCTACAGAGCTCATCGCCCGCGTAGACGTGGGCACAGTGCCTGAGGCACCTGATTCATCCTGAATGCTTTACCGTTGATTGCTACAACGGCAGAAGTTAATATCGCAGAGGTCGACGAGGCAGTAAGGGGGTGTTTCGTGATGAGCCGGACCAAGTGCACCCTAATTTTGGGTTCCACGCGCAAGGCAGCGAAAGTGGGGATGGGACTGGAGTCTGGGCCGAGGTGATACATAAGAAACCTGTGTCCGTTGTTCTGGAATTTGGGATCCATAGTCGTATACTTATATAATAAGATATCCACCTTGCGCACGTTGATGTTTTCGAGTAGAATATACCGAACACCGCCCTGTAGCCTAGTGTGCTATGTCAGAGCCTCAGGACACTGCCTCGGTGTGTACACTAGTGAATGGAAAGTTCTTTGATACGCACAGCACACTACAGCAGGACGGGTTTTACAATTCCACACGTTGCTTGACGTCAATTGTTTGTAGACATAAGTATGATATCGCCAGTGGTGCGGCCGAAGTTCCCGACGTGGTTATTCTCGGGTGTGTGAAGCACCACATGCCTCGAGAAGATTGAGTACTGAACTTGTACTAAACATTTATGTCCAGCATATTGGACGTACGAATAGGATGTCTGATACTTGAACGGTCCCTAGCTAGGACTTGGGAATTGCCAAGCACCACTAATGCCCCACAAAGCACGAACGTTCGTGCATCGATATCGGTATTGCAAGAAAACGAAAGCTCCGAGCACTCGAGCTTGTAAATGATGGTAAAACATCATCAGAAGACGAATTAATAACGGGTGGAGCGAACTTCCGAAGGTACCGAGGAGCCAGTCTGGCCAATTAGAGTTGTCGGAGTAAGGTCCTACTATGAGAACGATGATATATTAGCTCGATGTCGATTGGGCACTTAAAATTTGCTCCACTGAGGCTGTGGATCAGAGGTGGTACGCTGGCTTGACGCTGACCGAGGAGATTGACGAGTAACTCCGAGTCAGGCTGAGGTATGTATTAGGCGAGCAGTTGAAATTCGAAGTTGATGAAGGATTTCTAGGCGAGTTTCGTAATGGTTTTTGAAGCGACAATCAACCGGAAATTTTCGCGAACCGAGCGTTCGTTCTAACTCCTCAGAGACCTATGGCCTATTCGCTAGAAGGGACCGTCTTTCGGGTTCCCTCACCTATAAAGGTCTGGCTAAGGGAGCTCTAGAGGGTTTGAACGAAAGTTCCTAATAACCTCAGGGTAGTCCCATTGTTGCCTAGCGGTGGTGAACCTCCGGGTGGGTGAGTCTCTTATTCTGGACGTATTAGCCATACCTATGCTTACCTTGGTTCTTCTTCAATAGTCGTGATGGCTAGCTCTCGTGTCGTTCCGCTCTCGGATGACATACTCCTTATGATCTTCAAGCTGGCGCGCGAAGAAGACCAAGTTACCTTCAACAATTATCTCCAGAGAGAAAATGCTCTCATAGGCAGACATTGGGACGATTGGGGAGAAGAATTTGATTGTGATTATGAGCGGTGGCAATTCGAGCTAGCAGATGTTCTTGGCGCTGGTAACATCGATGACTCTCCACCCCGATCAACGCTCTTGAAAGCTATGGGTGTGTGCAAGCATTGGTACTCGCTCTTATACCAGACTCCATCGATGTGGACCGTGCTGGAAATCTCCTTCCGCGAAGGTGCTGCAGCTCTCGAACACGCGCGGACGTTTCTCCAGCGTAGCGGGTCATGTCTCGTCCAAATCACACTTCTTTGGGACGATCCCACTTGGATTGTGCCAGTCCACAAGGATGAAATCGCGAGTGGTGGAGGACTACCACCCCCATCGCGTGAAGAAATCATGGACGGTGTTTATCTTGGCTTGGTCATTCAGGAGCTGTATGCCCATGTGCACCGTTGGCGCGAGTTTACGCTCAGGACGACCTCCATTACCCATACATATCAAGCGCTTTCGTTGATGTCACGCCCGTCCATCCATCGTGCCAATAGACTAGAAAAACTGCATCTCCAATTCATACACAATCCACGTCATGTGACTCACCATGTCAACGAACCATCGCTTTTCCCTGGTTCAATGCCTCCCATTCGCGATCTTCTTCTTTTTGGCATAAGTTGGGCCTGGCCATCATCGTCCATGCTGTCGTCTAATCTCGTGGACCTGCGGATCCATTATGGTGGCCTCATGAATGAGGACGGCACAAATCCACGCACGGGTCCTGAAGCAAAAATGTTGTGGCAGCTCCTTGGCGCCCTCGTCAACCTCCGGACTCTGGCGCTCGAGGTGGATTTTGAATCCTTTGATGATGCAGACACCATCGAGTTGCCTCGTCTACATAGCCTGACTATCAAGTCGGGCTCGATGACATCCTGGGCCGTGGAATTTCTCGGCCACGCTCAAATGCCTGATCTCCGGATCTTAACCTTGTGTGTAACTACGGAGGATTCTGACAGTGTTGAAGGTATCCTTGACGGCGTATTGATCGAGCTTACTGATTCTGAGGACTCTGAAAATCCTCTGGAGCTGGATGAACTCCATCTCTTTAATTTTGCAGATCCAGATTCTGAGCTCCTCCATCGCCTGTACACCCAGATGCCCACGCTCAAAACTTTGACTTTGGGACCAGGGGCGAATGCCAAGTTCAATCTCTCCCTCGCGATGGGACTGCTCCCTACACCCAATGGAACCGGACTACCGGATCTCCCTCTCCCTGGACTTCAGACATTAGTCGTGTTTGATATTCCAAAACAACTCGTACGGCGCATCGTACTAGAACGACAGTCGCTCGCTGGTCCGTTGGAGGAGCTTTACTGTCGTTACCGTGGGGGCCATGAGGATGAGGGTGTCCCAGATGATTGGCAACATCAAGTCGAGAAATACTATTGTATTGGTCGCCCGAAGTCTGCCCGTTACACTGACGTGGTTGCCAAGCAGTGGTCATATTCAATCTAGCACCTCGTTCACTTACCATGTACTTAAGGTGTCGAAAAAGTTAACCCTACTCAATTTGCTGCCAAACTCATCTCACATATGGACACGTTAGCAAGTAAGCTCATTCGGAGCTCATCAATCACTGGCAGTGACGGGTAGGATCTTCGCAGTTGCAATTTCATTTGTCCTGGCTAGCAAGGACGGATCCCTGAACATGACCACCGCATCAATTATGGAAACTCAAGCGTGCTTGCAGAATACCGGCACAGAGAGCGGGGTATACGTACTACTAGGCAAAGTTGTGCAATACCAAGATGCCTTTCGAGAATGATCAAGTTGAAACAACATGGAGTAATCTAATCTGCACCTGTGTCAGTCTTCTCAGAACCGGGATTTGCATGCACAGAGTTCCGTGCGACATTTGCTGCCTCTAGAATGTGTGCACTTCGGGGAACTGGCTAGGTCAGTCATCTTCTTTGGCAGCTTTCATGCTAATAGTTGTAATATGGTCACAATCCACCCCGGCTTATCCGAGATTTCGAGAATATGAACAAGGCAAGCTCTCATAGGTGTCAGAATACGGCATCTGGTGACGACATGCTGTATAGCTGTAAAGATTTTTTTAAGAGGCACAATGTCTGCAAGGCAGCCGAAACTATCTGACCCCAAGCTGACGGCACATAGTGCGGTATTTAAGCCACGAATTGATAAGAGCGCTAACTCTCCAGGGAGAAATGCATTTTATGCATATCATTGCCAGATTAGACAGTTATGTAGACTTCGATGATACACAATACCTACTAAAGCTCCCTGGTGGTTTGTGCGGGAGTCGAACCCGCGAGCATTTCTGGCTTAAGGCCGGCGACCGCTGGTGTGCAGTCCCAGGTTTGGAGGCATGTCCACGTAAGTCATCCACATCCCAGCTGCGAAGATTTGGCGGCATCGGAATCGAAATAGGCCAGAAGAGACTTGTAAGATGGAGAGGAAATGCCGTTCGCCATCGAACTTTCTCGTCGTCATGGAAGTAGTCCATCAGAGATAGGAAATATGCATGTGCACCTGGCGCTAGTCACAGACCTGAGCATCTACACAGCAATTAGGCAGCGAAGCGAACACGAGGATAACACATGGAACGCACCTTGTTAAAAGACGGCATAAATGGATAGATGCCCAACTTCCTCAACTGTTATCCAAACGCCCACCGAACGCTGTGATTTGAGCACTGGGCTTGTCTGAACTTCTCGTGAGTGATACTTTGGGCTCTTCCCACCTGCTTACCAGCGACTTTGGGATATCTGCGCATTCTCCAATACGCAACTCTTGTATATACAGTGCGGAAATTAGCTTCTGGGTGAGGACCAGATTCCTATAAGCAGGCTGTCTGGTGAGCGATGGCTTGTGCACCTTTATTAGCGAGAGCTGAAGTTGAGGAAGATAGGCAGGTCGACTCACCAGCAATATTTGTCGTTGCCAGAAAACTTGTTTTAATTCTAAGATCCTGGCGGGCTTCTCTCGCATAGATCCGGTATACTTGAGACCTCCCCGCGCCGACTATGTCTTCCAAGACAAATACGAAGCAACAGACACGAGTAGTTGCACCCTGTCAGACGATGCGAGGTCAAACCGACAGGGTAAAATGTGCTGTGCACCTGCCTGGGAGACGAAGCGTCATCACATGTTCGTTTGATGGCTCAATTCGACTATGGGACCTGGAGAGTGGCGCACAGATAGGTGAGGACTGGCGAGATGAAGGTGATAAGAAAACAGGGGTGTACAAAATGGCATGTCTCCAAACGGGAAGACTGTTGTCAGCGGAAGTATCGATGGGAAAGTGAGGTTGTGGAATGTCGAGACAGGAAAGATCGTTGCAAGATGGATAGGGCACACTGAGGGTGTGTTGTCAGTTTGCTGGAGTGCTGATGGTGATCGAGTAGGGAGCGGATCCTGGGATAGGACAGCAAGAGTGTGGAATGTCAAGAGCGGAGAAACAATCCTGGAAATCAAGACCGGGCACAACTTTGTGTGGGCAGTGATTTACTCGCCTGACCAAACAAAGATTGCTACAGGAGGATACAAGGAGAGCGCAGTAAAAATCTGGGATGCCGAGACGAGCGAGCTGCTCGCCACACCGTGCTTGCACGATTACACAGTTTGGAGCTTGGCTTGGACGTCGGATGGAAACAAGCTTATATCCGCGTCAAAAGGCCCAATTAGGATATTCGACACAGCCACTTGGAATCAGATCCCCATCCTGGAGGGTCACACAGCGGCAAGCTGGGTTTCCGGTATCTCCTTGTCTCAGAACAACCGTCCTCCTTGCGAGTGCATCAGATGACTGAAACAGCGCGTTTATGGAATCTTGACACTAATCTCCAAGTCGGACCATCCCTTCAGCATAGGAGCAAGGTACAATGTGACCGCTTTGTCCGCTGATGGAAAAGTTCTAGTCACTGGTTGCATGGATAATAATGTGTACTTGTGGGATGTTCAAGCAATCCTTAAAGAAGCTGACATTAAAGACCAACTGCCCCCTGGTACTGATGTTGTGAGTGTCAACATACCTACCCGCTCTTCCTCACTGACATTATCTGTTGATAGGCACCAAAAGACCAGAAGGGCGAGCCAGGAATAGAGCATACCCCCCGCTCCTCAATCGGTGACAAGTCATTTTTGGAGGTACGTGACGTATTTCCAAGCCTTCCATTCATCAAATAACAGCAACATTGTAGGCTGACTGCCACGCGATGTCACGATGGGTTTGGGGGGTCTCGATGGACTTTCACCACGGTTTTTTGACGGCATGGAAGCCGATGATGATGTGCGTCATTAGTATTTCTATTGATGAGTTCGTGTTCAGAATTGTTCTCAGTCCTCCCAAACGGGCGGTACCCACCTCATTCCTCTCCGAGTGCACTCCTCACTCGCCTTGCCTCGCTTCTCCACCGCTTTCGACCTAATAACGCCGAAGCGACCGGACTTCCGCAACCCCCGACGCCTTCGATGTTACATCCGCGGGTGCTCCTGGGCCACCTGTCCTCACTCCTTTCACCGCTCTCCGCCCCAAAATGATGAAGCAAACGAACCTCAGCAAACCTCCACACCTTCAGGGTTAGATCTACATGCATTATTCGCTCATCTGTCCTCACTTTTGCCCCGCTCTCGACTGAACGAAGAAACCGAACCTCGTCCCACAACGCCTTTGAGTTCACGTCCCGATGCACTCGTCGACTTCCTGTCCTCACTCTTCCGCGCTCAACATCGTACCAGCGAAGAACTCGAACTCCCGCAACGCACTATTCATCCTCATGTTGTCGAAGTACCTGCGATGCGGGACAGGGAGGTATGTCTTTCTCTAATGTATCGATTTCTGGTGTTTGATGATTTTTATGCAGGTGTTGTATGTTTCTCCACAACCGCCACCACATCGTCCAAACACTCAGCGTGCTGGTAATACGGTACCAGGTGCAAGACCTGCGTATTCACTACCTGTCCGAATGTTGGCTCATCTCGGGCTTGTTCTCTGCTGCAAGTTTCCTCGACACCCTGATGGCAATGCACACTCAACGCAGGAGCAGCAAGGTCAATCGCAAGGTCCAGTCCAGACCCAGGCTCCGTCGCCGCAAACCCAGGCTCCGTTACCGCAAACCCAGGCTCCTTCACCGCAAACCCAGGGCTCCGTCACCGCAGACTCAGCCTGCCGTCCCGTTGGCGTCGACGTCCGTGGTACTTACTGCTCCTGATACTCGTACTACGCCGACACGTACAACAACCATGTAGCTGCGGCCCCTTCCATTGCGGATTCGTTTCGTACTTCTTCTCTGCTGTGCATCTCCCCCCACCAGAACACGCCACCGACTACCTTGCGATGTTGACCCATCCCGGAGTACCTCACCATCGTCTGGATCTCAAACAGAACTGCATTTGCACCATTCAATGAAATCTCTTGGTAGCAAAATGATTAGTCAATCTAAACGCGTGGGTGCGCGTGATTGCGCTGCATCGTCAGTTCGTTGAAGTTCAATACATTCGAAAGCTACTGCATCCCCCGTATCAACTTTGTGTTCCATCGAAACCGTTCGTGGCGGACAGCGATTCGAGGACTGTTTCCTTTGCGAGCCGCTTATGTAACTACATTTAATGGTTGTCAAAGATTGGCGCTAGCATGCGGACCGTGCTCGACCTTCGAACAGATCCCTTTGCTCACGATCAACAAGTTGTGCACAGCGTTGTCGGAGGTGAGAATACGAAGACACAGTGTATCTATTTGCAAAGACGAGCAGAGGACAAGACTGCTATTAGATACTGTATTTCCTGAGTTGCTACTGTAAACACAATGCATCGTCGAAGAGCGGACCGAAGGGGTGTTCGTAGAAACTCAAGTAAGGCCGGCGAACACTGGCAGATAGCGAAGTATACTAGGCAAAGCTTTGCAATAGCAAGACCTTCAAGAATGATCAAGTTAAAACATCGTGGAGTAATCTAATCTGCACCATAACCATTGGTGTCAGTAACAACAGCTTCCTAGAAGTGTAACTCCTGAATCGGAATTTGCATGTACAGAAAGTCCCGCGCAATGTCTGCTGCCTCTAGAATGCGTACAGTTGAGGGAATTGCTAGGTCAGTCCTCTTCTTGGCAGCCTTAACGATAATAGTTGTAATGCGATCACAATCCGTCCCGGCTTGTCGAGATTAGGAGAGCAATGCAAGGCGTCAGAATTGGCATCCGATGATGGCATGCTGCGCAGCTCGCCGACATGCTGAAGATTTGGCGAGCATCGGATTGGAAATAGGCTAGAAGAAACTTATGAAATGGAGAGGAATGCCGTTCGCTGTCGAACTTTCTCACCGTCATCGAAGTAGTTCGTAAGACCTGGCGCTAGTCACAGACCTGTGCCCTTAATCTACACAGCAATTAGACGGTGAAGCGAACACGAGGATAACACATGGAACACACCTTGTTAAAAGACCGCATACACGAACGGATGCCCAACTTCCTCGGCTGTAATCCAAACGCCCACCGAACGCTTGTGATTTGAACAGGCTTGTCTAAACTTCTAGTGAGACTCTGGGCTCTTCTGCGAACATATCCACCTCCTTACTAGCGGCTTTGGATATCCACTAAGATCTCTGTGCATTCTTCAATACGTAACTCCTGTATATACAGTGCCAAAGCTGGCTTCTGGGTGAAGACCGAATTCCTATAAGTAGGCTGTCTGGTGAGCGATGGCTTGTGCGCTTCTATTAGCAAGAGCTGAAGTGAAAGAAGATAGCCACATCAACTCACCAGCAATATTTGTCGTTGACAGATAACTTGCTCTCATTCAAAGATCCTAGTGGGCTTCACTCGCATACATATTGCACGATCTGCCATACTTAAGGCCTCCAAGCGCTGACTATGCATTCCCCCACCAATAACAAGCAAGAGATGCCAGTGGTCGCGCTCCGCAAGACGATGCAAGGCCGTACCAGCAAGATAAAATGTATTGTGCACCTGCCTGGGAGGCCACGCATCATCACATGCCATTCACGGGACGGCGCACTGCGACTATGGGGACGTGGGGAGCGGCACACAGATAGGCAAGGACTGGGAAGATGAGGAGTCGACAACAAGGGTGCGGCCCATGGTATTGTCTCCAAACGGCAAGATTGTCGTCAAACGAAGGGATGAGAAAGTGAGGTTGTGGGACGTCGAGATGGGAAAGATCGTCGCAGAATGGGAGGGGCACATTGGGGATGTGTTCTCAGTGTGCTGGAGTGCGAATGGTAATCGAATAGTAGGCGGATCCTTAAACAGGACGGTCGGAGTGTGGAATGCCAAGAGCGGAAAAACAATCCTGAAAATCAAGACCGGGCACAAGGTGTGGGCGGTGAGTTACTCGCCCGACGACACAAAAATTGCGACAGGAGGATCCACAGCGAAAATCTGGGATGCCAAGACGGGCGAGCCCCTCGCCACACTCAACATAATTGGGAACACCTTAACATAGTTTGGAGCTTCGCCTGGACATCGGACGGAAAGAGACTTCGAGTTTGAAACCGTACTTATCACCAGCTCATCTTGCCTAATTAGGATATTCGACACAGCCACTTGGCAGCAGATCGCTATTCTAGAAGGTCATGAAGCCTTCATCAACGCCATCACCTTATCTCCAAACAACCGCTTCCTCGCAAGTGCATCAGATGACAGAACATCGTATCTCTGGAATCTAGACACCAACCTCCCAATCGGTCCACCCCTCCAGCATGAAGATCAGGTGGAATGCGCAGCCTTGTCCGCTGATGGAAAAGTCCTAGTCACCGGTTGTGTGGATAATAATGTGTGCTTGTGGGACGTTCACGCCATTCTCAAACAAGCTGGCCTTGAAGACCTACTGCCCACTGATACCAGTATTGTGAGTGCCAACATATCACCAACTCTTGCTCACTGACAGTGTCTGTTGATAGGCACCAAAAGACCAGCCAGTAATAGAGCGTACCCCCCCGCTCCTCAATCAGTGACAAGTCATTTTTGAAGGTACATGACGTGTTTCCAATTCCTCTCATTCATTAAATAACAGCAACATTCCAGGCTGATGCCACGCGATGTCACGATGAGTTTGGCGGTGTCGATGAACGTTCACCACGGTTTTTCGACGGCATGGAAACCTACGATGATGTGCGTCATTGGTATTTCTATTAATGAGTTCATGTTCAGACCTTTGTTCTCAGTCTTCCCCAACGGGTGGTGCTCACCCTCATTCCTCTGCAAGTGCCCTCCTCGCTCGCCTCGCCTCGCTCCCCCGCCGCTTTCGACTTAACAACGCTGAAGCGACTGGACTTCCGCAACCCCCAATGCCTTCGACGTTACATCCGCGTGTGCTCCTGGGCCACCTGTCCTCACTCTTCCACCGCTCTCCGCTCGAAAATGATGGAGCAAACGAACCTCAGCCACCCTCCACACCTTCGGGTTTAGATCTACATGCGCTCCTTGCTCGCCTGTCCTCGCTTTTGCCTCGATCTCGACTCAGCACCGACGAGGAAAGCGAGTCTCATCCCCCAACCCCTTCGGGTTCACGTCCAGATGCGCTCATGGATCTCCTGTCCTCACTCTTCCGCTCTCAACCTCGCACCAGCGAAGAAATCGAGCTCTCGCAACGCACAATGCATCCTCATGTTGTTGAAGTACCTGCAATGCGGGACAGGGAGGTATGTATTTCTCCGGCATACCGATCGCTGGTGTCTGATTGTTTCTGTGCAGGTCTTGTTTGTTGCTGAGCCGCGGCCACAGAATCGTTTACACACTCAGCCTAATGGTACTACCACCCCAGGTGGAAGGCCTGCGTATCCACTACCCGTCCGACTGTTGGCTCATCTCGTGCTTTTTCTCTGCTGCGCGTCTCCTCAACGCCCTGATAGCAATGCACCCTCAACACAGCAGCAGCAAGGTCAATCGCAAGGTCCAGTCCAGACCCAGGGTCCGTCACCGCAAATCCAGGGTCCGTCACCGCAAACCCAGGGTCCGTCACCGCAGACTCAGCCTGCCGTCCCGTTGGCGTCGACGTCCGCGGTACCTACTGCTCCTGATACTCGTACTACGCCGACACGTGCAGCAACCATGTAGTTGCGGCCCCTTCCATTGCGGATTCGTTTCGCACTTCTTCTCTGCTGTGCATCTCCCCCCACCAGAACACACCACCGACTACCTTACGATGTTGACCCATCCCGGAGTACCTCGTCATCGTCTGGATCTCAAACAGAACTGCATTTGCACCATTCAACGAAATCTCTCAATAACAAAAGGATTAGTCAGATCTAAACGTGTGCATGCGCGTGATTGCGCTGCATCGTCAGTTCGTTGAAGTTCACCTCATCAATACATTCGAAAGCTACTGCATCCCCCGTATCAACTTTACGTTCCATCGAAACCGTTCGTGGCGGACAGCGAATCGAGGACAGTTTCCTAAGTTCCTCTGCGAACCGCTTATGAAACTACATTTAATGGTTGTCAAAGATTGACACTAGCACACGGACCGTGCTCGACCTTCGAACAAATCCCTTTGCTCACGATCAACAAGTTGTACACAGCGTTGTCGGAGGTGAGAATACGAAGACACAATGTATCTATTTGCAGAGACGAGCAGAGGATAAGACTGTGCTAATACTGTATTTCCTGAGTTGGTATTATCGTCGAAGAGCGGACCGAAAGGGGTGTGCGTACAAACTCAAGTAAGCCGGCGAATACTGGCAGAGAGCGAAGTATATTAGGCAAAGCTGTGCCATACCAAGACACTTTTCAAGAATGATCAAGTTGAAAACGACGCGGAGTAATCTAATCTGCACCATAACCAGTAACAACAGCTTCCTAGAAGTGTAACTCCTGAACCGGAATCTGCATGTACAGAAAGTTCTGTGAGACGTTTGCTGCCTCTGGAATGCATACACTCGGGGAAACTTGGTAGGTCAGTCCTCTTCTTTGGCAGCCTAGACGCTAATATGATCACAATCCATCCTGGCTTATCCGAAATTCCGAGAATAAGAGAAGCAAGGCAAGCTCTCGCAGGTGTTAGAACACGGCAGGATCCGGCATGCACAGCTCGCTGAAGGTTTGAATTGGGTTGGAAATAGGCGAGAAGTGACTTGTGAAATTGTGAGGAAATGCTGTTCGTCATCAAACCTTCTCACCGCCATCGGAGTAGTCCATTATAATCAGATATAGGAATATGCACATGCACCTGGAGCTAGTCACAGACTGCGCTCCGTCTACACAGCAATTAAGCTGTGAAGTAAACACGACAATAACACATGAAGCGCAGCTTGTTAAAAGACGGCATAAACGAACGGATGCCTAACCTCCTCGACTGTTGTACAAACGCCCGCCGAACGCTGTGATTTGAGCACTGGGCTTGTCTAAGCTTCTTGTGAATGATACTCTGGGCTCTTCTACAACACATCCACCTGCCTACCAGCGACTTTGGATATCCACTAAGATCTCTGTGCATTCTCCAATACGCAACTCCTGTATATACAGTGCCAAAGTTGGCTTCTGGGTGAAGACCGAATTCCTATAAACAGGCTGTCTGGTGAGCGATGGCTTGTACGCTTCTATTAACAAGAGCTGATGTTAAAGAAGATAGGCAGGTTGACTTACCAGGAATATTTGCCGTTGCCAGACAACTCGCCTCAATTAAAGGTCCTGGCGGGCTTCTCTCGCAAAGATTCGCATAGATCTGGTATGTTTGAGACCTCCCCCGCGCCGACCATGTCTTTCCCGACCGATTGGAAGCAAAAGATGCCAGTAGTCACGCCATCTCAGACGATGGAAGGTCATACCGACAGGATAAAAGGTGTTGTGCACCTCCCCGAGGGACGATGCATCATCACATGTTCGTTGGACGGCTCACTGCGACTATGGAACTTGGAGGGCGACGCACAGATAGGCAAGTACTGGCAAGATGAGAAAGAGAAGAAAGCAGGTGTGTACGCAATGGCACTGTCTCCAAACGGGAAGACTGTTGTCAGCGGCAGTGAAGATGGGAAAGTGAGGTTGTGGGATGTCGAGACGGGAAAGGTCATGACAAAATGGACAGGGCACGCTGGGGGAGTGATGTCGGTGTGCTGGAGCGTGGACGGTAATCGAGTGCTGAGCGGTGGATACTTGGACGGGACAGCAAAAGTGTGGGATGTCGAGACTGGCGAAACGATCCTGAAAATTTACACCCGGCATGTGTTTGTGTGGGCGGTAATTTACTCGCCCGATAACACACAAATTGCGACAGGAGGATTCAACCCGAATGCAGCGAAAATCTGGGACGCAAGGACGGGCAGGCTGCTCGTCACACTCAAACACGATTGGACAGTTTGGAGCTTGGCCTGGACATCAGATGGAGAAAAGTTTATCTCCGCGTCATATGGCCCAATTAGGATATTCAACACAGCCACTTGGCAGGAGATCGCCACTCTAGAGGGTCACACAACCTGGGTCTCCGGCATTTCCTTGTCTCAGAACGACCGCTTGCTTGCAACTGCATCAGATGATAAAACATCACGTCTCTGGAATCTAGACACCAACCTCCCAATCGGTCCACCCCTCCAGCTCGAAGATCAGGTGGGATGCGCAGCCTTTTCCATCGATGGAAAATTGCTGGTCACTGGTTGCGATGACAGAAATGCGTACACATGGGACATTCACGCCACCCTCAAACAAGCTGGCCTTGAAGACCTGCTGCCCACTGATACCAATATTGTGAGCGCCAACGTACCACCCACTCTTTTCCACTGACTGTCTGTTGATAGGCACCAAAAGACAGACTCGAACAGAATGTATCTCAGGGCGAGCCAAGAATAGAACATACCCCCCGCTCCTCAATCAGCGACAAATCATTTTTGGAGGTGCGTGACGTCTTTCCAACAATTCCCATTCATTAAATAACAGCAACATTCAGGCTGATGCCACGCGATGTCACGATGAGTTTGGGGGTGGCGATGAACTTTCACCACGATTTTTTGACGGCATGGAAGCCGACGACGATGTGCGTCATCAGTATTTCTATCAACGAGTCCGTGTTCAGACCTCTGTGTTATCAGTCCTCCCCAACGGGTGGTGCCTACCCTCATTCCTCTGCAAGTGCACTCCTCGCTCGCCTTACCTCGCTTCTCCGCCACTTTCGACCCAACAACGCTGAGGCGATCGGAGTTCCGCAATCCCCAACGCCTTCGATGTTACACCCGCGTGTGCTCCTGGGCCATCTATCCTCACTCTTCCACCACTCTCCACCCCAAAATGATGGGGCAAACGAACCTCAGCAACCTTCCATACCTTCACGGTTAGATCTACATGCGCTCTTCGCTCGCTTGTCCTCATTTTTACCTCGATCTCAACTCAACACCGACGAAGAAATCGAGCCTCATCCCACAACTCCTTCGGGTTCACGTTCAGATGCGCTCGTGGATCTCCTGTCCTCACTCTTCCGCTCTCAACCTCGCCCCAGCGAAGAAGTCGAACTTTCGCAACGCCCAATGCATGCTTATGTTGTCGAAGTGGCTGCCGTGCGGGACAGGGAGGTATATCTTTCTCCGGCGTATCAATTTGTGGTGTCTGATGATTTCTATGTAGGTATTGTTCGTTGCTCCAAGGCCGCCACCACGTCCTCCAAAGACTCAGCCTGCCACCGGTAATACCGTACCAGGTGCAAGACCTGCGCATTCACTACCCGTCCGAATGTTGGGTCATCTTGTGCTTTTTCTCTGCTGCGCGTCTCCTCAACACCCTGATGGCAATGCACACTCAACACAGCAGCAGCAGCAAGGTCAATCGCAGGGTCCAGTATAAGCCAAGGCTCGGTCACCGCAGACCCAGCCCACCGCCCCGTTGGTGTCGACGTCCGCAGTCCCTACTACTCCTGATACTCGTACCACGCTGACTCGTGTAGCAACCGCGCAGCTACGGCCTCTTCCATTGCGGATTCGTTTCATGCTCCTTTGCAGTGCATTTCCCCCACTAACACCCCAACACATGAAAAACGGTGAACCGACATTAGGATGTTCCCGGACTCACCAGTAAGCGCAGCGCTCGGTTTTCTGTTTAAAAAAATCACATCTATCGTCCTTTGGGGTCAATGACTGGGGAGTGTTCCCGGCTTTCTATTGTAGTTCGTTAATTGTCACGATCATTGGCCAGCTTCATCACAACAATTACCATGTCAATTCCTTGCAAACCGTACAAGATATGTGGCATTGATACGACGAGCCACAGGAAAACAGGTTTACATATTAACATAGAACATGTCATACACAATACATAGTCAAGCATGATACGAACATATCAGAATGCTGATGCAATGCATGAATCGACTACGTCAAGCACTCCAGAAACCCACAGCACAACCAATTCCAGCAAATAATCCATGCGCTTTGACGCTCTCGGTATTACGCTCCGTATAGACATCCCTAAATCAATGCTCTCCCAGTCCTCTATCGATGTGGCTTTGTGTATGTCCTGGTCGTCCGGCTTGCCCAGAAGACTGTGCCGAGTTGTTCCGAGCTGTAGCTTCGTAGCGCAAAGGTGAGGCTGTGGCTCCTGTCACTAGATATCTAAGTGTCTTCCTGAGTCGACGCCGACTGCGAATGGGGATTTGCCCTGGCACCACTAGAAGATCGAGCCGTTGTTGTCCGACATGAACGTGAAAATTCAGTCCTCTGGGAATTTCCTGGGATACGTCATTGAGAACGAATACGTTGAACGTGCCCTTTTAGCTTGTCCGGTCGCTACCTCGACAATATATAGAGTCGACACCACCATGTGGGATTGAGGGTGATGAATGCGTGTCCAAAAGTTGCCAAGAGGTGGAATACGCCATTCCCGACTGGCAGATCTTGAGGACGTCTGCTGAGCTTCCCTTACGTTGGACTTCGACTTGGATGACGAATCCGTTTCTATAATTTTGGAAGAGGTAGCATGCGCCGTTCCCGATCGGTGGTTCTTGTGGAGGCCTGCTGGTGAACAGAGCCTGATGAAGGTCCAGGTCCAAGTCGTATCTAACAAATCAAATTTTAGTGTATACTTGAATTCGAGTCTGGGACGTCTGAGAGAGCGACCCTTTGCAGTGCCAGAAGGATGTGGCGGTTGATCGAAGAACCCTGGGTTGAGTCCCAGCGAATGTTTATTGTCGTTCAAGTTGTTTTCCTTTGCTCTTGGGGTAATCGTTACAGGAAATTGTTGCATATCATGAGTTTAGTGTTCTACCATAAACCTATATCTCACATCGAGGGGGAGGCTAGAACTAAGAATCTAGTTCGCTTCGTTAGTAGTCGGGATTGAACGTGTGCTGTAAGTTTCCTTGCTTCTTCCACTGAATGAATAGCTAGCTTACAAGAGTCATCCTTTGAATCTCAGGGCACGCTCGAAGCTGCAAAATAATTGTCTGGTCACGGTGAAAATGTAAATGGATGGGTACATATGCATCTGATGTTGGATATAAGTAGGCAATTCGAAGTGACCGGTGCCGGTGATCCTTCAAAGCTTCATAGCATAGAAATGTGTGGCGATCGACGTCGACGAATGATATACATAGATACTTGCTTCCTTGAAACTCTTCAAATTGAGCGCGCTAGTGTCACAGTTGCAAACACATCGAGCGGGCCGGAGTTCCAACCCCGTTCGGTTGGCTGCCGTTGTGTCCTTCCCAGGCTCCGGGTCTGGGATCCGGGACCGGCCAAATCTCTAACCTTCTGCTTGCAAGGGACCCAAGATGTTGTTGCGGTCTTGCGTGTCTAGTCTACCTAGCCAAGGTGGTCTGTATTCCTGGCTGTCCGAACTCAGTACTTGATCCCAACTCTATTCTCTAGGATAGTTCTTGACAATAACAGCCTTGTTCCCCAGGCCCTGTGTGTCCAAAGCAAGTCCAAAGGAGGGTACTTCTGATTAGGAACAGCATAATATTATGATTGACTTCGAGGGGCGGATCATCCTTGGATTTCTTCTAGGCAAGTATCGGACTCGTAATATATGCTTACGTCCGTCTAGTTTCTGTAGTGAACCGACCACGCTGAAGTGACAAGTCCACAATCGAGGGCTTGTGCACTTCAACCCATTTCTCCCAAAGCCATCAATCGGGATGAATATCCGTTATGTCGATCGGCTGCCGGACGACGTGCTCCGCATTGGCATTTTCATTTGGAATTCACCGGTTCACTGATGCGCATCTGTTACTCATTAACCCCAGTGAAAATCGACAAGTTAGAGGTAGATATGTAACGATAGACATAGAAAAAAAATCAGGACATCAATTCTATCGACCCATTTCGAGGTATATCCCTAAATTGTGACTTTTCGAGACGCAAAAAGATAGAGATCGAGACGAGTTTTTAACGTTTAGATAGGATTCTCGATGGCATTAGATCTTTAGATAGACATTTACATGCACATTATCACTCGATTTGGCTTGAAAAACATATCGATATAGAACTAATGCGAACAAATGAGGCTATCTATGGGTATCGCTTGGGTTAGGGTGGTATCGCCATCATTCGGTGTAGTATCGCTGCTTGCTGCGCCTCGCCCGCCCGCCATCCCGCCATCCACTACTCCTCGTCCGCGCCCGCATCATCGCCAGTAGTACTGACTCCACTGGCAGCTGATTTGAGCTATAGAACAGGGCCATTAGTGTAGTACGATGAAATAGAATATAGTGGGTAGCACTCACCTGAACAGCTGCCTTGCACTTGTATATCTACAATAGTAAACGGTATTAGATAGATATCAATATAACAAAAGAAGACGCACCTCTTTGTCGGCTTTAGATAGCCCATTCCAGTAAGATGCGAAAACGGTCGCTGGTTCCTTTTGATGACCGTTTGATTGCCAGTCGAGAGCACACAGGTTTCTGTTTGATATGGATCACAGAATCAGTTTAGATTGGTCTGGTAATAATAGAATATCTTACCGCTAGGCAAGAGCACGGGTAAACCCCCGGGTGTAAGAGATGTCACCCGTACCCGTACCCGGCACAATACCCACACCCGTCAAGTGGGTATGGGTTTTTTCATGGGTGTTATGTTAGAACACCCGGGGTAAGACCCACGACGGGTATACCCACGAGTCTGCTTGCTTGAACCTTGTAAATACAACATGAATGAAATATACTACAACTCAATCATGTCCCAGCCATCATCCATCTCGACGTCGTCACCTTTCACGTCAGCGAGTGCACTAACAGACAACACATCTTCAGTATGGACCAGATTAAGCCGGCTCCAAAAGCCCAGACACAATAGCACGCAAGTGGATTGAGCATTGAGACATGATCGCACATGCGAGAGTATCAAACGACCACGACTAAACAGTCGTTCGACATCCACCGAAGTCGCTGTTAAAAGCTGCGTGAGGCGGCAACCATTGAATATACAAAGAAAAATACTTACCTGGGATAGTAAGGTAGTCTAAGGCCATCCGTGAAAGACAAGGGTATGTTGTCCGGCGCTCATACCACCATGCGAGAGGGTCTGTGACATGCTCAACGTCAGTGCTGAGGTACCGATCCAGTTCGTCTCGAAGGTCCGTGATTTGAGGTGGTGCAAGTGCTGCCATATTGTCGAATATATTCTAGTTCATTAAAAATTAGCTACACTATGGCACTTGAGGTTAGAGAACTAATCACACTCACTGGGACACTTGAATCACAAGGGCGGGTGCTTTCCACGATCTCCTCATCTTCGCCAGGGTCGCTGTTGTCAGCATTGAGACGCAGTTCATATGCATTGCGAACGAGTGTCTCTGCCGTGTCGATCCACTGTTGTCCCCAGTTCGCGCGCTTGAAATAAGCTAGCTTGTGATGTGGGTGAAGTACTATATCAAATTATAGTCAGTACGAGCATGAAAATAAATAAAGAACGTACCCATTGCAATATGGTAGACTTCAGAACTGTCGGTAAGTTCATAATAGCGGTTCAGAGTTTTTTTAGCGAGACCAGCAGCAACACAGATTGAGGGCAGAAGTTGTCAATTCATTGAGTGGGTAGTAAGCGTCTCATCAATGAGGTCCATTGCTGGGATTACAGTGGCGAGATTAGGAGTTGAACGTGAGAAAACAAGGTGGCGTCCTTGAGAATCTGCATGTGTTGTCAGCGTTGATGCTGACTTAATGCAACAGTGGCCAAACTCACCTTCAGAATGTCGCGCAACTGCTCCAGGATTGCCCACTCTCTGTCAGTTAGCTCCAATGCTCTCAGCCCCAAGTCCCGACACTGCGTTATCCTGTCGACAGCCTCTCGGTGCTTCAACACTTGCTCCAACATATCGAATGTTGAGTTCCACCTTGTCGAAACGTCTCGAGGCAACATCCGGGTCGACATCTCGAGTTCTGTCAGAATATCATACCATGCAGGAAGGATTTTTGTGGTAGAGTGTATTATTTTATATGATAACTTTCGTATCTAATCAAATTTGGTCAACAACAGCTCGTTCCTCACTCGTCAAGTGCTTACCTTGGCCAGAGCATCCTTGACAGGATGGACGCTGCTCTGCAACTCTCGTTGCTCCTCTGCATTCAAAATCGTAGCAGCATCGACCAATCCATCAATATTGTCATCGTTATCGTTCTCGCTAGCATCACTGGTGTCACCTGCAAGCCCTTCATCATCTCTGTTGCCGACACCATCACTTCTTGGTCATCCCAGCTGTCTCCCTCACCGCCATCACCCTTTTTCACATCGAATTTGCGGAGGACCGATTTTGCAACAAGATTCACAGTATGGAGGAAGCATCGAGTGTGACCTGCGCGCCCACCATAGTTCGGAAGCTCCACAGCGAGCTGGTCAATCATTTTGTTGTTATTAGATGCGTTGTTGCACGCAATGCAAAGGACCTTCGCGTCATTGGTAAGTCTCAATTGTTTGTATGGAATGGTTAGCTCACTTTGTCTGGGATTCTGAATTCTTCCAGGATCCCTTCAAATGCCCGCGCTAGCTCCTCCCCGGTGTGTGACTGTTACTGGATTAGCAACATCCTTTCTGTGAGTGATTTCCCTACCTTCGGTACTTCAACCACATCTAACAGAAAGCATAGCGGCACACCATTATGCTCCAAGTGGACCAATACTGCAACGAAGGCACGGTGGTTGGGTGATGTCCAAGCATCAGTTGAAAAATTGAGCCTGCCCGCATATTCCTAGTACATGTTTTGTTATTATTGGCCTCGTTTGAACATTAATTAAACTAACCATCATCATTTTAGCAATTCATTGTCGAGTTCGTGCAAAAACAAGCCGCACATCCCTCGAGACTGTGGACTTCGATGGTATGTAATACTCCGGTCGTCCTGTTTTCATAAGTGACTGAAATCCTCTGTCCTGCACAATTTCAAACGGCTGCAGATTCTCTGATACCCAGCGAACAATCTCGGCCCTGGTACACGACACATTAGAGGACAGCGCGGATAAGTTAGAATTGACCTTACTTTGTCTCGGCCTTGGTATGCTGACGATGCGAGTACGTTATTTTTTCCCTTTCCCTTTCTTTCAAATGAGGCTGTTATTGACCCATTTCGTAGTACACTGCCCACAATCTTCTTTCGCACTTCATTGGCATCCTTGGCCTCATCGGCGGCTCGCAATACTTCTTCACCCCAGCACGATCGAACGTGTTTGCGCATGTTCCCTGTCGAGCGCACATCACCTTTGTCGAGGTAATGTCTTACCGTAGTTTTGCAACCCTTGCCCTGGCACTTAAAGACATGTGCCCACCGGCCATTCTCCTCGACAATCTTGGGAAATGGTTCAAAGAAAGCGTACACAGGTGAGATCCAGTCTTTCATGAATCGTTCTGTTGGTGTTTGATAAAATAATATCATTTCCTAGGTTTTCAAACATACTTAGCTCATCAGTGGCACTTTTGTCTTCATTTTTGGTCACCACAAGTTCAACATCATCGTTTTTCGCATTATCGCTATGTGAGTCTTCTTCCTCAGCCTCTGTATGGACGACAGCTTGTTGACTTGACGCAGGTGATGATCTCGACACTGCGATGTTCTTCTTTGATGCTGTTCTCGCAGCGCTTCCAGTGGGTGGGTTTGATTTTACCTTCTTCAGCTGTATCCTCACACTATCTCCATTGACATCAGCTTGGCGTTTTTTAGATGCAGTTTCTTCTAGTGCGGCTTGGGCTTTAGCAGAGACCTTGGAGACTCGTTTAGCAGTAGTATCAGAGTGCATGGTGTGAGTGAAGGGGCTGTGTTTTGTGCACTGCATGCTAGCATTTTGCGTTGATGTTTGTAAATAGAGTTTGACATGTACAATATGTCCGAATTTCATTCATTTGATGGACCGTCATCAGTACTTGTACTAATATAATCTGAAACCCGTGTCAGGGGTACGGGTACGGGTATGGGTACACTAATGTCAGACCCCTACCCATACCCCAGGGATACCCGTACCCGCAACCTGCACGGGTTACCCAGACCCGTGCTCTTGCCTACTTACCGCGCAGTGATCTTTGGGCTCACCCGCATTGGCTTGGTGCTCGGCTGGTGCTTCTTGATGCTATTAGGCTTCGAGTCGCCGACCACGATCGTGGTCTTCATTTGTTCAGTATGAGTCGTTCCAACGAGTTCCACTTTCACAGCTAGTGAAACTGCATCGGTGTTCGATTGGACCTCTGGCATGGAGACTGGTGTGTTCTCGTTGGAGGGCGGTATCATAGCAGAGTGGGATTCAGAAGGCGGAGAACTGATAGAAGTCGGAGGAAGTTGCTGTGGAATAGGTCTGGGCCGAGGTTTGAGAACAAGATTAGAACTAACTGGTTCACGCTGGTGACCATTTGCTTGCCAATCGAGCGCACACAGATTACTACGAAAACAGATCAGAAAATACTAGTACGTGATATCAACTAAGACGTACCAAGGCGTTACTTTCGTGCCAATACGCATTGGTTTTACACTTGGCTGATGAGTCTTCTTAGCAGGCGCAGGAACTACAAGCAGCTCTTTCTTGACCGAGAGCGATATACGAAAAATATGGCACTTACCTCATTCTCTTGATCACAAGATTCAATGCAGGGAATCTCGGAACTTATCGAGGCTGGTGAAGGTGAGTCTGGGAGGCTGGAATGAACACCCGTAGTACTGCCAGTTCGCTATTTTTCAGTGCTGGTATTGGTTGAACTTCAACATCAGGAGATACAGCTCGTTTCAGGGGATTAGAGGGGGAGGTGGCCAATATATCTGGGATCTCGATGGAGGACTCGTGAGTTTCAGGTGTCGTGTCAATGTCATCAGGAGCGCACCAGCAATAAGTCCAGTAGATGGGATTGTCGTGAATGACAATCCACGAAACAAGTCCAGCTCACTACTAGGAGGTGAGCTGCAAAAGAAAATATTGCCCCACGCCGACAATCTGAATTCTTCGAGCTTAGCTCTGGCTTTGCTTTCGTTGAGCTCGACACCGCCATTAAGTTAAGTTTCTTCCTCCAACCAGGCAAAATAACGGGTTAGGGCAGTCCCATTGCGAATGTAACAGCGCCTGAACTAGGGAGGGTGAGTGCCGCACTCATTCAATCAGGGGAGGTAAGGGATGAGAAGGATGAGAGAGCGAAGGGCTGCTGTAGATTAGTTTGATGATTCGAAAACGAATAGATTTCGTGTGCGCGATGCTACCGTGACTGGTTAATGAAGCGTGGAAGACGAGATTGGTTTGAGTGAAGTAGAGAGATTAATCAGTGTGATAGAAAGACCAGTGACCAAGGAAACACAAGGGAGAGGCACAAAGAACTAGCAAGGACCGAGTTCCTCTCCTCAAGGACAACACTAGCAGTCACATTAAGCGAAATAACTGCTCGCCGCCCTGGGCTTGCGGTTGTCGTGTTATGCTAGCAACACAAGGGAATGGTTGTATCGAGCTGGACTCGGTGTCGTGGCAGGGGCGAATTACATGGTGGGTGGATGAGAAGATGTGAGTGGTTCAACTGTACTAGGACTCCAATAAACATAATGCAAATATAGTTATGGACTTGTGCAAAATACACACGTGCATTGAATGCATGCAGGTGCAAAATTGTCACAAAGTTGCAAAGTACTACGCAATCGAGGTCTGACATGTTGCATTTTTTCACCTTTGGAAAGATTCTTTTGCGTTTGCACGAAATTAGAGTTTTGCCTTCTCGAATTTCTTCGATTTGTATCCGTCTCATTTTGTACTTAGACGTCTACCGGCACGTATCTACCTCATTCTTGTCGATTTTCACTGGGCATTAACATTAATCCACTTTAATCTACATGTACACCGACAATGCCCTCGCGAGTAAAAACTTGGACGGACCGTTCCGACCGGTTGTAGATCGATCTGATCGGTGTGTACTATTGTGACTCCAGCGCTTATCATATCACCTGTGTGGCTATCATTACAGCCCAGGAATACCTTGAGTTTCAACACGTGTTCGTAATGGCAATATTTATAGCCGCCCTGACTGGTTGGTTGTGTACTATCACTCATTCCTACCCCCTTACCTCAGACTTTTCCCAATCCTTTTCTCCATTCCTGAAACTCTACATCATACTCATGTCGGGAGCATCAGTCCCTTCAAAGAGTAGCCAAAGGCTATCAAAAGATGGTAGCACAGACGGCGCCCCTGCGCAGAGCGCCCACCTTGTCGAGCAGCTTTCTCAGCAAAAAGAATACCGTACGACCCGCCGATGAGTGAGTTGCAACTTTCCTGGAATCTCAGTTCCACATTTGACAGCGACACAGTAAGGAGGAAAATCGTGGACCTTCGGTGGTACCTGCACTGGGAATGTGAGCGTTTCTACCCCGATGCTTTTGCGCTCTCCTTACACAAATTGCAGCTCGAACTCTGGGCTTCCCCAGAAACCAGAACCTCACGCACATGAAAGTACTTCGAACGATTCTCCCGAAGGCGCCTTGGCTGCGTGAGTTCCACTCAGTCCCAGTCTCAGAGATGCTCATATCGTCTCAGCGAGGGGGAAAAGGTGCAGGAGAAACAGCCAAGTCAAAGTGAATTGTGAGCGGCCAAGTAAGCCAAGGGGTCGCAGCTGACGATACCATACCCGCAGAGTGAATGTCTTGAATGTCTTGAAGGAAGTGTTGGACGTTCTCAAGGACTCAACAATCGCCTCGAAGGAATGTTGGACGTTCTCAAGGACTCAACAATCGCCTCGAAGAGCGGCAAGGACGCCCGCTCTCGTTTCTGGGCGGCATACAAAAGAGTCGCCGAGGAACATGACGATGAGTTCCTTGACCAATACTACAATGACATGGACATCGTGTGTTAGTCTTCGTAAGCTTCGTATACTCGCATTTGCCTTGTATTGGGATTGACGTTTGATTAGTCTGGTCTGTTCTCCGCCGTCAGCGCGGCTTTTATTGTGTCGATGGAGTCGAATCTTATTCCAGACCCTACCGACACCACGAATGCCCTTATTACACAGCTCGTCCTGATCGGACTCGGCAATTTCACTGCAGCGGGGTCTGCGCCGGTAGCACCAGCATCTACCTGGTCGCCGACTACAGCCAATTTAAGGGTTCAATCCATCGCCTACGCAAGCTTGTCCTTCGGTTTACTCGCCGCTTTCGGGGCTATGCTATGCAAGCAGTGGCTCGGGTACTACAAGTCGCACAGATACAGCCGCGGCTCGGAGGATGAACGAGGGAAGCGCAGACAAGAGAAGCTCGACGGCATTATCACATGGCATTTCCATGGTGTCGTGCAATCGTTCCCTATCCTACTCCAAATCTCTCTTCTTCTATTTGGAATTGCCCTCGGCGCCAATATGTGGTACGAGCAGTATACAATCGCCTGGGTCATCATTGCAGCCACGGTCTTCGGATTTTTGTTTTATTCCCTGACGGTGATGGCAGCTTTGGTATCTCCCCGCGTGTCCATTTCAGACGCCAATATCGATGATATTGCGCAAGTGGCGCGTTGACGGTAAGATCAGTTTCAAGTTCTACCCATTTCCAGCCTGAGTCAATTGCAGAGGTTCTACGTCCAATGTTTTTTTTGGCCTCCCAGTATCTTCAGCAGCTGGTGAAGCTGATACACGGCAAGTTCCGTTTTCTTAAGCGTGCACAGATTTTGACTGTTTCTTGCTAGGCGTGCTGCAACCGGGGTTAGATGTACTGCATTATCTATTCTATCGAGACCCTGATGGCCACTATGTTATATGTCGTATTCGAGTATCAGAACTAACAGGTGACGTTCTTTAGTACTATTGCATAGCACACCCAGCGCTCATATCACCCCAGACTCTGTGTTTGCGACCTGTTCATTCGCATGGCGCTGTCTTCAGCTGTTATTCGGCTCCTTTCAGCGCCTTCTATTCTGGCGGCGCTCTCCGTCACAGGTCGTGGACCCTGAAGCACAATCGCCTGACCAGGAGAGGAACATTGTAGCCACTCTTAACCTCAACCTCCCAGACACAGCCACAAGCGGTTCCGAACTACCTAGCATCAATTGGCTCCTCGAGACATCCACGGATCCTGAAGTAATTCACGCTGCTGCTAGCCTTGTTCCTTATGTCGACTGGCCTCTGGATCTTGATGTCTCAGCCACGCTACGTCAACTGTACAATGTTTACACAACCTGCTTGGATGTCCAGGAACGAATCATACTGTCGTTGGAGGAGAAGGCATCGGCATGTACAATGGCTCTTTGTCACCTATACTGCAACCGTATTCTTCAGGGACATCCTGCCTACGGATTTCTTGGCGAGAGAATCTCAGATTACGATGTGTTTCTCCAGATGTTGGAGAGGACAAAAGTCAATCAAATTGTGCTTGTTGCGACAACCAAGCTGTTTCTTGCGAAATATGAACCATCTTTCCGGTGGTCACGGAAGTTTGAGACTTGCCCCGACTCTGTCCTTGACTGGCTGTCTCATTTTCTCCCTTTCCACTTTGCTACAGGACAAGTGGATGAAGATGTAGAAAAAATCGCTATGGAAGTCATATCAAAACTCCTATGCTCCTCTCCATCGCCTCAAATCATAGCTAATTGCACCCTTCTTGCTTGTGTTATGGTCGGGGTTCGGTTCGACAAGAAAGACATCGTTCGGATTGATAAAAGGTGCTATTGACTCATTTGATGGTTCTTCTGCTATGCTAATGAAGAGATCGTGTAGTTCTGCACTGCCTCGACTTGCTGAGTGCCTTTGGACAAAGTTTCAGGAAGCACTCCGGGCATCGGATGGGGGCGATCTCGACAGTACTGTCCGCCGAGCATGGCACTTCGATGTCATCTGTCGGGTGCTTAACCGTCATTCACTTTCACCTCTGAAGACGTGGAACCTGAGCGTAATCTGCAAGATTCATTCACGAGCCAGGTCATCTCAACACAATGATCAGGATTCATTGGCAGCACTACGGAAAGTACAGCGCTTCGGGTTCGCCGTTGATGTCGATCAATTCCCATTAGCCCCTGCAGACTCTGCAGCCCCTGCCTGGTTGTGGCAGCATCACTTCTCGTGGCAAACCAATTCCCACTCGCCAGAAGACTTCGACTGGCTAGTGGACCACCTCGGCGATGTTTGTTCCGACGACCACGAGACAGCAGGTGACATCCTTATACTACTGAGTAGTATGAGAGTGGGCTGCAGCCCCGCTAAACAACGTCTATACGTCGAGAGCCTCATCGCCTGCATGGATGGCCGCAGGCCTCCTCGTTTACGTCATGCTGCCCTTCGCGTTGCTCACAGTTCCCGGGACGTCTTGGCCTCCATAGATGTCATTGATGATGCGGACATGATTTTGACCAAATTCTCCGCTGCTATCCTTACCGCAGTCTGTCCACAACCAGGTGCAACGCCCACTGGTGATGGCCCTGACTGCTTCTTCCATCTTAACCGCGATATGTGTTATCTCCAATTGATCTTTGCCCTGGCGAGGAATTCCTATTGGCGCCCCCATTTGTACTGCCACATGGATCGGGCCATTAAGATGATCGCAGTGTGCTGCGAATCACACGAGCCGCATGCCTTTTACCTTGTTGGTATCTTCCTCCGAATAACACATAAACAGGTGTCCGCCACATCACTCAGTTCTATCACAGAGCAGCAGGGGTGGAACATGATGAGAAAGGCATGGCGTTTAGCTTTTCTCACAATCGGCAACATACACTGTGTCGAATTCCTTCCCGATCTTGTGGAAGGGACAAAGAAGTACATGCGTACTAGTGTCGTTTCAAAATATGATCTCAAGCAACTCATCACTTATGTGAACCATCTTATCAGGATGCTGGAGCACAGGGAGGGGGTCGCCCTTACTATGAAGGAGTTGAGAGGTATAGCCGACGACATACTTGCGCAGTCTGGTTAATACATCAGGGGAAACCTCCGCCAGGAAACTCACCAAATTTTTCCACCTGTACCTGTAGGTTTGATGTATCACTACCTATAACTACAAATGATCCGAGATACAATAATTGCTGAGGGCTACAAATGGTATGATACATCACTGTATTGTAGACTAAAGGTTCCCTATGACCCCGCTACATTGCTTAGCCGTGTCCGTGTATAGTAGTACTATGTGTTTCCTTGTTATAATACCTTTCTGTTGATGAAGTCGCGAGATCCATCTGAGATCATCGTGCCAAGTCTGGAGTGTCATTGAGATCGCAAGATCGTGTCATTTGAAGCTAATAATGGACATCATGATGCTGACTCGTTCGAAGTTCTTCAACGATGACGCAGGCTGAAAATTTCGACCAGCGTGGCGAATCGATTCAACTTGGTGTATTTACACAGTGTGGCCAATTAGGATTAAGGCTCTCTACACACCGCCGACTGGGTAGGAGTCTGGAGTGGCGTATGCCACGGATATCTATGACGCTCCAAAGCGTACTTTAATATAGTGCGCGATACACTATCGAGTGCGCGACACACAACATCGAGTGCGCGACACACTATTGAGTGCGCGATACGTCGAGTGCGCGATACAAAAGCAGCTCGGTTGGGCCTTGAAGCTTCGAAGTCATGTCAATATTTTGAATTTTTCAACAAGCAAGTCTACTATAAGCGCTAGTAACTATTAGTATTAAGTCCGAAAACAAAAAGTAGCAAGGCATAGGCATTAAGGGCTCCATAGTAATCATTATGGTACTAGAAAAGATTCTGAGTAGACGGCAAGAGGACACGAGAGATTAGACGGCAATATTGACATCACCAATAAAATAATCTTCTGACCAGGGATTAATACGAGGAGGGGCAGATGGACTATCGGGGTCGCGGATACCACGCAATATGATATCAGACGGTTGGGGCTCTACGAAGTCGGGTGGCATGGCAACACGACGGCGTTGAACAATGGGTGAATGAAACTGTGTCGAAAGTAAATCAGCGGTGCCGAAACGTGACCCAGTGGAAAAAGAGCTAGTGGAGGGGATAGTGTTTTTGCTTGGGGTCTGTGGTGCCAGAGACAGGTGTCGAATAACATCAGGGAGTTCATCGATATCTGCATTAGAACTTTCTAAAAAAACTGAATTTAAAGTGAATTAAGAAAGTGAAAATTTGCATTAAAATAGGGACACACGTTTCGTAGGCTGTGACTCCTGTGAGGCCGCATTAATAATACTCGATGCTCGGAGATCTGACACTGGCTCCTCAAGCTCCTGCTTCACCACAGCGCCTACTAGAATAATGAATAAGTGAGAGTATATTTCGCAAGCTACACAACACACACCTTTCATTTTTTTGATGACTGGTTTGTATTCCGTGTCGGAGAGAATCTCGATGGACAATGATGTTTGTCGCCCACGTTTGAGCTTTGCAGCAGCTAGAGAGTTGGATAAATTGAAATAAAAAGTAAGTGGTTGAAATTAATAAACTTACCTGCATGTGTTAAGATTATTGGTTTTGCCGCCTCAAAACTTGAAGCATCATCAGAGTCGAGAAACATTCCATCATCCCCCGTCTCTCGATATTCGGGATCCCATGATGCATAGACATGTTCTGGAATTCTTCTCCGCAATGCTGAAGATATTCAGGTTAGCATCGAGAAATTATATAAGACGGAGGCTTCTTACCTATGATGATGTTTGCATCTTTCACAGGGCACTTGGGTCTACCTCGGAATCATGCAAGATCATTGCCGTCGGGCCTTTCAATATTTACAACGTCGTAGTGGAGCCTCTCCTTGCTTATCAAAACCCATGGGAAAGAAGGTATGCCAATTCCTTTCCCCTTTTCTGTCGAATTGACATATCCAAATGCCAAAGGGAACACTTCATTCTGCAGGTATTGATTGACTTCGTCATGAGTCCACGTTCGGCTGAAGGAAAACCTGCTAGCAGTCTCGATATGTGCGCATTGACGGCGTTCCATGTTGTGCAGCTTCGTCCGTGATGGTGGGATTGTATTGATGAGGTTACCATCATCCTTCAACATATTGTGTTAGTTTTTCTTGTGCAATGAACGAGATATATATTCTGAATTTACATCGAGACAATTCACCAAGAGAAGCCATTGTGCAACCTTGGTAATTTTATCCTCAGAGTCAAATTGGCTCATGGCCCTTGCTTTACCGGTAACACGACGAAATTGCAACTGCTCTGACTTGTAAGTGCCGCACATCTGTCATTGTATATTGCGCACCTTATTGTTCTGCGAATTTAAACCAGTTCTATATCCATTCATGACTTCATCTCTTGCTTGCTCGACACCTATCTTCTGATCGAGCATGCTTTTGGAAGAGGCAGCAGATTGCAAGGATCTTGCTGCAGACCCTGCAGCACTGGTCTTTTCCTTGAATATGCTGATGAGTCTCTTTTTTCCAGATGTGGTTCCATCTTGCTTTCGAGGTGCGTCTCTTGTAGGATCCAGAGCTTCGGGATGCTTGCTAAAGCCATGTTGGCATTCTCGACAGTAGTACAGAGCATCGGGATTAGAGGGTGGGGTGAAGCATTCACAGGTGCAGGCTTGCCCTCCCTGATGAAAGTCTTGGCAGTATACTTCACGGCGATCAGACATAGCAGTGTGTGGAATGAAGTAAAGATGGTTCGGGAGAACAAATCAGTGTGGGTCATAGATTTTTTTTATTTTGCATAAGCATTGGTTATTGACTCGTAAGTCCCATCAATTTCTAAGCTTATTCATTCACTACATGTAACTACAAGTATCCTTCTGTTTCGAACAAAGATAATGCTGATAACCCTTGACACCAAAGTGTTGCACGAGCTTCCCAGATAGGATCACTTAACGAGATGGTAATTGATTTTGTTCCACGCCTTCCAAATTGTAAGACTTCAATCATGGCTGCATCATCACCTTGCTCATCAGGGAGCAAGCCATAACCTTCCGGTACAATGCCCTCGGTAACTATTTGCTCGACTGTTGAAAAAAAAAGGTTTTCATCATGCTGAGTCTCAAAGGGGCTTTTCTTTCCGGGAACTTCAACAGCGGCATGTCGAATATTCCGTTCCTGGTCTTCTTCTATCTGTAAGATGAGCTGATCCTCCGAATTAGTGTCTTCGTCATCAGGATGGCCAGCACCAGTCTGCCCATGATGACGAGTCTGCTCTCGCCCATGAGTGCCATAGTATTGTTCAATTGTGTCTGGATGAACTCCGTCACAATTGTCTCGGTAAATACCAAGTGTTGCCTGGCTTATCAGTCGCAAATCCTGTGATGAATATGGTGTCAGTTACTTTATGTTCAAATTTTTGACGTGAAATCTCACTTGTGGACTCTTATTGTTTGTTGATGGGCCAGCAATTGGATGAAGGTTCCATTCTTCACGAAAGGTCTTACAGTTGTCATTGATAGCATCCAAGAATAGATTTTGGAGAAGCCACAAATGACCTGTTTGCTCGATATCGAGCCTGTGCAGTCTTTCCAAACGGCTAAAGAATGCCCTCCAACGTCTCATAAATTGTGTTCCTACTTCAACCCAGAGGCGCTCAGTCCTCGAATTTCAAGTTGACCTGTGGTACTTGTGTGAGAAAAACACCCAAAGGATCAAATGATGATACTAGGCTTACGATCCCCACATAAATGAGCCACGATTTGGGCCGTTTCGCATGACCATATAAGTGGCAACATCAATATTTTCACCACCACGGTCACCTCGCATACGTGATGGCATACCATACTCTTCTTGTGCTTTGAGAAACAAATTGAGAACTGTTGTAGCACGATTATTTGTGCTCGTTTCTAGTGCAACCACCTGGATGAGCCATGATTAATTTCTGATGACTTCAACTCGGACTTGTGACATACTGTTCTGCAGTAACCATCAATAAATCCATGGACAATAAATCCCCACCGAATCATCTTATGGTGCCCATCCAAATGCCAAAGAGCATTGGAACACTTAACTTTATATTTCCTTCTTCGAATAATTTGTTGGCGTCTGAATTGGCGTCCAATTCTGTCAACTCGTTGTAGGGATTGCCAAATTCACCTATGTTGTACACGGACACCTTGTTGTCGAAGAAAACCAACAAGGTACCAAAACCCAGACTCCGGTCTACGACATTTGAATATCTTCACCAAAGCATCAAGGTCACGGTCACGAAGGTTGGAATAGCACCTTTCAATGCTGTGTTGACGCATGTAGCGCCATAATGTTGCTGGATGAACATCAACAATCTTTGCTAGCTCAACATGTCTGATGTGATGTTGAGCAGAGGTGGCCTCGATCAAGAAATCAAGGTCTATTATTTTTTTGGGCCGCCCTCGTTTTCCCATGTTCTCAATTCCAGTTAATTCTGGTATATCAACACGATGCTCCTCTCTGTAAGATCCTGTCTCAGTATCCATGTATCTATCAAAATTTATGCTTACTCCTCGTTTGCAGTAGTCCCTAGGTGTTCCAGACCCGAAACTACACAGCCAAGTACCATGGCTACATCAGCTAACCATTTGACTGGGAGAGACTCTGACATTTCATCCGAGTCTGTGTTATCAGCATCTGGTGTGAGTGCTTCGAGGATTGGAAGTGCATTTGATGAGATAGCATCCACATGGAAAGCAATACGGGTAGGGTCGGCTCCATCTGCTCGAAGAACTCGGATTGCATGATCGTAAGTGTGTTGGATATTCTCATAGGCAGCTTGGATTTCGGCCGACCAATTTTTGGTTTCAGGGAGAAGTGGAAGTGACAATGACAATGAAGGACTGTTTATGTCCATTGTTTCCGAGAGTCCGAGTCAGTGCAGGTTGGAAGGGTAATAAAATTGTCACCAAGAGTTCCGCGGGCATAATTCACAGGTGACGTGGTCAAGGCATTGTTTTCTGTGTCCGGTTTTATTACTAACAACGAGTTACTCACTCAAGCTGTTCTTCATTCTACTAGTCAACCTTGCAACTATCAGTGGTTCGATGACTGCTCGACACCATCAAATGTTCTACTTCTCAGATGGCACTCACATCTTCCAGGTTCGTGCACCACTTAGTATCTGAATAGTCTCATAGTGGATACCGCGGACTGACAGTGTACTACTACTAGGCAGGACACTCACTCTTTAGGGTGCATGCAAGCATTCTCGGGGATAAATCACTTGCTTTCCGAGACATGTTCGCTGCAAGCCAGGGCACCCAACTTGAACAGGTCGATGGTAGTACTGATGACAGGCCTATTTGTGTGCCGTCGCAAGTAAGCGAAAGTGCATTTGAATTATTTTTGTCTGTCTGTTACAACAAGTGAGTTTTTTTCAAGTTTTTTTCACAACGGACGACTTGGACAAGTCTGACAATTATACCATACAGATGGAGGCCTGATGTCCTCAAAATATGTAACAAAGCTGTTATTCAACTGCTCGAGCTGAGCGACATGTATCTTTGCAAAGATGCACGAGTCTATGCTGTTCACCATCTCCAGCGGCAGCGTTACTCGCTTGAGCCAACACGACTTATCTCACTCGCATTAAAGTACAACGTCAAAGAGATCCTGCCGCATGCTTTCGAGCGACTCGTTTCAGCTCGCATCAATGATATCTCCGACGAGGAATCTCGCGCTGTTGGGTCCATTGTATGGAACACAATGTTCAAAGTCAAGGAACGACTCGATGTACATCGTCGGATCATTGCATGTGAAGCCCCACCTATGGTGCACGCGGGAACTTGCACGAAGCAAAAACTATGCGAGGATGACTGGAAGCAGCTGTGGTGGAACGGAATGGGCAGATTTTTACTGGACGGACGAAATCCCCAGCCTTACAAGGATGCCGTCGAACGCTTCGAGAAACTCGACATCGGACAAATCAATCTCGACTGCTGGAAGGCTGTGTTATATATTGTGAAAGCTCACAGTGCTTTTGATCATGAGCGAAAACTTATTACTCGTACAGCTGATGATCTTGTGAAGTCCTTAATTGTCGAGCCTAACTTCGAAGATTTCGGTCGTCTAGTTCACTAGAATAGATGGTGCGTTGAGCACTTGATGTTGTGTATCGCGCGCTTGGTGTCTTGTGTCGCGCACACGATGTTGTGTATCGCGCACTCGATAGTGTATCGCGCACTATATTAAAGTACGCTTTGGAGCGTCATAGATATCTGCTAGTCATGTTATAAAGATTGGATTATGTCATGTTGAGGTGCATGACGCAAAGGGCACGAGAGGCGTGAACAGGGTGAACGGGGCAGAATTCCGAGATCCCAGATGCCCTGGTAAATTCAGGCTTGTTGCTAGGTACAAAATTGACAAAGAACCAAATAATCAAATAGTACACTCGATATTGCAGCAATAAGATCATCGTTACATGGAGCTAGCAGGATTGATGTCAGTAACTACGAGGACATATGATAAAGACTAAGAACTCACGCATCTCGGCAACTCGACCACTGTGTCCCATGTACCATGCAGCTCAAATCAAGTTCAACACCTCCTCTCGGGATCACCATTGCAGTGCCAGGAGAATAAAATGGGTATCGGGAAGCTGGAGGTACCCAGAAAAGGAGCCGACGATCGGATCCCATCATCCATCCATCAGCGTGCAGCAAGAAAGAGGTTGAATTAGAATTATGAGAGGTGAGTTCGAGCAAGTCAGCGGAGTTGGGAAGGGTATGTTCCAGGTTAGACGAGAAGCGAATGAGGTGATTGTTACAAGTGTTAGTGGGCATGATACAGCTTTCCTGGATGGGAGGTGTAGTGCTTCGATCAAGCGAAAATGCTGAGGAATTTGGCTCTCTGGACTCAGGGGATGGTTGCACTTTCACTGCACTGCACAGCCGTACAGTCTCATCCCAAGAACCAGACGCGATGCGAGTACCGTCTGGTGAGAACGAGACTGAGTTGACCCAATCGGTGTGCCCCTGCAAGGGCTCACCCAATGGCTGTCCCGTCCATGCATCCCACACCCGCACAGTCTCATCCCTTGAACCAGAAGTGATGCAAGTACCGTTCGGTGAGAACGAGACTGAGTTAACCCCTTCAGTGTGTCCCCGGAAGGGATCACCCACTGGCTGTCCTGTCCCTGCATCCCACAGCCGCACAGTGTTATCCTCCGAACCAGACGCGATGCGAGTACCATCCGGTGAGAACGAGACTGAGTTAACTCCTTCAGTGTGCCCCTCCAAGGGCTCACCCAATGATTGCCCTGTCCCTGCATCCCACAACCGCACAGTGTTATCCCAAGAACCAGACGCGATACGAGTACCATCCGGTGAAAACGAGACTGAGTTAACCCAATGAGTGTGCCCCTCTAAGGGATCACCCAATGGCTCTCTACTCCATGCATCCCACAGCCGCACAGTCCCATCCCTTGAACCAGACGCGATGCGAGTACCATCCGGTGAAAACGAGACTGAGAGTACCATATCTGTGTGCCCCCGCAAGGGCTCACCCAATGGCTGTCCTGTCCATGCATCCCACAGCCGCACAGTCTCATCCCAAGAACCAGACACGATGCGAGTACTGTCCGGTGAGAACGAGACTGAGCTAACCCCTTCAGTGTGCCCCCGTAAGGGCTCACCCAATGAATGTCCCGTCAATGCATCCCACAGCCGCACAGTCTCATCCCTTGAACCAGATGCGATGCGAGTACCGTCCGGCGAGAACGAGATTGTGTAAATCGCCTGAGTGTGCCTCTGCAAGGGCTCACCCAATAGCTGTTCCGTCGCTGCATCCCACAGTCGTATGGTGTCATCCTCCGAACCAGACGCGATGCGAGTACCATCCGGTGAGAACGAGACTGAGTTAACTCCTTCAGTGTGCCCCTCCAAGGGCTCACCCAATGACTGCCCTGTCCCTGCATCCCACAACCGCACAGTGTTATCCCAAGAACCAGACGCGATGCGAGTACCATCTGGTGAGAACGAGACTGAGTTAATCCCTTCAGTGTGCCCCTCCAAGGGATCACCCAATGGCTCTCCTGTCGCTGCATCCCAAACCCGCACAGTCATATCCCAAGAACCAGACACGATGCGAGTACTATCCGGTGAGAACGAGACTGAGCTAACCCCTTCAGTGTGCCCCTCCAAGGGCTCACCCAATGGCTGTCCCGTCCATGCATCCCACAGCCGCACAGTCTCATCCCAAGAACCAGACGCGATGCGAATACCGTCCGGTGAGAACGAGACTGAGCTAACCCCTTCAGTGTGCCCCCGGAAGGGCTCACCCAATACCTGTTTCCGTCGCTGGATCCCACAGTCGTATGGTGTTATCATCCGAACCAGACGCGATGCGAGTACCATCCGGTGAGAATGAGACTGAATTAACTCCTTCAGTGTGCCCCTCCAAGGGCTCACCCAATGACTGCCCTGTCCCTGCATCCCACAGCCGCACAGTGTTATCCTCCGAACCAGACGCGATACGAGTACCATCCGGTGAAAACGAGACTGAGTTAACCCAATGAGTGTGCCCCCGCAAGGGATCGCCCAATGGCTGTCCTGTCCATGCATCCCACAGCTGCACAGTCCCATCCCTTGAACCAGACGCGATGCGAGTACCATCCGGTGAGAACGTGACTGAGAGTACCATATCAGTGTGCCCACTGATTACGGTCTGAACAACCGCCCAGTTCAAACTACGACCAGATGCCAGACGAAGGTTATTCGGAAACCTTGTAGTAAATTTGGTAGCCATGGTGGAGTTAACAGGTGTGAATGGGAGCGCCGATAAATACAGATGCGGCGTGCTGTGCAAAATCATGTCGCCAAACACTTGAATGAATCTTTGTACATCCATTGTGGTCGACCGTACATCTTCGTATCCAGAACGGCCCTGTATTTATTTATGAGCTGTTCATCTAACACGGCCTCGCAGGCATGTGCTCACCTTCAGCCACTTGATAACGAGTGGAAGCACAGTAATTGCACCACTGACTGCATTGAGAAGCCCCAGTGCTTCAATCCAGAACAGCAGTCGCTCGTTGTCCAGGAATGATCTGATCGCCTTTGCGAGCTCATTGTCGAAGTCCGTTGTTTGAACATGCGTAGCCCAAAATCGGCAGGAATAGGAGAGATGTGGGGGAATGGATGTTTTGACTCGTCGAGGCAGTCCGGAATCTTCGCGATTAGGGAGGTATGATGACTCTAGATCGCATATGTTGAAGCGAAGACCTTGTTCCATGACTCCAAGTGACGCAAACGCTAAGTCGCGATGTTGCGCCTTCGTAACCTCGACGAAAAAGTCTCCGCTGGATAATTTGTCTGTGAGGAACTCTTGGAAGGATGCGTGAAGGGGCCTGACAGGGATGCATGAGTCCGTTGTGCCACTGAGGAGGGATCCCATATGTTGTATGATGTCCACATTGTAATGTTTATTGTAGTTTGGAAAACAGTTCCGCATGGCGTTGAGGGAATGAAACGGGAGAGGCTCAGCTGTGCCGAGTATTTGTCCCATCACAGAATGAAACCCCGCTAGTGCTTCCTGGTACCCGACATCGCCATACCGATTTCGTGACCAGATATCTGCCAAAATAAGCCGATACATATCATACAGCTTGTTTGTTCGCTTCCCAGGATCACGGTTCACGACAGTTTCAAGGCGAGACCTTGAGTTTATGCCGGGAAGGTCTTCCTTAATGTATTCGCATGCCAAACGTGCCCACTCGAAAAATCCATCGGCTTTCGCAGCGAGGTTTGCAAACTCTTTGTCCCCAAAATGTGACAGCCTTTCTAGTTTGTCAGATACAAAAGCGCAGATGTCGCGCTTCACCACTGCTGCTGGAATATCGTCCATGGATAGCCGTAAAATATGCTGAGCACCGTGAAATGCATCTTCGATATCAGGAAGTGAGCGAGAGGTAACGAGAATCCGAAAGTTGGATGGGAGTTCTGTGATTTGGGGAAGATCTTTGTTCTGAAGTTTACAGGCCAGTATGCGGAGAAGGTCCCGCCGCGTCTCCACTTCGCCGCTCTCGTCCAGCGCTTCAATCACGATCAAGACAGGTCCCACACTTGACCTAGAGAATTTCTTCAGTGGTTCCATGAGCAGCTTCTCCCACTGCTGGAAAATATCCTTTGAGTTCTTGAGTGAAGTGGAATTTTTGACCGCATCCACCAATGCTCGTCTCATCTCCGGATCATGATCAGCTAGGTCACGAGCGATGGTGGAGAAAACTTTTTCGTGGCGTTTCTCGGCCTTGTCGAAGCAAACACATGAACCGAGCATGCCTATGTCACTGAACCACTTGGCAATCGTGTGAGCGATGGCCGATTTTCCCGTGCCTGCAGGACCAGATAACCACAGCACACGTTCAGCAGCATCTCCACTGCCGTTGATCCAATCTGTAATCCGGGAGAGAATCTCCTTGCGCGTCTCTGGTAGGCACTGTTTCATGGTGTTTAGTCCAGCGCCCTTTGCATAAGGGATATCCACGGGATCCAGGGTATCGCCTGAAACGGTGTGAGGGAATGTAAAGACAGAAGCGTGCCAGAATCCTTACCTATACGATCGATGAAGACGGCCACGTCGCGATCAACTTGGTCCCGGAATTGTTGCATAAGTCCGTCCAAAATGTCGCAGTACTGCTTAATGATGTCATCGGCTTCCGAGAGAACGTTTTTCCCAAGTCTCTTCCCTATGAATAATAGTATAAGATTCATGTACGGAGTGCGATAGCTTGTTGACTCACAAAAGTTCTTTGTCTCCGAATAGTCCCTGATGAAACGGGCACACTCAAGAGTCTGCTGAACGATTTTTCCAACGATGCCGCGCATCGATCCAATTTTGCTAAGGTTGTCATCTTGAGTCATAAAGCGGTAAACTTCAGTCAATTTCTCGAGGAGACTATGGATCGATTTGTCGCGCTCTGCTTGAGCAATTAGGATCTACATAGAATTATGAATTCTGAGCAGGAGACTGGACTCCGGGAGGAACTGAACATACCTTGGAAGCAGCAGACAGCACACCCAGCGCCATCTTTGCGTACGGATGTACCTATGCAACTTGATTAGTTCGCTTCCAATCAACAAGAATGGCCCATACATCCGCGATCTTCTCAAGGACAGCGTCGATAACCTTTAGGGGTTCGAGATACGTTGCCTCAAAATCATCCGCGGCAGCGAGATCCGCTGGGGCATTACTGACGGCGGATGCCATAGAAGTCGCATGTCTCCCGAGTAATCCCATGCTTCGTGCACCATCACGGGCACCCTGAAGTTCAGCATCAACTAATTGGGGATTAGGGCCTTCCTCCTTGCCAGAGGCAGTAGCCTGAACCTGTGGAACAGCCGAAATTAAAGAGGAAAGTTAAAGTATTTGACGAAAATACCTGCGAAGCAGGCTCTCCGGACAGCCCTTGGTTCCCGGAGTCGCTAAGAATCTTAGATGTGGTGGGATGCTTGTTATCGTTGGAAGGATGGAAATGCAGCGTGTCCTGGGTGCTTCTAAGAAAACAGAAGAACTAGGATAGCGAGTTCGAGCACTTACCTCGATTTTCTGACTCGATGAAACCCCTTCAATTTCGACATCCTGGGCCGCAGTGGTGTGGTTGCGTGTTCGCTTGAAGCGTTTCTGCACGATCTCAGTTGTATTCAGGACAATCAGTATTCACGTCTACGCACAGGAAGTTTTTTGGTCAACCCATCCTTCATTTTCCGCAGGGACTGACGGACTCCTCCACGAGGTTGATTCTGGACAAAGAATGCATAAGGGCAGCGATGGATTTCAAGAAACCACATACCGAGCTTTCAGGAGGAGGATCTGACCTATATTCACTCATCGCGATTGGTGACCTGGTCGTAGATTTGGATCGGTGTGAGAGAAACGGTGGGGTATACAGCCTTGAGAAGTAGTGTGAGAAGAGAATGGGCGTCTCATCCTTTGGCAGAACTCCGAAGAACGTTCGAAGCATGGCCAGTTGACTTCAAGCGCTAATCATTTAGCTACGCAATTCCCGTCAGTTCATAGTGGCAGGTTATTGTGTACGCATCACTGCAATGAAGGATCAAGAGACGCAAAGTCGAGCGAACTTGGTCTTCTCCAGAGTCGAATTATACAGCAGGTCCCTTCAAGTTAGGTCTGGGCGTCGTCAAGGTTCAAGTTGGCCCGGGGCGGCGGGGCCCCAGCGAGCCTTGATGATATTTAATGTATCGATAATCGTTTCAGCTGTTTAAACTTCAAGCACACGACGAGATTAGTGCATGGATGAGCAATATCTAGTGCTGATATTTAGGAGGCGGTTCCGCTGCAAGTAAATGATGCAGAATTCTGCGACGCTGCCACCAGCGTCCTAGGTAGTGCCACTAGTGCTAGCCTGGAAAGGAAAGTAAGTCACCGCTTTGAAATTTCAGCATGTCCAGCTGATGTCATCAGGCAAGTTCTGATATGAACCTCGGTCGGACGGTTTTGAGGCCCTTAGTATCCTACCGCCCCAATCTGTCACCTGTGGTTACTCACTTGGCGCTAACACGACTTCACGCGTTCCAATCATGAATGCATGACCTCCATCGACATTTGATGGGTGTGTCAACATCTACTTCCTTTCTATAATCAGCCAAGACCATCACTTTTCAACTTGAAGGTGTTTCGCTGACCATATGTAAACGATCATGTAGGCAGCTGCAGTCGTTTCATCTCTACTCGCCAATCGCACAACTCCAACTTGCATACGCTATCACTGCCCTCGTTCTGCGGTTACTCTCATCCTGATTGCAGTATCAATGTTGTCGCCGTCGCTCTGCTTTGTGTGATCTTGCACGGTCCCAAAGCTACCAAGCCAGGCGATATCTGCAACATTATCATCTTGTGGACCGACTATCTATCAGAATCTACGCAAATCCGTCGAGATAGATAGCACGGATGCTGAAGGTCGTCTGGTGCTGGCTGGTGCATACCTTGCTGTTCGCTGACGTCCTGGCAAACTCTGACTTTCTCCAAGACGCGCTCTACTATGCAACTACTGAACTCAAGCTGCATAGAGTTACCACTCTTACCGGGTACGTGACTATCGTTCGCACTCTCGGCTTCTTATGTATTGATAGGGCTATAGTTACTGCACTGGGTGAGATACTCATCGGTGTTTTCATGGTGCGTCATTTCATCATCGCTGTCCATCGACACGCCATTGACCAGACTGTTGCGTTAGACCCCTGATATCGCCTGTATCTGACCGTGCTGCCGGAAATGGGGAGTACGATCGATTCTGGTGCATTCCCCTTGACGAAGATTGTGGCCCACAGACATACTATTCTAAGGCCGGCCTGTGCAGTGTCAATCACCGGTCTTGAAAACTGGCGTTCTTGGTTTCCTAGACGAACGGAAACTGACAAATTCTTCAATGCGTTCGTAGTTGGCATCGAGGCAAAGGATAAACTGGTATTACTTCAAGTCTACTACCAAGTTGTCATCATTACAGAGCATGTTTACGAAATCCGACGTGTGTTTAAACTGTCTATTGCCGTCATGCGCATGGCGGTAGATAGTGAAGTCTTGTCTCAAGCTGTTGCAAAAGGAAATTCGGTCTTTGTGTGGATGCTTGGAAGGACGAGACACGAGGGTGATTTGCCTGATCCATTCAATATTAAGAACTGTCTTCCATTTAATGGTCTGACTGGGAAGACTGATCCATGGGAAGATGCTAACACCCTAATACATGAAAAACGGTGAACCAACATTAGGATGTTCCCGGCCTCACCAGCAAGCGCAGCGCCTGGTTTTTCTTTAAAAAATTACATCTATCGTCCTTTGGAGTCAATGACCCTGGGGAGTGGTTCCCAGCTTTCTATCGTAATTCGTTAATCGTCGCGATCATCGGCTAGCTTCATCACAACAATTACCATGTCAATTCCTTGCAAACCGTACAAGATGTGGCATTGATACGACGAGCCACAGGAAAACAGGTTTACATATTAACATAGAACATGTCATACATAGAACATAATCAAGCAGGAGACGAGCATATCAGAATGCTGATGCAATGCATGAATTGACTATGTCTAGCACTCCAGATGTGAAGAAACTCACAGCACACCAATTCCAGCAAATAATCCATGCGCTTTGACGCTTTAGGTATTACGCTCCGTATAGACATCCCTGAATCAATGCTCTCGGTCCTTTCTATCGACGTGGCTTTGTGTATGTCCTAGTCGTCCGACTTGCCCAGAAGACTGCTGAGTTATTCCGAGCTGTGGCTCCTTGGTGATTATACCTAATGTCACTAGATGCCTGAGGCGAGCCTTCCTGAGTCGACGCCGACTGTGAATGGGGATTTGACCTGGTACCATTAGAAGTTGTTGTCCGACATGAACGTGAAACTACAGTCCTCTGGGAATTTCCTGAGACACGTCATTGAGAACGAATACGCTGAACGTGCCCTGTGAGCTTGTCCGGTCGCTACCTCGACAATGTATGGAGTCGACACCGCCCTGTGGGATTGAGGGTGACGAATGCGTGTCCAAAAGTTGCCAAGAGGTAGAATACGCCATTCCCGACTGGCAGATCTTGAGGACGTCTGCTGAGCTTCCCTTACATTGGACTTCGACTTGGATGACGAATCCGTTTCTATAATTTGGAAGAGGTAGCATGCGCCGTTCCCGATCGGTGGTTCTTGAATCTTGTGGAGGCCTGCTGGTGAACAGAGCCTGATGAAGGTCCAGGTCCAAGTCGTATCTAACAAATCAATTTTTAGCATATACTTGAATCCGAGTCTGGAACGTCTTACAGGGCGACCCTTTGCAGTGCTAGAAGGATGTGGCGGTTGATCGAAGAACCCTAGGTGGAGTCCCAGCGAACGTTCAAGTTGTTTTCCTTTGGCTCTTGGGGTAATCGTTGCAGGCAATTGTTGCATATCATGAGTTTAGTGTTCTACCATAAACCTATATCTCACATCGAGGGGGAGGCTAGAACCAAGAATCTAGTTCGCTTCGTTAGTAGTCGGGATTGAACGTGTGGTGTAGGTTTCCTTGCTTCTTCCGTTGAATGAATAATCATCCTTCGAATCTCAAGGCACGCTCGAAGCTGCAAAATAATTGATGTCCGTTGAAAATGCAAATGGACGGGTAGTACATCTCATGATGAAAATAGTCAATTTGTGACCCTTCATATCATAGAAAATATGTGGGGTGATCGACGTCGACGAGTGATACTGGCTTCCTTCAAGTTGAGCGCAGTAAGGTACAAACACATCGAGCGGGCCGGAGTTCCAAACTTGGTGCCGTTGTGTCCAGGCTGCGGCCCGAGACCGGCCAAATTTATAACCTTTCGCTTGCAAGGGACCCAAGATGTGGTTGCTGTCTAGATCTCCTAGCCAAGGCAGCTGGTAATCCTGGCTGTCCAAACTCTGCACTTGATCCCGACTCTATTCTCTAGGATAGTTTTTGACAATGACAGCCTTTTGTTCCCATGGGGCCCATGGAGCCCTATGTGGCACTTCTGATCAGGAACAGCGTGCATTATGGTTCAGTGGGGGATCAGATCGATCATCCTTGGATTTCTTCTAGGCAAGTGTCGTACTCGTAATATATGCTTACGTGCATCTAGTTTCTGTAGCGAACCGACACTCTGAAGCGACAAGTCCACAATCGAGGGCCTGTGTTAGTGCAGCAAGTTGGCCTTAAGAAGTGCGTCTCTTCCGAGACTATCCATTCGTAGTATTGACTTGGACTAGTTCACTTCTTCCCATTTCTCCACAAATCATCAACCGGGATGAATAGCTGTTATATCGACTGGCTGCCGGACGACGTGCTCCGCGTCATTTTCAAGTTGGTCAGTGAAGAAGACCAAGCAGCTTTCCATGATTATTCTATGCAGAATGAACGGAGAGGCAGACATTGGGACGACTGGCAAAAAGATTATTATCATTATCAGGACATGTACGCAGAAGGAATCAACGACCCTCCGCCATCGGCACTCATTTCAGCAATGGATGTGTGGCGAGCGATGGAATTGTCTCATATCACAGACTCCAACATTGTGGACTGTGTTACAAATTTCCTTCGGCGACGGTCCTGCGTCTCTTGAATACACGCGTACATTCCTGCGACGTAGCGGAACACATCCTCTCAGAATCACGTTACTTTGGAACGACCCACGCAAACCCCTTCAATGGAGTCCCACAGCTACTCTCCCCTTCATATGCCTCTGATCCCCCCGTATCGGTCGACGAAACCGTGGCTGGTGCTTACCTCGTCTTGATCATCATTGAGTTACATGCTCAGGTGCACCGTTGGCGCGAGTTTACGCTGAGGACGACCTCACAGACCCACATACATCAAGCACTCTTACTCATCTCACGCCCTTGCGTTCATCCAGCCCGTATGCTAGAAAAACTGCATCTTCAACTCGTACATGGCCAATTCGATGAAGACCCCGTCCATTATGGACCATTGATTTTTCCTGGTTCTGCGTCTCCCATCAGCGATCTTACCCTTTTTGGCATGAGTTGGTCCTGGCTTTCACCCACCGTATTTTCGTCACATATTGTCAACTTGCGGATACACTACTGCATCCCAGTGCATGAGGATGACAGAGATACAAGCACTACGGCAAAAGTTTTATCACAACTCCTTGGTGCACTCGTCAATCTGCAGACTCTCGCACTCGAAGTGGATATGGATCCGCTTGCCGCAGACATCATGTCTCCCATTGAGTTGCCCCACTTGCACTACCTGGCTATCAAATCGTGGACGATGAATTGTTGGACTGCCAAATTTCTCCACAATGTCCATATGCCCAATCTCCGGATATTGACATTGGATGGCGTTAACTACGATTTCGAGCTGATGGAGGCTGATTTCGAAGACATCCTTCACGAGTTGATCAGGCTTACCAAGGAAGATCCTTCCAACTCTCCTCTGGAGCTAGATGAACTCCATCTCGTCAATTTCACACATCGTGCAGATCCTCAGCTCCTCCATTGTCTGTATAAACAAATGGCCACTCTCAAGGTATTCACCCTCGGGCCAGCAACGTCGTACGCGAATGATGCATGGGCAATGGGACTGCTCCCAACGCCTCGCGGACTGGCAGATCTCCCTCTCCCTGGACTTCGGACCCTGCTCCTTTTTGATGTTTCAAGGGACGTTGTGCGGCACATCGTACTAGAACGACTATCGCTCACTGGTCCGCTGGAAGAGCTTTATTATCGAGAGGAGAAGGGTCAAGAGAAGCAAAATGAGATCATCCCAGATGATTGGCAACATCAAGTCGAGAAGTACCATCGTATCGGTGATGTGAAATCTGAACGTTATTGCGATGTGGTTAACAGGCGGTGGTCATATTTAGACTAGGGCTCTCATCATTCACTTATCATGTAAATATGTCACTCACAACTTGTGTTCGTTACTATTCCCGAGTCTTGTGGTCCAGCCAAACTGACTCTACTATGGCAAGTTTCATGCGACCAAGCATGAGACGACAACCGATAGGATCCTCGCAGCCGATCGGTCAAACATGCATGTCAATTGCTTTTGTCCCGAGCAAGCACGGGCCAAACGCTCAAGAAGTTGAAGGGCTTCGCAATTTTCCAGTATAGCGACTAGGGACAGACTACGAAACACTTGGTTTTGTACATATCGAAACCAAGGCTATATTCAAGATCACGAGTTCAACAGTCACGCGGTACGGGCTTAATACGGGCTGTGAAGTCGTGTATGCGTCATCAGCGCTCAGTTGCGGTAATGGCATGCCGATATTCATGGTATATGTAACTGTACTCCTTCCCTAGTGCACAGCCTCGAATCTCGAAGGTCCATCAAAAAATCGTCGTATCAAAGGGAGGGATCGGGCGCAGAAAATTCCGAACATTCAGACCCTCCTTCAACATCTGTGTCAACCCATGCATCAGCGTCAGTGGTGCCTTCTGACATCACAGTCCTTTGTCTGACGTGAGAGGTTAAGTGGGAAGAGGGGCCGTCGTGGGCTTGACACGCGTCGCGAATGATGTGTCTTCATAGGACCACGGAACACATCTTCATCGTCATTTTCTCGTTCTGCAGGCTTTGAGTTCTGGCTCTCCCTTCGACTGAGCGAGCTTTTGACTTCGTGCAGGTGAGCTGTCCGTGCCAAGCGTTTGGTAGATTTTGGAACGATGAGTCCTGTTGATGAATGCGAATTTGTTCGCACCATATGGGCGGCGCGGGGGAGTGTGGATATCTCTGTGGAGATGGAATTAGGTATGCGGCGAGTGGGGGTGCGGAGTGCAAAATTGGCAAATAGAGGGCCGGGCCGTTTTGTGGCGGTGGAGCCGCGCGGGGTGGATCGTTTATCTGCTAAAGTAGTAAAGTGTGGGGGTCGGCGTGGAATATGGTCGTGATCAGAGGACCGTTGCGTTCGATGAGACGGAAAGTCTACACGAGAATCTGGGCCTGAAGAACGATCCTTTATAGTTTCAGACCTCTTGTCGACAGAAATCTCAGGAGGACTGCGACTTCGGAACAGCAAATTATTCGAGCTACGTTCAGCGTTACTGCTAACGAAGCTCCAGTTGCGCCGGCCCCACTCTCTCGCAGAACGAGGTGATGAGTTGAGGGGGTTCTATGGACGGTGCACCTCTGGTTAAGCCAATGAATACAAGCACTGCCAGAAGCAGGCAAAGTTGTGCAATCCCAAGACGTTTCTCAAGGGTGACCTTGGAACAACATGAGCAACCTTTATCATTTTCAGGACATGGAAGCCAACCTCTTCAGCAAGATGATTTACTCGGGAGAGTAATTCACTGTGTTCGAACTCTAGACGAAGCCGCTGTCTTTCCCACTCGTGAACTGTGCGCTGATACATTTGTGCTTGTATGCGACTCTGAGATATGCATGAGATACGTTGTTTAAAGTGACTCTGGTGGAACTCACGATGCTCTGCAACCTGCCAACATCCTCACCGAGCCTCCTGAGCACTTCGCGTACACCAGCAGTCTGCTCTTCCACATAACGTGCATAAAGGCTATGATTTCCCTCCAGGAGAGTTAGTCGGGTCATTATTGTGCGGTATATCGATTCTCCACTTGACCCGACTAATGGAGGGGTAGACAATGTTGGCAAGGCGGTCGACAGCATGTTCGCAGATGGGCCATGATGAAATGATAATGATGAAGGTTGTGATAAAGATGCTTCAATATTAGAGGTGTGTGGGACTTCTGAGGAGATTAAATATGAGGTTTGGGTGGATGAGCTCTCATTAGACGAGAGAGATGTTGTGGAGGATATGGCGGAGTCGAAAGAAGATGCAACGCTCGTATCGGGACTCGATACAGACTTAGAGGTAGCGGACGAGGTAGGCTGCTGCATGATGGCGGAGTCGATAAGAATAATGGCCGGTGAAGACGCCGTGGATTGAGAAGAGAAGCTGACTGAGCTGGACGTCCGGGTCACCGGCTTGGACGCTTGAGAGTGACTCGGACTCGTATGTGCTGTAGACGGCGCCTTGGTTGTTGGAAGTGGGGTATCAAGAGGATATGCAGAAGGTATATTCTGAGCCTCAAGCTCATCCATAAACTTGTTCAGTTCAGATCCCCCAGAGCTGATGGGTAGGGGCTCCGCAATGGAGGAAAATACTTGAGCTTGAGCTCGGGCGAGTTTAAAACTCTCTTCTTCCCATATGTCCCACTTCCATTGTTCAAGGTGGGTTAGACCATAGACCCTAAGAAGAGAGACAGGACAGTAATACTCATGTCCATAGTGTGAGTGGAAGTCGACCCGGATGTACCTGTAGAAATCGCGCAGGGTAGTTGGTGTGTGGAAAGACTGTGCCATAGTTAACGACAAGGTCCATATGTTTGGGAGAAATACGCACCTGCACACCACGGACATTCTTTGCCTTGTAGGTACCTGCCAGTACCCACCCGTCATCAGACGTCGTGTAGGTCTTAGCGACCTTCACCGAAAAATCCTTGAACACCCCGCTGAAAAACTCGAAATTCGCGAGTTGCACAGTGTCGATTCTAATATCCTCGCACAACTCTACAACCACGAACTGCTCCTCCTTGCCTGATGAACATGGCGAAAGCATGTATTTGTCTTTCTTTGATGACAGAATGGACGAAGGAGACCTGGCAGAGCGATGAGAAGTGTGTACGCGTGCAGAGCAGTCCAGGTTTGCATAATTGAAGCGGTCGGTGATAGGTACCCTGAAATGAGGGGAAAGCTCTGTTTCCGGGAGGTATGCAGACGTGTCTGCCACAGTGGCATTTGGTTCGTGGGTGGTACTCGACTCCATATGTTCTAAAGCTTCGATTTGGGGATGAGCAGTCACCTGAGGCTGGGTCTGCAACTGCGGCTGGGATTGGGACTGGAACTGCTTGGACTTCCACTCTTCAAACGAGAGCAGGACATCTTCGACATCATCTGGCGGTTCTATTGACGGAGGTGGTGTCAGGCAGCAGAGAGGCGGCTCAGGTTGGCGCTTGCGATATGCAAGAACTATAGCGCGAAATGGGTCATTCTTAGATGAAGGATGAGCGACCGAGACGGCAAGAGCTGGCAACGTGAACAGGAGAAGGAGCAACGTCTTGGGGAGAGCCGCGAAAGAAACCATCAATAAAGTCTCAACCACAGCCTTTCAGACCTTCCAAAGAGTCGAAGACAACTAAAGCAACATGAGTGCTTCCCACAAATAGTTGTAGGAAGATAATCTAGATCGCCACGTCGGCAATTCTGAGAACCACAAGAAGTATTTCAGTCACTGTCCCTGGGCCTGACAAGCCCCAATGAGTAATTGAAACACGGCATTTTCACACAATAGAGGGTAATCATTGGCCTAAGATGTATAACTCAAGTAGACGATACGTGCAAGGGCTATGTTCGCAAGCATAAACATGGATGTATTAGACGGAAATCAACATTGAAGGTTTATAATGAAGTCCGTCATCTTTCTACGCGTCGCACTGCAAAATCATGTCAATAAAATGCGTACAAGTCAAAGAGAAGTAATATACCATTCCTACTAACTCTCCAGCTTTTGTGTGCATGATGAGTGCAACAATCAAGCCTACAGACGGTTATTCAATACCACACGTCGTCTCTACAAATATCGACTTACCGTAAAGACCCAGCACTTCAGCGAAGATGAGAATCAAAATCTGCACGCTATATCAGATTTGTTGCTGAAGAACTAGATAATGAATATTCACCATTCCAACGAAAAGTCGTGGCTGTTGTGCAGTCCCACGGACACCAGCATCACCGACGATACCAATGGCAAAACCTGCAGCAAGACCAGCGAGACCGACCGACAAACCAGCACCGAGGTCAATGAATCCTTGCGCAAGGGTCATTGTGGCCGCCACTGGATTGGATGTAATTTAGAATCCGTAAGAACAGGCGGGAAAATAACAGAACACACGTGAACTGGAAATGAGGACGGACACCACCAGACCGTAGATCTGCGCAGTATCAGAACCGACGGCAGTTAAGGTGGAGGAAAATAAAAACATACACCAATAATACCAGCCATGATAACAGGGACAACACATCTCATCATGAGGTCTGGCCTGAGGACACCCATCGCAGAAATACCAACACCAGACTTTGCGGTACCATAACTGCGTAAAATGTTCAATACATCACAAAACCTGCAACGCAAAAGTTTCGGACCTTGCACCAAGACCTAGCATACACAAGCACAAGTATCGGTTAGAACATCAGAGCTTCTGACAACAATTACTCATAACACTTACAGGTGAACACAATTGCGCAGGTGCAGCCCTACGAACCATTCAGTCTCGAAAGCGAATAAGGAAAAAAAATCTATAACTAACCATGGCACCGAAGAAGGGCGCGTAGACAGGACAGAGATCAGACATTATTTGTGCTTTGAAGGGAGTGGACGAAGACTATTGCGGACGACGCTGAGGAATGGCTAAGTAGTTCGAGTCCACGATGCAGTGAGGCGAAAGCCGATCGGAGATTCAACAAGTGGCGGAAGCGGCCATTGTTTGGCAAGAGCATTAGAATTAAACAACCTCCTTCTGCCTTTGGAAACTTTTAACTGCTTCCCGGACGGCATATCCCACTGGGAAGACACACAATGTCTGCTTCCTTGAGATTCACCCGAAGAGTAGGTTTTTTCTTATACAGCTTACTTGCGCTTTCTCACAGGGGAAACTATGCAAGGTATGGAAATCCTTCATAGATAACAAAGGTATTCCCACCAGGAAGTTTTGGGCGCGAGTCGCTGAATACAGCAGCTAGGGCATGATGCGCAGTGTTTTCCGAATGCAAGAGTATACAACTACGACTTGCACCCGATACTGACCAGGTCTTTCAGCTCGTTATTCACCGCGCAGTCCCCGGAACAGTTGATTTTTCACTGAAGATAGAACATTCTAACTGTACGTGCTTTTCTCTCCAGCTTTCATAATACTTATCTCCCTGCAGTAAACAGAGTCGGGGTGCGTATCTAAGTTCTTCTCGGTATCCTATTTATTGATTGACATACCAAACTAGACCGTGCACGGCGGCCTGATCCTGTCGCTGACTGATACCCTTGGCTCGCTCGCTGTTGCAAGCAAAGGTCACTACATGACCGGTGTTTCGACCGATATTGGTGCATCCTTTATACGACCTGCAGGCAGGCCAGGCGATACCCTTCATGCACGAGCCACACTTACTGCCATGGGTGAGTGATGCAAGATCTGTTATAATGTTCTACGAGCTCACCAAACCAGGGAAATCATTGGCTTATACTCGCGTCGACTTTACCAATCCTGCAGGCGATTTAGTGGCATATGGATGTAAGATTTGTCGTCAGCACGTTGAGACCTTGACTAATGGCATATACACTAGATCACACGAAATATGTTGGGAAATCGTCGTCTGACCCTGTGAGTAAAGCAAATAGTACTTTCTAGCTCAACAACCTCATAATTTGTTTTCAGAACAACGTGAAATTTTCGGAAGATGGCGAGCAAGTAATAGAAGGGAACGACATTGACTAATACAGTTTCTATTGTCACTTTGTGACCTACCAAATGCGCGTCAAGTTTTGGAAACAACATTCACTTTGCACAGATGATCTGTGACGTGTACAAAGCAGTAAAGCGTCGAGAACAAACGACAATGTCAAGAAAACAAACGTTTCTATCCTTTTTTTCAGTCCAATCCAATGTCTCCATTAACTCGCATGATGCAACAAGTGGAGAAGGCGCAAGGCTGTGTCTTCTTCGTGCGCCCTCGTTAATGAACTGTCCAATTTTTTCGATCTACCGAAGTCTATCAGGCGGAAGCTCTTGGTCGAAAACGGCCGCTGGATTGGCCACTCCGTTGGCTTGCCTTGTTGCCACAGGATGTTCCGCGCTGCGAATGACTCGTGCAACCACCCCGCATGATGAAAGCGGAAGACAAGCGACGCGCACTCTTGCTTGTCGTCCACGCACAACTCATCTGGGTCTATCTCCCTGCCACAGTACTCCAGGAGTAAGATCGGACTCAGATAGTTGGGATGACTCGTGCCATCAGTTGGATCATCGGGTGTGTAGTAACCGTAGAACTGCGGACAGAGTGCCCCGACTGGGACAGGATCGTGAATAGGGGGCATGACATTATATCCGTTCCAATGTTGGAAGAAGTGGTCAGGGAACGATTGATAGTTGTTCGCCTCTCGAGCGAGGTGCTGGTCGTGTTCGATCGAGAGTTTCGCAACAACAGTGACTGTCGCGGTGCGCGGAATGGTCCCCGAGCTACTCCTGCCGTGTCCGCATGGTTCCCATGGGGCTCGCCACTTCATACTAGTATGGATGCGAAGAGCTGGCCCAGAGTAAGATGCGGTTCGGACGACCCTCGGAGGTTCAACGGTGAATATTTCTTCCTCGCTGTGTTCTTCTTCACTTTGTCCCCCCTCACTTTCTTCTGTGTCAGCTTGTTCTTCGTCCCCATGGTCCTGCTCTGATCCCTCTTTGCCTTTCCCCTTGTCCTTCCTGGGAACAGACCCCAGTGCGCTCGGTTCCTCGGAGTCCTGAATCTCGTCCACCTTCATCTCAACGTCAGGTGCCTCATCCTGCTCCACTTTGGCTCCGGGCTGCAGATCCTGCCCGTCTACGGCGTCCATTTCGACATCGGTTTTGGCACCCCCTGTTTGAGCCGAGTCACTGGAAGAGTTCGCAGGAAGATCCCTATCCGAAGTTGGCGCCGATTCAGGGTCATTGGCACCGGCGGACTTTTCGTCACCCGGTTTGTCCAAAAGTTCATCGTCTGGGCTGATGAATGATGCAGTCACCTCTGGGAGCCGGTGTTCCTCGATGGTGACGTGACCAACCGTTCGCTTCGAACCAGAGGCCTGCGAGGACTCTGTTCCGGGGGTGACATCCGGGCCGGCTTGCGGGGTTTCTTCAGGTTTCCCTACTGGGTTGTTTAGGAGTTCTTCCCATTTTCCATCGTCCTTTAATTTCTGGACCTGACGACGGGCGTCTGACTCCACACAAGTTCTGCACAGACGATGGTCTATAAAAAGGTCACGCGGAAGCTCCCACTCCACACTGTGCACAACCGAATGATTACCAGATCCCACTGCACAAGGTGAAAGGTAGAGATGAGCTTCTTCCACTTGCATCCTCCTCCGGGGTCGCGGAGGGAGCACAACTTCAATCAGCGGTTCTTCCGTCGGTCCCTCCTTGTTAGAGGGGAAGATGTGCATCACGCTCCCGTCTTCGTCGCTTCGTCTTCCTGTATCTCATCCAGTTTCTGCGACTTCAACGCAGCCACTTTGCCTTCCGGTGCGAGGGAGAGGGAATAGGTTCGGACGATATCTCGTCGATTGGCGACTTTGGAAAGCCATGGGGTTTCGTGATCGGCATCGCTCCCATCGATAGATAATTTGTTCCAGGGGTCGTGAACATGAAGCTTTTTAGGGAGAAGATGTAAAGGAATCCGCTGTTGGAGAGTCGGATTCCCAGTATGCGTGCATGGGATGAAGGGATGTGGAGAGGGATAATGGTCAGGGATGGAAGGGCGAATCGATGTTCGGCAATGGCGCAGAAGTTTCATCTGTCGGTTGGTCCGCGCATTTTTCTGGCGACGTTTCGCCTGTTTCATCCACTTGCATGACTTCATTGAGCTGCACGCTGGCGGCTGCATCTTCCTTTGCATCGTCATTACCAACTTCTACTGCCTCCTTCTACTTGAATGTTATCGTCCTGATCACTGACTGGAGGGATCGGATCTCCTCCTTTCTGCGACTTCTGCTACGTAGCTGGAACCAGTGGAAGCTTGATTTTGCCTTCTCTCTAACCTCCTTTTCGAGTGGAATACTGATCGAATATGCCCATTCTGACGCGTGTGTCATAGCACTCAATCAGTTCCCCGATGTCAGCTACCGGTATCTCTTTGGGATCCTCCTCCTTATCGGCCCAATAGAGCTCATCCTTCGCTGTAAGCTCACCAACCTGGCGCATCCATTTCGCAAGTCTGCTTCCCGTGGAGTTGGTGATGTAGTTTGGCACATTTGGAAGACGTCGAACGTGATAGAAGTCGTAGAGCGTCGCACCCCATAAATCAAGTCCATTGCCGGCCTCCTTGCCCCGCAATGGAGATGGCTTGATGGCTTGTCCTTTAGGATCACGAGGCCAGACGCGAAAGATAATGCGATTCTTGCCGTATCCAACGCAATGTGTGTCGTTATCGACTTGTTCTTGGACAGACTTGGGAAGTTTATGGGGATCAATCGTACTGAAATCAGCTGTATTCGGCTCGTGACGTTGCATCTAGCCTGAGGCTGCAACGAAATAGTTGTACAGTTTGCGATAGCATTGATGATAGAGACATACCGCTCTCCTTGATTATCCTTGTCTTTGGATTTCTTGGACGGTGGCCCCCTGGTAGATTCAGAATCTACAGCCTTTGCGACGCGCTGTTTGGCCTTCCGGGTCTTCAAAAAACCCCGTTTCATGATGGCGGTATTTGACAGAGGTTGCTCTGGATGGGATGATGGTTTTAGGGTGCCACGAATCACAATTCTGCGACAGTCGCAGAGATGTTGGGAGAGTGGGATGAAGACCCAGAGGCAGAAGAGCAACGATCAATAAGTAGCAATGAGGGCGTCAATCAGGGTTCGAATATTTCCTAAATAGTCCCCTCTTACTTACAGATCTATGCCACTCACGATTCACCTGGACCAGGTCGATGGAAGAAGGTTGTTTGTTTACTATCTGTGGTTAGTTATCATTTGACATGGTTTTCAGGAGCACATGTTGCACCTGCCACCGTACCTAGATACGAGATGGATTTGAGTGAGACAGCCCCTATCTGTCGACAGCGAGCTCTTGAGCTCTTAACACGATTATCAAACTTCTGGTGACAAGGAGCTGAAGCTGAACAAGTGATATCGATAAAGGCTTATACTACGTTGGAGAGCTTGAGGTAGGAGATGTAGACTATGTAATTAAGTAGCAGGAAGTTGGAACAACATTCAACATCACTCACGTGATCAAGAACATATGAGACTTCTGAATCCAGTGACAGAGTCAGACAGGACGGTCTTGTTTTCGAGACAAGTAAATGCATGGTTTGCACAAAGAAAATGAAACATCTATCTCGGCGACGTACAGCTCCAGTCAAGCTAACAACGTCGTGTCTCGTACTATCACATGTATGATGGGACTTCAGCTGGCCGAGTCAACGTCAACGTTAACGGGTGTGGGACTTAGGTACGTAAGGCACGAGGTTCAAACGTTCACGTGTTGCCATCAAAGCCACAGTACTACTATAGGCTACTGTGTGTCCAGCAGCCTTCGAGTCGAGTCATCACGGAGTATTTGGTGAGCGTTTTGACAAATCGTTTGATGGGGACATGTAACGTCGGCGAGTCCTTTCTATCTATCAGGGCGCTGATACAGGAATACACGGTTCTTGGAGGGTACATGCCAGTGGTTACCTATTGTTACATATCCTTTCGCGCGCTGGTCATCCGCTTTGATCGCTCATCCTCTATGTTATAAGATGCGACTGTTATTCTGATCCAAAAACCTCTGCACTCTACACATGAATCCCACTCGTCCTCCTGTGCTAGTCGTAAGTGAACTGCATATGATGGAAGGTTGCACCTCAGTTAAATTCCTCTTTCTTAGGTAGGCGCTGGGCCAGCTGGTCTGGTAGCAGCGTTAACGCTCCTCCAGAACGGCATTCCGGTTCGCATCATTGATAAAGAACACAACCATCGCATGGGACAGCGTGGTCCTGGAATCTGGGTTTGTCATGATACTACTCCTCTGATGCCCTGTAGTCTCATTTAATGCATGATTAAGCCACGCTCCCTCGAACTCTTCAACTTCCTGGACGTCCCAGAAGTCAACGACCTGGGCAAACCGTTCCCCATGACCCGCTCCTACGGGCCCGGGACGTTGGAACCTCTAACGGAATCTTCGATGGTCCCGCATATGGAACCTACCCCTACGGTACCATTCGTACGTACTACGCAGATTTCCCTCTCAAGCAGCCATGTTGATGATTTTTTAATATTGTAGCACGTTCCAAAGCTGATAGGTCAACAACTCCTAGATGTGATTCTGCGACGCCACCTCGAGAAATTCTCGTGCTCTGTTGAGATGGACACCGAACTGCGTTCGTTCGAGCAGTCCGACGAAGGTGTCACAGCTGTTCTAGCGAAGAACGGCACATTGGAGACTTTTGATACTAAGTGGATGATCGGCGCTGACGGTGCTAAAAGTTAGATGCGATCAATCTCAAATGCAGTAGGATGAATCTGAATTATAGTTTGTAGGCGTCGTGCGTAAACAGCTTGGGCTTACATTCTTGGGCGAGACTAGAGACGATGTCCGATTGGTCATGGGAGATATTCGTTTACATGGCGTTGGTCTTGATAGAAAGGTGCGTCCGATTTCTACTTACTCTGAAAGAGCGCTCCTGATACTGTCTTGGAAGTATATGCACCGATTTGGAAACGTTACGGGACGAGGGTATGTCCAGTTTCTGCTCTTGGGACTTGGAGAGATGTGGATATTGACCCTTGGAAGCCTCACATTGCGTCCAACAGACGAAATTGGCGAGGATGGCTGGCAATTTCTTATACCTGCAGCTGATGTTGACCTGACGAAGCTCGCCCAGAGCGAGGAGCTAATCATGGAGATCATCACATCGTTGTTACCTACGGAGGTCACATTCAACAAAATCGTCTGGGTGAGCGAGTACAGGTGTGTTTTATTTTGTAACATCGTTGCGTTTTCAATGCTCATTGGTTTACTTCAGGGCCAATATCCGCATGGTAAACAAGCTTAGCGAGGGCCGAGCATTTGTTGTGGGTGGTATGTCGTTCTACTTATGAATGATGTACATGTGCTGATGGAAGTCTACATAGATGCTGCTCAGTATGTCTATCTTTGAATGCCTTCTTGCCAAACCGATTCTGACATATTTCCAGTGTCCAGAGTCCAGCCGGTGGTCAGGTGCGTGCGCTCTGATCAAATGCCGATGCACGCTCATTTATGCATGGACAGGGACTCAATTCAGGTATACAAGATGCTGTAAGTCTTGTAAATGCAGCACGTATGACACTACTAACTGTACACCAGTTCAATTTAGGTTGGAAACTTGCACTCGTTGAAAAAGGACTTGCCGACAAGTCTCTTCTTGAGACGTATAATGCCGAGCGTTTACCTGTCATCTCCGAGATGCTTGAGAGGACCACCACGATTGTCAACCAGGCAATAAAGACAGAAAATATGTTCCCCCCACGAAGCACCATCCTCTTCATGCTTGGTATCAATTGCCGGTTCAGTAACATCGTCCTTGATGAATTTGCAATTCCGGGGAAGCCTATTAATGCCTACGGGATACCTGACGAAGGGCATCTGGAGGCTGGAGACAGGGCGCCCGACGCACCGAATATATTGCAGGTGTGGCGTGGAGAGTCTGACGTGAAGACGCTTTTTAGTCTTTATAGACCATCGTATCACACAGTGCTTGTGTTCGCGCCGAGTCTCGCAGGTGCTAAGCCGATCTTGGGTGCGCTGGAGGCATACGATAAAAGCGTTGTGCGATCGGCAGTCGTGCTGCCTTCATCTGCAACAGGTGTCACTGTTGCATCGGCTACTGACCTCGTTCTTGTCGATCAGGAGGGCCATGCTTATTCGGCTTACCTTATGGAAGCTGGTCAGACGAAGGTGTTTGTGATACGACCGGACGGGGTGATTGGGGCGATTGTACGTGGCGCAGAAGGCGTGAAGAAGTATTTGTCGGGAATATTTTTAGGTGTTTAGTGGTATGTGCTTTTCACTTGTATTCCTACACCTCCATAGCAAACGTAGTTACTAAGTAGCGTAAAGGTTGTAAGGAACTTGCAGGGAATGCTACATGTCTAACTAGCTTGTAGTGACGGAAAAAGTTGGGAGTCCTGCTAGCCACGTGCGAATTCTTGTTCTACTTCCGCATCATCGCATCGGAAGATAGCGAACAAGTGATAGATTTTAGAAGGAACAATTATCTTCCCTCAATTTCTACAGTACTTGGTTTACCTACGGGATACTAAAGAAACGTTGTCCTGTTTTTAAAATTTTCACTTCGAGGATGAGATCTCGAGATCTGAGGTGCAATAAGTTAAATAATCGCAGAGCCTTTTCTTCCTCGCTCGCCCTATCCTTCGGGTGATCAAATTTCTTCGATCTACCAAAATCTATCAGGCAGAAGCTCTTGCCCAAATGCGGCCGTTGAACGGCCGGATTGGCAACTCTGTTGGCTTGCCTTATTTCCACATGCTCATGCAACCGCCCCGCATGATGAATTCGGAAGACAAGCGGGTTCGGACGCGCACTCTTCCTTTCTATCCAGGCACAGCTCATCTGGATTTATCTCGCGGCCAGTGCTCCAGGAGTAATATTGGTCCAAGGTAATTAGGATGTTTCGTTCCGTCAGTTGGATCCATCAGGCGTGTAATACCCGTAGAATTGTGGGGGAGGCAGGATGGTGCAGAGGGGGGACGGCGCATTTATTCCTGTGTTGGAAGAAGTGGTCAGGGAACGACTGATAGTTTTTCGCTCGAGCGAGGTGGCGGTCATCTTCCTCAGAATCTGTATCAGGAGCGACTGGTGATGCCTCTTGATCATTCATAATATTATCGCTCTGATCATTGACTGGAAGTGAATTCGTTCTATCTTTGATTTTTTCCAGGTCACTATGCATATGGCTGTAGAAGGACCAGCATTTTTTTTCTGCTCTCCGATCTCCTTGCGACTGGAAAACTGATTGAAAATGGCAAATGCGATGCGCATATCATAGCACCTTATCAGTTTCCCGATATCAGCTACTGGTATCTCATTTGAGAAAAACGGTCCCTGACATATCCGGCGCTGCTCATTTCTTTTAATAGTGCTCGGAGGGACTTCAAGTTGGAGACGTTGATGGGGTCCAATCGTACTACAATCAGCATATTCAGCTCGTCTACCTGAATCTAGGCTACAACAAAACGCGGGATCTTTAGTGGGCGATGACATCAATTATAGCAACATACCGCTCTCCGTTTCTATCGTCGTCTTTGATTTTCTTATATGGTGGCCCAGCAGATTCTGAATCTACACGAGCCTCTGCGACGCGCTGTCTTGCTTTCTGGGTGTTCAAGAGTCCCCGCTTCATGGTGGTAGATGGCGATCAGTCTGGATGTGATGCATGGTGGATTTTGGATGTCGCAATTCGGCGGTACTCGCGCAAGAGAAGAATCAATATCGCCTGTCCTACCAATGACAGCATGTCGTCTCCCAGACCCAAGGTAGCGTGCACCTTTCTGGCTGTACTCGTACTCTGGACTCATCGTCATTCCAATCACAGAATTCATAAAATTACACGTGTGACGTGAGGCGTAGTTCCGGAATTCCGAGGCAATATGTGTACATGTGCGAGGAGGTGGGCATATGTCCACGCATATGGGCGAGATCACATTTGAGAGCGCCGAGGGCCTCATTCATACAAGATGTGCCATTGATATGTTTATGACTCGGAGTTGGCTATAACCCGCTTCTTGAGTAATCGTAAGACACGACTTGCATGTAAGATGACAGCCTTTCTTTATACTGAAGAGAGCGTACGTAGTGTCAACGTTTGCTCAAGCTGAAGCTGTCCTGGATTTGTGCTGGATAGTCATGGTCCTGGTCCATTATAACAAAGAAGAAGCATACGCAGTGGCAAAACCAGCTTGGTAGAGATTTACGTACATAATTGCCAAAGCTGCACCGCCGAGCTGGTTACTACTTACTAGGCATGAACTGATAGTCATACTAAGGATCAGCAACAACGTACTCAGCAGGGCGCCAACTGCTCAGCACGGATGAATGTCTGATACTTTATGGTCAGAGAACTACCAGAGAACGTGACACACTGGATTGTGGACCTTCAGTGAATCCACTTTCGACTTCGAACGTGCCTCCAATACCAGCAAGTTATAGCTCCCCTGGGCACGCGGTAACCCATATTTAGATCCTGCTTTTGGTTCATCATTTTCACCACTCTGTTGGCTTCTTGTTGGTCAGTTGCACTTGAACTTTCAAATTCATCGGATCTAAGAATAACAGCAGATATGATCTCGCCGCCTTTTGTGCCTGGGATGGTTCAACGAGCCCATTACCGCGGCTTGACCGCGGTCATGTTTGCGACGACTTCAGTGTTTCATGAGTCATGAGATAAAGTTTGAACAGAGAACTTATCGGCAAATGAGGATTCTCCAACTTGGTGTTTCATTTCGAACAAGAACCATAGCCCGCTACTTGTATACCTACAGGCTGGGCGTTGGACTAGCCAGGCGACACATGTATAGATGGATATCTTGTGTACACCATGTCGCACAGCGGGCGGAGTATAATTCGAAGATGATTTTGACCTCAGAAGAAGTGGGTCGCGCTACCACTTACCAACCTGGCTATTTCGTGGCCGTAGGAATTAGAACCCAAGTCATCCCCCTGAGTGTGTCGATAAGCTATCATCGGAGGAAGACCATGACATTCTTGGATCGTTGCTTCTTTGGGTGTCCTGATAGGAAAATTGTTTAGAGACGTATGATTATGCGGCTCTGGTCCTCACCTAATATCACTATCTCCCTAGTCTCCTGTATACAGATCAATGTTCCTTTCCATAAAGTTATCGCCCATGTGCGTTGGCCACTGGTAGCAATAGCCACTCACTCATTGACCTGCATTTTTGGATTTAAAGCGTGGTTGCGCCATTGACAAACCTAAACTATATCCCTGCCGTCGTCCTTCCAGATAACTACCACTCATAATGGATTCCAGTGAGTAGTATTTCGCCTATGGGGCAGGATGTAATGTGTTACGTAGAATATGCTCTGTGGCTTGTTCCCTCGGGACCGGATGCTGCGGCAATACGCCATCTAATGAGATTCCGACCAAGGCCTGATAAACCAAAGAGCGATAAACCAAAAACCGACAAACCAAAAAACGACAAACCAAAAAACGACAAACCAAAGGACGATAAATCTAAAGGAGGTAAATCAGAGGACGGAAAGTCAAAGGACGGCAAGTCAAAGGACGGTAAATCAAAGGACGGTAAATCAAAGGACGGCAAATCAAAGGACGGCAAATCAAAGGACGATAAATCAAAGAGTAATAACTCAAGTACTCACTCGGCATCCTCCCAATCGACATCATCTTACTCGAGACCAGCTTATCCGAGATCATCTTATCCGAGATCATCTTATTATCCTAGGCCATCTTATTATCCTAGGCCATCTTATTATCCGGGGGCATCTTATTATCCTGGGGCATCATTTCCAGGGGCATCTTATTATCCGGGGGCATCATTTCCGGGGGCATCTTATTATCCGGGGGCATCATTTCCGGGGGCATCTCATTATCCGAGGTCGTTTGACCCCAGACCACCTCACGTCAGATCATCTCACTCCAGATCATACCCCCGCTTCGATCCTCATATTACCCTCGCCACTTTCTGGTGCCCGCATCGCCCTAACATATTTCAATTTGTGCCTACGGGCGCCAAAACGACTCCCTGTGCAATTTGAGTCTATGAAGGTCGGAGATGACTTCCTCAACTCACTGACCATCGTCGCCGCCAAATCTAGCGAGCTCATGGGGCTACGCGATAGCGTCATGGACCACATGAAGGAGAACTTCATGCGAGCCTCGAGCCCTTCATTTCCACATATGTCCTTGTTCTACCTAGACGAATCCTTCAAAGGAGAACGCTCGCTGCTCAGAAAACAACTGTTAGAGACAGGAAGAGTCCACGAAAAAACAGGTGGAGAGGCAAATTTTACGCTGAATTGTACCGTGGATGGTGCTGGGCCTTACTTTGATGCCATGAAAGGCTTTGAAGGAATGGAGATATGGCTTGTTGATATCACTGAAGGAGTGGAAGATTGGGTCGTCCTGGATAGACGGGATCTCAAGCCACGAATGCCCAAGGCCAAGGTATACGTGACAAGAGGCGAACCTTACTTTGATATATTTGGCAATGAAGGGGCGGAGCCTTACCAGGTCAGAGAAATGGCATCCTATATTCCGAGATGGGGCGAACCCAGTCATTTTGCTGGTGTGTACGGACCAATGGCACCATATTATCCCCTGGACACAAGGTAGCGTGCACCTTCCTGGCTGTGATTTGCACTCAACATGATTCCAACCACAGACATTATACGAATAATTACGTACAATGGGAAGACCCGAGAATGCGAGGCAATCATATGTATCCAAGTTCGAATAGGTGGGGATATGGTTCCAATATGAATGCATACCGGGGACTGGGGGAATACTTTTGAGAGCATCGACGGCATTTGTGCGTATTACTGGGTATTGGCTGCAACGGTCCTTAAATTAATATCGTCAGCGACACTTGCATGTAGACCGTATATCACATAGATGGATAGGAATTTACCTTGACAGTTTTGACATCACAGCGTGTGGCCGTACATGCCATATTCCCAAGGCCTTTGAGAACGACAGGATTCAGGATTCCTGCTGCACTTCCTAAAAGCCCTGAGCGTGCAGTTCATTCCTTCGACTATCGGATTGATCATCGTCACAGTGCCCTTCTCGAGTGAATATCGATGCATCGATATTTGATGTTGGGCTACATATTGCGAGTTGGCACCTGCGGAGCGTGGTCATGGGTGCAAAGGCGTGGCAGTCCTTCAAGCCTCGTGAATGAGGTTTTCTTGGATGGGCACAGATTGAGGGCAGAGCTTATGCCTTTGAAACGTATCGTTGGCCCACTGTCCAGTTGGCAAGATGTCTAAACCGGCGTAGAATGCCGAGCCGCCGGCTACTTACCCGTATACGCTTGTAATAACACTGGTACCGTGACTGACCTAGTATACGTGGCGAGAGCACTGTCGGCTGCAACGTGCTCAGCAAGCACCTGCTCAACATGGACGAAGCGTCCAATGTCATGCCCAGTGAACTGCCAATTGAACGCCGCCAACGACACACGCGGGATCGTACGACTTCGTTTAATTCATTTTCTCACTTCAAAAGTGGTCCGTCCAAGCATATGCGACCTTCCACCCTCCGAAATCGTGGTTCTAATGCAAGCATGAGAAGCATCAGGTACACAGTATCCTCGCAAGCTTGAATAGTGCTTATGTCTGTTACCCAGCTCCGAAACTGACTACTCGGAAATTATTGCCCCCATTCCCCGCCGACATCTCCTGCAAACATCACAAAGTCTTCATTGGCTTCGGGTTGATACGTCATCAGGAGACGAATGGCTCAACAGAGGTGCCTCTCCCGTTTCCGCATCTTCGGTCGGCTCTGTCTTTCCAAATAATAAGGATGAACAACCGACTTAGCTTTACCGCTCTTATGGAACACGAAAGAACCGCCGCTGGCCCATCATCCACAGCTGATGCGAGAATACTTGAGGATGATCAGGGAACTATAGGGGCCGGAAGGCGGTTTGTGAGGTGGATGCATCGAAATAATATGAAAAATTGGATGATTCCTTCAGCTATCGCCGTATCTACCTTGGTGAAATGGTGCATCGGATTCGGAACATATTCTGGTGTGTACAATTACTATGCGCATACTTTAATCTCAAGTCACCCTGCAGGCCACAATACGCCACCCATGTTCGGTGATTATGAAGCCCAGCGACATTGGATGGAGCTTACCGTACACCTCCCCGTCAGGGAATGGTATACTTATGACTTGCAGTACTGGGGTCTTGACTATCCTCCTCTGACTGCGTATGTTTCATGGCTATGTGGAAGAATGTAAGTCTGTTAAGTAGAATTCGTTATACTATCTTCATTTATCTTGTTCTTCAGTGGGTCTTTAATCGAACCTTCATGGTTCACGCTACAGACATCTCGCGGCATGGAGACCGGAGGAAGCAAGCTATTCATGCGAGCCACCGTGCTCGTCCTTGATCTCCTAATTTATATTCCGGCACTGTACTACGTTTGTATGCGCATGGCAGGGCACGCGATCATCTAGGAAACGAGTACGTTCGTCAATCTATTGTCAGTAACGCTCCAGATGTTTATCGCTTGTATCGTCGTATCGCGAGCAGCATGCTGCGCTGCTTCACATTACTGTTCCATCCAGCGCTTCTATTGATCGACTTTGGTCACTTTCAATATAACTCCGTCATGTTAGGCGAAGTCACTCTTCATTGGTAGTGTTTCTGATTCTCACCAGCATCCTATCAGGTTTAACGCTACTTGCGATCTAACGCCTTTGCAGTCGGACATGATCTTCTTGGAGCTATCCTCTTCGTCTTGAGTTTAGGTTTCAAACAGATGGCTCTTTACTACGCACCGGCGATTGGCTCTTACTTGATCGGAAAATGCATTTATCTAGGCCCCGTCCATGGGTAAGTCTGTCGCAGTTGGAGGACTGCTTTCAATGAACTAAATATTTTTCAGCACTCGCCTGTTTATGCGTCTAGCGCTGACGACAATATTAGCCTTCGTCATCATGTTCATACCCTTCCTTCCTCCCTTCTCTCCTCTCTCCACTATTATTGCACCTATCACCCGCATCTTCCCGTTTGGACGTGGTCTCTTCGAAGATAAAGTTGCCAACTTTTGGTGCTTCACCTAACGTGTTGGTGAAGTGGAAGCAGATATTTGCTAGCAGAGAAGGTATTCTGATCAAAGCATCTACTGGACTTACCGCTCTTGGGTTCTTGCCAGCTGTAGCTGCACTCATCTTTCGGTGGCTACAAGACTCGGTTGCAGAAGAACGCTCAAAACGACTCGGTGAACGTGTCTTCCTTCGATGGTACCCACCGGCACCTTCATTCACCAACGCCAATTTTGCCGCTATTACCCTACGCACTCCTAACTTGTTCTATGTCAGTTCTTCCTTTTCTCGTTCCAGGTACATGAGAAAGACTATTCTTATTCCCCTCCTGCCTCTCACACTCCTGCTGTCGGGCGCCGCACCCACTGACGATGTATTCTTATGGGGAGCTTTGGGCAACAACGTTGGTGTCTTCAGGTAAGCAGTGTGCGTTTCCGCATGTGTTTGCGCCGCTAATAGGGGTGCTGTTTACTTGTAGCATGTGGCCCTTGCTCAAAAAAGATGGACTGGGACTCCAGTACCTTGCGATGCTTCTTCTCTGGAACCGGTTGATTGGTCACAATCCGTTCAAACTACACTATGGATATTTTGTGGGACTCGTATCTTCCGTACGAAGCAGCTTCTTTTGCATGGTTCTGTCACGGCTGAAGCTTAATCTCAGGTGGTACATACTGCAATAATCCTCCTCCACCTGCTCGAGCTTACAGTAACGCCTCCCGCACGCTACCCTGACCTCTTCCCAGTCCTCAACGTTCTAATATGCACCCCGATCTTTGGACTCATCTGGCTTTGGAGCATCAAACGTTCAGTGGAGGTGAGCTGGGCCATGAGCGGACTGCCTGGAAAACGCGAAAAGGAAGGGCCTTCCTCAGCTGCGTCTGCAATTAGTGCGACCTCGTCGAGCGCAGCGTTCGGGCACAGTACGATACGTGGAGAGACGGGGGCGCGTGCGATGAGTCTTGGTTATGCAAGTGGGCGTGGGCGCGGACAAACTGATGCTAGGAGACGAGCGCTAGGTGGTGAGCGCGGGTGGTGACTCGGGAGCATTGAGCATTGGGGATTGGCTTCGTTCGTTTTCATTTAAAGGATTATATTTGATGGCGCGTATCCGCTTATGATTCTTTGTAAGAGTTAAATTTCAAGGAGAGGGGCACTTCTCATCCTCACAGAATCGTGCGCCGGCTCGGCTCATATGCTTCTCTCATTGGGTTGTATACAGTGACACGCGCATGATTCATCCAAAGCACTTGATTCATTTCCATTTCCTCTCAGTGCCTTTAGACTTTGACGTTTTTAAAGTCAATTTTCCCATGACATTTCATATTTTCACGGCGTACATCACGCCTCGTTTTCCTTCACACATCCTCAGATTAAAGGCCATGAACCACTGCAGCTGGTCATTATGCATTTTCGATGGTGTTTGAACTCTATGTGTAAAAGGGTGCCCTTGCCGGCCCTCCTTTCAGCTCCGTAATGTATGCCAGTTCTGGAGAGCTCACCCATGAGTCGCTAAGATCCAATGAAACAATGGCATGCTCTTCGATAAAGTGTGACTGGCTTGGTTGAAACGTATAGCGCCACCTCGCTCCGAGCCGCTGTATCTATCATCGGACATCTAGCCTTCCTATCGGCGTCAAGATTGCTCTGCAACTATCATCGATTGAAGGACCTCATATGTTTTCGGACACGTATAAGCACCCTGATGATGGATCCGATCCCATCAAACATGGGTCATGGCTTTTTGCTGTCCAATTTATGTAGCACGTCGACGGCGATCAATTCTGAATGTTCCTGAAGTTGCAAAACGACTGTCCAGTGTCGATGCGATTCTGCTACAACCCACTGCAGTTCAGCCGGACATCGTATTCGGATTCGATATATGCCAGATCGTCACGCAACGCAGATGTAGTACCTTTTTCTGTAGAGCTCGAATTCATCCGTGTGGAGGGAGGCTCAAACTTCATTGAAGGCTTGACTTCTAGCCTACGCTCCGGATCGTTGAAAAGTTATTTTTTGCTTTGGCGAGGACTGGGTGATTGTTGAGAACGGTGTTCCCATGAATTCGGAGGCTTCAAAAGCTTTTCAGCCAACCTCTTCCAACCCAATCATACCTCAAATTAGTAGTCACCAAGTGGATTTGATATCCTAAGCTGACCCGTCAATGTGAACTGAGATCCGAAAATATTGTTCGAAACTTACTAGTAGTAGGTGACGTGACAGCTAAGACTCAGAGTTGCGGAAGAGCGAAGAAAGGCGGTCGAAGACAGCGCGGGGTGCAGAGGAAACAAGATAGGTAGCTTGCGCTGCGACCTGCGAGTGTAGTGGAAACTTTATAACCGAGGAGCGTACGAGAATGATACTCACTTGCACTTCCGTAAAGGGCAATAGGTCTTCAAGGCCAACTTTTTTGAGGACGGCATTGATATCCCACACATATACTTTTTCGTCATCGCACCCAGTGGCTAGCTGCTGTCCACCAGCGCAAAAGGTTGCGCATTGTACCCAACCTTTGTGTTGGAGGGGTTTGCCAACTTGGAGGTTCGTGTCGAGGTTCCACAGACGCACTGTGTTATCATACGACGCACTCGCAAGGACGCGGTCGTTCGAAGACAAGGTGATGGCGTTGACATAGTGTGAGTGACCTTCCAGAATGGCGATCTCCTGCCCAGTAGTTGTGTCGAATATCCTAATCGACTGGAATGATGAGGAGACAATCTTCTTAACATCCGACGTCCATGCCAGGCTCCGAACTGGGTCAGCGTGCTTGAGTGTAAGGAGCAGCTCGCCCGACTTGGCGTCCCTGACTTTCACTCCAGTCTCGGCACTGTTGCTATATCCTCCTGTGGCAAATTTTGCGGAGTCGGGGGAGTAGATCACCGCCCACACATTATCGTGTCCGGTTTCGATTTCCAGCATTGTTTCGCCGGTGTTGACGTTCCACGCCCTCGCCGTCCCGTCGTTGATCCGCTTAACACTTGTTCTCCATCCATCCTCCAGCACACTGGCCGCACATACTTAGTGTGCCCTGACCATTTTGCGATCACCTTCCCTGTCTCGACGTTCCACAACCTCACTTTTCCATCATCGCATCCGCTCGCGACCGTATTGCCATCTGGAGACAATGCTATGGCGTTTACTCCTGTCTCCTCCTCGTCTCTCCAGTCGTCGCCTATCTGAGTGCGACTCTCTAGGTCCCATAATCGGAGTGAGGCATCAGTAGAACATGTGATGAAGTGTCGTCGGCCAGGCAGGCACATGGCACCTTTGATCAAGTCGGTATGACCTTTCATCTTCTGGCAGGGCGTGATCATAGTCAATGCTAGGGCGTGTAATGCGAATATAAACTACAATTTGTGTTTGATTGGGGGTCGAGGAAGATATTTTATCGAACACCTATTGATCCGACACGCTTTTAAGGTGTGTCTCATACTATTGTTGTCCTCATGTCTCACGGGTGGCACTGTAGATTCTATTATGTTTATGCTTGCCATACTGAATAATCCTACACTGAGTCTCAGTGAAGCTATTCGTTTCACAGCGTAAGTACTTTCGTAGGCCAGGCGCTCAGGTCCACCGCTTGCTATATTCCAATCTTGCCCGTCTATTCTGACTAGTATCCCTTCCAGCCCCTCCCTTGTCACCTTTAGAAGCTCGGTGCCAGCACCTCGCCCGAATATGGCCAGGATGAACTTGTGGTTCACAAAGTCATGGACCCGTGTCGTGGTCCCACATAAACGAGAGTCTTCCTCAAAACTTCAGCTATCGTCGAATTCAATGGCCAACAATTGTTCCCTGTTCACAATACGGGATTCCGGTTTCCAAGCGCCTACAATCTCCGAGGACCGAGGGACAAACCCCCATGTGTGGTTGAATTTGTAGGTCCACTCTTTCGGAACTGGATTACCACGACGACAATCCCGTCGCTAGTTGGAAATTGCGTGTCTTGGCCAAGGTCTTTCCAGTACTACCGAAGCCCTTACAACAGACGATCGAGCCTGGTTGGTCTCCAAGACCGCTGCATCCAATTCCCAACTCAGTCATCATCGGTCATGGACTCGGAGTAAAAGCTGATCGCCATCGCGTACATCACTTGTCAGTTGAATCTACTAGACTCAAGTCTTGGACGGATGGTGTGTACGTCAAGGCTGCCTGGACACGATGACACATGCTTTGAGAGATGTGATATAATCTGTTGAGATTCTCATTATCAGTGGTCACCAGAACGATTGGTTTTTATACAGGATGTCACCTTATATGTTCACTGCTCAGTGTATTCCCTTCTTCATGACCTAATCACAATGTCTCAATTTCGCTTTCAACACTGGTTGGCTAGACCTTTTAAAATTCGCTCATACTAGGGACGGGTCAAATGACATGAGTGACTTAGACAGGGTGCACCCTGAGACTCGTACTGTTCTTCTGGTCACAAAACTGGTGCCATTTGTCACGATAGGAAGGGTCGTCTATTCCTAGTAGGTAAACGCTCCGTCCTTCGGCCAATCTACCTTTGGAAGAGCACTGTACATGTAAGTACCTGTACAGCTACTTCAAGTTGGAACAAATTCGAAGTGTGTGACGTGGTTCTGTCATGTCACGTGCTAGTTAGAATGAATGTGACAATTCGTGGTCGTGACGGTGACACGCGCTTTTTCTCAGGCCGCATTCCCCTGAGGCTGCGACAGCAGAAACTACAGAAACCATTCCACTGCAGCTCTATCTTCGACCAAAGACTCGAGCTTTTTCTGAACTTCCTTCAAGCAAAAAAATCCCGTACTCAAAGAACACTCGTCGAACTCCTCGTTGTAAATGGCGAGTCTCGACAAACTTGCAATCCGGGGCATTCGTTCCTTCGACGACAAGCAAATATCTGTTATTGAGTTTTTTTCGCCAGTCACTGTCATAGTCGGACACAATGGAAGTGGAAAAACTACTGTCATTGAGTGTCTGAAGTACGCGACAACGGGCGACCAGCCCCCAAACACTCGAGGTGGCGCGTTCATCCATGATCCAAAGATGGCGAATGAGAAGGAAGTCAAAGCTCAAGTCAAGTTACGATTTCATGCTGCAAATGGAACACGAATGCTTGTCGTTAGGAATCTCTCAGTGACAGTCAAGAAGACTGGCTTAACCATGAAGACTCTCGAAAACATCCTTGCGCTTGCGGACAGCAACGTCGAAAAGGGCGGGAAGGTGAGTCAGAGGCACTTGTATCTTGGACTGGTCTGAACATCCCTGCTCGCACCAGAGGGGAGCTATTTCCACGAAGTGCGCTGAGATAGACACAGAAATCCCTCATCTCCTTGGGGTGTCAAAGTCTGTTCTGGAGAATGTAATTTTCTGTCATCAAGAGGATTCATACTGGCCCCTTGCAGAGCCTTCTGCGCTTAAGAAGAAATTTGATGATATCTTTGAGGCCACGCGGTGAGTTATTCTGTTCTTGAGTGGAATGACCTTTCAGCTAAGATATGAACTAGTTATAGTAAGGCGCTCGACTCTATAAAATCGCTGCGCAAAGATCGCGTTGCAGACCTTAAAGCGGACAAAGAACGTTTAGAATCTCTTGCTAAAGAGAAGGCGCATGCCGACAAGCTCCGTGGCCGTATCAGCGACCTGAACGCGACCATTACCGGGAAGCAATTGCAGTACGAAGAGACTAAGAGGCAGTACGAAGATCTCGTCAAGAACAATGCCCGCTTCTACGAGTCCGCTACCCAATTCCGCGAGTTATACGTCAAGGTTGAAAATCTGCAACAAAAGAAGGAACATTATCGACAGGAGCTTGCGGAGGCGAAAGAAAGCGTACAGGAAGTTGGAGGTAACTTTTCGTTCTTAGTTTGCACACGGGTGGTTGACACTGAGTACATACAGGCACTGATGAGGAGCTTCAGGAGCGCCTAAGCAATTTTAGCCAGAATATTGAAAAGGAGAAAATAACTCGCAATAGACACGAGGTGGAACGACAAGACCTTGAAGATGAACTTGCAAAAACGCGGAGGTCGCATGTGGAGCTTATCAATGAACACGGAGAACTTGCTGCGGAGGCCAAGGTACTCATTTGATTTACTTTTGCATTGGTTTGTTCAACACAGTCATTAGGCACACGACCGTCGCATCTCCGAACGTGAAGAACTCATCCGTGACATCAGCGACAAGAACAACATCAAGGGTTACAACCACACTCCTCTCGAACGCGAGAAAGTGGTTGAATTTCTCTCCCGGCTCGGAGATCTCCAGCGTCGACAGAGGTCCGAATTTGATAAACTGCAGGTGTGCTATCCTGGCGACCTTGGTGCCCTTCCGTTCACTAACAATCGCACAGACTGGGAGGAACAGCAAGAATGATGAACACAGTCGCAAGTTACGGCTGCTTCACACCGAGCTGGAAAGTCTTCGGATGCAGCGAGGAAATACACGCGAACAGATCGTATGTTTACGTTCTATGTGATTTTCACAGAATGCTTTACGCTTTTCCCCATCATAGAAAGAGCGCCAAGCTGCCATTACCAAAGCTGAATCATCGGTCGACACGATGCAGAGTCTCGCATCTGAACTCCGCACTCTTGGTGGTGATATCGAGGAGAAGAAATCACGTCTCGAGAAGATCAAGGCGGATATACAAACTGGAAACTTCGATGAGCGCCTGAGCGCGAAGGCCGCGAAGGCACGGAGTATGGAAGACCAACGCGATACCCTGAACACGGAACTTCGCGGCCTGAGCCTGCAGGCAGAATCAAGGGCTCGTTTGGATCTCAAGCGGGCGGAGGTGCGGAGTAAGACATCAGATACCAAGAACATGTGTGTTCCTTATACAACTTATTTTGTCTTCTGACAACTTTTTCATAGCCTTGAGTTGTGCAATGTCAAATTCCGGAAGTTGATAGGCAGAGATGCCAGAGCTGAAACGATGGAGCGTGATATTGACCGTGCCTCAAGGTAACTCTGCATTCGATGATAAGGACCTGCTTAACAATAATGATGATAGGGAGAAAGATGAGGACCTCGCCGGCGCAGAGGCAGAGGCTGCCGTTGCTAACAAAGAGCTCCAGCAAGCAGAGACAACATTATCGCACGCAAAATCCGAGATGAAGAGCAAGCGGGACGAATTGAAAAGTAAGCACTCGCGCCTATTCAAGGGACGTCTTGAACTAATCAGGTCGTAGAACTGGAGAAAAAACTCAAGGACGAGATTGAAGGGGGGATTTCTTTCGAGATCGCCCTCCCGTACGCGGAGAAGGAGCTCGAGATCCGTAAGAAGTATGTGCTTCCGCAGATTCTTTCCAGCTGGTTGCTGATTCCTACTACAGTGAGAGCAAAGCGGGCATGAGTCAGGTGTATGAGCAAATTCTTAAAGTAGGGCAGGTGAAGAAACGCTGTACTGCCTGCAACCGTGGTCTACATGACAATGAAATGGCTGGTTTTGAGAAATATGTATGTGTCACCCGAGTTCTTTTCGGGCCATAATTTAACAATTACACATACAGCTCAAGGAGCAAATTAACAACCATTCTCCCGAGGCTGTCGAGGTTCAGAAGGCAGAAGTTAAAGAGTGGGAAGATGAAGTGAAGGGGCTCCGCGATCTTATGCCTGTATTTACAACCAAGGAGCGCATCAGGACGGTCGAGCTTCCAGCACTGGAGAGGCAAATCAAGGCCTTAGATGAAGATCTTCCGTCCATCAGCGAGAAGGCAGAGCAGGCAAGATACCCTTGTAACTTCTTGAAACTTGAAACTTCATTTGTATACAGGCTGCTCAGAGGCTAACCGATCTCAAGAAGGACATTAGAGAAATTGCCTCCTTGAAGCAATCCGCCTCTACCGTGTCACGTAACCAGAATGAGACCGAGCGACTCAAGAGCGATATCAAAAACTTGGAAACGGAGCTTGCGGCCACTGGTTCCGCCAAGACGGGTGATGATGTGCAGAGGGAACTTGATGCCCTTTCTAATGAGATGTACGTTGTCTACCTCCCCTAGCAAACAATCCTCTAGCTAACCTGTTCACAGCCGTTCAAATGAGAGAGAAAGGCAAGCACTCATGACAGAGCGTGACCACCAGAATCAATTGCTGCGGACGAATGAAAATGATCTCCACGCGATGGAAAAGAAAGAGAATACGCTTTCCAATCAGATCCGTGACAAGGATATCATGGAGGAACGCATTGTCACAATGACCAACGAGATCGCGACCTTGCACTCGAAACTCAAGGTTTGTTCTTAGGTGTCTAGACTACTAGAGGCTGAAGATTGCTTGTGCCCTTATGGATCTAGGAACTAGACTCAAAGATTTCAGAGGCGCAAGCTCCTATTGATATGCTTGAGCAAGAGCATCAGCAGGCCATGGTTGACCTTGATGCGAAGATTCGCGAGGCTCAACGTTCTGTACAAGAGCTCAACACGAATGTTGATAAACTTGACAGCCTCAATAAAGTCGTCGAGCGGTATGTATTGCACGTGTGTTATAAGACTCTCCATTAACATCTGCCAGATATATTCGTGACAAGCGAGCCCGTCTCCTTGGTGAGTGCGCCGACAAGATAGAACAGTTCGAGCAGGACATCAGGGATCTTGTCACCAATATCGAGAACACCCGGGATGCCATAGCTAAGATTGACCGGGAGATCAGCGAGAGCGGGAGTTTGATGGCGAATTTGCACGGGAACATTCGTATCAGAAAGCTTTCTCGCGATATAGCAGCCACGCAAGCTGAAATTGACTCGTGCGATATGGAGGGAGCTGCAAAGGCGAAGCGGAACTTCGAAGATCGTTACCAGGTTGAGAAACAGAGGGAAACGGAAATGCAGAGCAAGGTAAGAGCTCGTTCGCTTTCGCACATCAGTCCACATCATCCCATGTCCTGCAGTATGCCCATATAGGAGGCGAAATCAGTTCCCACCAAGAGCAACTCAAGATGACAGAGAAGGATCTACGTGACTTCAAGGAGATCAACAAACGGTATATACCGACCAGTTGGTCAAGGTCAAGGTCTGAATCTGGTTCAATTTTGTGAAATCGAGTAATTTGACACCTGCTTAGATGTCCGACATGGCAAATAATGATCTGGAGAAATATGCCAAGGCCCTGGACAGGTAAGCTGTACATTCCTGGTCCTATGATCCTATATTTGATGTCTCTAGTGCCATTATGAAATACCACGGTCTGAAGATGGAGGAAGTCAACGATACTATGCGCCATCTCTGGAATAAAACGTATCAAGGGACCGGTATGTACCCTTGGATCTTGTCGTGGTTAAGTGCTAATCGCTGTTAGATATCGACGGTATAAAAATCCGCTCCGACGTGGAGGGCGGCGCATCAAAACGATCCTATAATTACAGAGTGAGTGTTTCCTTCCACGGTAAGTATGATTTTGTTGACATCGTTTCAACAGGTTGTTATGACCAAAGATCAAGTCGAGATGGACATGCGTGGACGATGTTCCGCAGGTCAGAAGATGCTGGCCTCGATTATCATCCGTCTCGCTCTCTCTGATTCTTTCGGTCAAAACTGTGGCATTCTTGCGCTGGATGAACCGACGAACGCTCTTGATGTGGAAAACATCGATGCACTCGCTGAGAGCCTTGTCGAGTAAGTGATCATTGGCGGCCTTTTTCGACGAGAAGTGCTAACCTTTTTGAAGTATCATTAACGAGAGGAAGAATCATTCCAACTTCCAGTTAATTATCATCACACATGACGAGAATTTCCTTCGCAAGCTTGGTCAAGCTGAGGTGATGGAATACTATTGGTAAGGTTGTATCTCTGCTTTCTTCGCTTTGTTTATTTATATGCGTCAGGCGTGTTTCGCGAGATTCGAGACAGAAGTCTGTAATTGAACGCCAAAGGTTCCGATGAACTTGTCAATCCAACATCTTCAATTGAGTTGCTCGCTACATTGTCACACACTGTACAATACCATCATCAAGTTATCGTTATCCTACAATCTGACCCTCTACAACACCATGAGGTGCTTAAATATCTCGTGCAACACTCAGGCTGGTTTATCACTTGTGTGTCCACTGGGCTGCGCGCTTGGGTTTGGCGAGGAATGCTTGGAACCCTTCTGCATGATCCTCCAGTCCGAAGGTCGCGTGGTAAAGTCTGCTTTCGAAACGTAGCCCATTCTTTAGCCCCAGCTCTTCAGCTGTCAATGTTGATGTTCAATAATGCATAGTACGCTGTGAAAGGTACTTCACTGACCTTCGTTGACCGCCTCCTTTGCCATTGCCACGATGGGTGCAGAGAAGCTCGCTATCTTGCTCGCTAGACGATTGTTGTAATAGTTAAGTCACCCTCCAGGGAATTAAACACTCTGCGTACCTGTCTTCAAGGCTGCACTAAAGACCTGCTCTGTAGGGAGGACCTTAGCCACAAGCCCTGCTGCTTCGGCTTCCTTTGCACTAATCATTTCCCCCGTCAATATCATGTGCATTGCCTGACAAAGCAACCAATGTTAGTGATGCTGTAGGTCTCTGATCTTGCGCCAACTACTTTCGATTTCCCAATAGCCCTGATTAAGCGCTGCGTCCCTCCAGCTCCTGGGATGGTTCCCAGTGTGATTTCTGGCTGCCCAAACGTTGCAGTCTCTGCTGCATACAAAATGTCACACATCATCGCCAGCTCACAGCCACCTCCCAGCTGGATGCCTGTCAGTCAAGGTAGATATCGAGTGATCGACTCACTGCGATGCCATTGATGACTCCGATTATTGGCTTATGAATGGCAAAGAATCCGTCATTTAGATTCTTCAGATAGTCTTGATTATATGCATTGACAAAAGATAGTTCACTTTGCTCCTTGATGTCCGCACCAGCTGCGAGGTAATCAGATTGATTTGTGTAGAAAGGTTTTGGAGCTGACCAGCAGAATCCTTTTTCGTTGCCTGTCAGGATAATAGCGCCTACGCTGGGGTCGCTCTCGAACGACCTCAAAGCATCCAATAATTCGTTTATCAATGTTCCAGACAGTGCGTTATAAGCCCTAGGTCGATTGAGCTTGATAATCCCCACCCTTTCTGAGTGTTCAACGATAATCGTTGACTCTGACATACCCGGCTGTTGGTGAGTCTTGTGATCATCCACGTCCTTCAAACTTGAAGATTTGAAGCGAGAAGTTATTATTGGCACAAAAATCACGCGCTCTGTATACGGCGCCGATATATTCTGCTCAAGTCACTGTTGATGCCCAGTGAAAACCTATGGGTGGTGTATCTAGCGTCCTGGATGGTACTACATAGTTTAGCCATTTTGTCGATTGGAAATGGCGAGTTGTTGCATCAATCTAATACTAGCTTGTGTTACAAGATTACAGTACTAGATGGGCCAATTTGTTGTACATATTGCTTAATCTATCAGAATCTCTGAGAAAATATGCATTGCAGACATAGTATGGACTACAGACACAGTATGGACTGCAGGAATACTAATACGAGTGCAATAATGATAAACGACATAGCAACAGCGAGAATGCGAGAACAATTTGAGTGTGATCATCAGTGACAATAACAGCGAGAACCGTGGGGGACATGTTGCGATGGATCCAGGTAGTGTGGGCCCAAGAAAGAAGGAAGATATATATATGTATACATTCATTCACCAGAAAACGTGTCATATTCCTGTTCGGAAAGCATCCACAAATTCTGAATGGGCACGAGAGCGTGCTAAAATATTGCAAGGGAAGACCATAGGGGAGCTAAAGCGATGGAACGTTAGTGACGGGAAAATGGAATGATACGAGAAAACCAAGTACTGAGTGAGTCCCGTCGTGAATCGGGGGGTAAATTCGATCACTTTGCCCTGGTCATCTTTGGCAGAACAAAACTCCACCGTGGCCAACATAGTAACAATAGCGGACCACAAAGAGGCATCAGCGGCATATCGGCCTGATCAAAGAATTTATTAGCTCTATACGGTAATGAAATAACTCAACCCACCTGGACATGCACGCCGGCCAAAGCCGAAAACATATCTAGCAGGGTCATCGTCCGTCAGCGCATTATTGACGTCCAGGAACCTCTCCGGTATAAAGCTAGATGCTTCGGGATACCGCTTCTCATCCTGTGAAATGGCCCTGCACAATAACTTCAGTATTTTGAAAGCCAGAGAGGATCTATTATTTAACCATATGTTGGATATAACGATTGCTCCTGATGTACAATATCACAATATATTTGTTCACTAAACGAAAACGGCAGACCTTTGGGAATGAAGTAGCCATTGAATATATCATCACTTGAAGTACCATGTGCTATGCCTACAGGATTGTCTTTAGTGATGACGAGATCACTCGACAAGGAAGAATACCAATGGGTCCAACAGGATGCCATCGCAAAGTTTCCCGTAGGACCGATTCGACGTAGGGTAGCGAGGCTCTGTCTTCAAACGTGGGCAATCGAGCTCCTCCAACCACTGCTTGGATCTCCGCATGTGCGCGTCTCTGAACATCTGGATACAATACCATGGCGAGAGCAAAAGTCATCAAGGTCGAGGTGGTCTGAAGAGGTTGAGCAGAAGACAATCTGATTCGGACATCTGCTGACCGTCTCATATGAACCTGCATAGATATCTATCAAAGAACACAACGTTTCTTATGAAGAGTTGACGAACCCAGTACAGCAGTAACAGCTGCTTTCTTTAAGGCAGTCTCGAGAATGGGTTTTGATGCCTGATCTAGCTTCTCCATCCGTTGCACATTGTCTGATACCATAGAAATCTGGCTGAGGGACAAGTTGTCGGCCTTAGCAAGCACACGATCAACATATAGGATCGAACCAGATTAAAAAAGATGCCCACCATATGTTCCTGCGCATATTGGAACGGCCGGTTCGTCACTTCAGTCATGCGATGGGTCGAAACCTCAGCATCGCGTTTGAGCGCGGATCCCCAGCACCAGTCAGGTAACCTCAGTACTGCATGAGGGTGCGGGATGTCAAGTCTTTCTTATCAACAAGAGTGAGCTCACAGAAAGGGAAGAGTTTAAGTAACATTGCTTTCTCTGGGGTCAGCAGCTCAAAGCCAATAGCCGATGCATTTTCTACGATTTGAACCAGTGGGTCATCACGAGGACGAGTTTGGTAGCCGTACGCCACTGACATCGCAACTGATGACGAGAACCTATGAACAGGTTGATAATCATTTGATGTTTACAAATACATCGACTGACGTTGCGAAGTGAGAATGATAATGCCGAGGGTCATCAATTAGGTTGACGATCAATTCACGAGCCCGGTTGAGCTGCATTGGACGGAATTTGAGTGCAGAGTCGGGACGGAAAGTCTGGTGGAAGAGTCGTCGGCAAAGACGCCATTCGTCACCATATCTTGTGAATGCAAAGTTGACCGACCAACCAAATCTGCCAGGGCCTGTATTTCATAATGATTATATGGAAGAATGTTAGAGGGACGTACGGCTCGACTGTGGCTAAGTATGGTCGATCGGAGTAAATGCGAGAACGCTTGTCCATTAAGGCTTCTGCAACGTGCTGAGAATTGATCACCACGACCTTCCTGGCCTAGAAGTCGCACGAAAACCAAGTCTCCTGATGTAATTATTTACATCACATATGCACCATACTATCTGCCCACGTACCATAAGCAGCACCCCATTCTGTATAAGTCAACCAAGGCTCCTTGGTGTCGATAGATAAGACGTTCCCTAACAGTGGGAGCGGCGCTGGGCCAGGAGGAAGGCAAGGTTTATTCTGTCTGTTCTGAATTAACCGCGTAAAGGCTTTGATAACAACAAGGATGCAGGTAAGGTGATGGCGAGGATAGCAAGGCGACTATCAAGTGAAGGAAACATGGTTAGAGCAATGCGTGGGTAGATATTAATGCACGAAGCGAATGTTATACATAACTGCCAGTGCATAGAGAGTTGCTTACCACACCCCTTCATGTGGCGCAGGTCTGGTGAGCAGACTCTGGTTCAAGCTTGAAGCGGGAAGGAACGGGAGCTAATAGAACGAAGTAATCTCAGTCTCTGGAAAGAACTGAGATGCTCGGGCGTCTGCCTCTAGGCTATATAGTAAGTAGGATAGGAACAATGAAATATAAGTGACAAGGTATATATTGACAAGGACGAGCCGACGTCAGGACGTCGTGCTCACTTCTCTTTTGAGTTGCGCTCGCACTAGCTCACTAGTACTATCGCGCCGTTCCTATCTCGGATCCTTCGGTCGTTGACCCGTCGGATCTCTCGCCGTCCAACAGCAGGTGCAAAATATGTTATTTAGGGGCGCTCCAACCTAGTGCTGCCGAAGTTCAGTTCCGTCCGGTTTTTTCAAGATAATCGAGGACCGAGAACCAAACCTCGGTCAAGTTCACACAGGTAGGGTGGACTCTGGGCCGGACCACTTCGAACGGGTTCACGATGGTCAGGTTCAGGTTCGGACCAGTTCGAACTGCCGAACGTGATATAATCATTTGCAAAATTCGACATCCAATGTTGAACGAGCCAAAACCCCAACCTCGTGACCCAAATGAGTATACCTAGAATAAATAGAAGTAAATACATATTACAAAGTAAACCTACTATTATCAAATCGTATATAAGCAAATCTTATCGCGCTGTCACGGCAGTCCAGGTAGAGCTCTATGCCGCAGCTATGGCTCGTACAACTCTACATTACCAATATCTGCGAAAATACATCCTGCATATGATCTTGCGAAGCGTTTTTCAGCCACCACGGACCCCAGAAGAGGCTGCATGCGAGTACTAAGTAGCAGACTTAATGCATTACTATGTCATGGATTGGTGACGTACTACACCAGTACTAGTATGACTCAATTATTCTTTAAAGTCTAACTAAGTCCCGGTCGCACCGTACCGTGATGTCCGCCGAGTGAACCAACCAACCAAACCACTGTCTTCCCTCTATCGGGTCTGCCTACGAGACCATACCTGATAGGTCTCAATTGCGTCTCGTGCACGCGCAAGCAGGTGGTTGAATGTTAGTACATGTTACATGTTTCACATGGCACGTGCACAAAACGGAGCTCAGTAAAAAGTTGCGGAAAAGGGTCGAAAAAGGGTTGTCGAATATTTGATAGATTGGCCAGCTAGTGGGCCAAAGAAAGAAGGAAGACATATATATGTACGCGTTCATTCACCAGAAAACTTATCCAGAAAACATGTTCGGAAAGCATCCATAAGTTCTGAATGGGTACGAGAGCGTGCTGAGATATTGCAAGGGAAGACCATAAGGGAGCTAAAGCGATGGAACTGTTAGTGACGGGAAAATGGAATGATACGAGAAAAACCAAGTACTGAGTAATTCCCGTTGTGAATCGGGGGGTGAATTCGATCACTTTGCCCTGGTCATCTTTGGCAGAACAAAACTCCACCGTGGCCAACATAGTAACAATAGCGGACCACAAAGAGGCATCAGCGGCATATCGGCCTGATCAAAGAATTTATTAGCTCTATACGGTAATGAAATAACTCAACCCACCTGGACATGCACGCCGGCCAAAGCCGAAAACATATCTAGCAGGGTCATCGTCCGTCAGCGCATTATTGACGTCCAGGAACCTCTCCGGTATAAAACTAGATGCCTCGTGGTATCGCTTTTCATCATGTGAAATGGCCCTGCAATATAACATCAGTATCTTGAAAGCCAGAGAAGATCTATCTAACCATATGTTGGATATGACGGTTGCTCCTGATGTACAGTATCACAATATATTTGTTCATTAAACGAAAACGGCAGACCTTTTGGAATGAAGTAGCCATTGAATATATCGTCACTTGAAGTAGCATGCGCTATGCCTACAAGATTGCTTTTAGTGATGACGAGACCACTTGACAAGGAATAATACCAATGGGTCCAACAGGATGCCATCGCAAAGTTTCCCGCAGGACTGATTCGACGTAGGGTAGCGAGGATCTGTCTTCAAATGTAGGCAATCGAGCTCCTCCAACCACTGATTCGATCTCCGCATGTGCGCGTCTCTGAACATCTGGATACAATACCATGGCGAGAGTAAAAGCCATCAAGGTCGAGGTGATCTGAAGAGGTTGGGCAGCAGACAATATGATTCGGACATCTACTGACCGTATCATACGAACCTGCAGAGATATCTATCAAAGAACACAACGTTTCTTATGGAGAGTTGACGAACCCAGTACAGCAGTAACAGCTGATTTCTTTAAGGCAGTCTCGAAGATGGGTTTTGATGCCTGATCTAGCTTCTCCATCCGTTGCAAATTGTCAGATACCATAGAAACCTGGCTGAGGGACAAGTTGTCGGCCTTAGCAAGCACATGATCAACATCTAGGACCGAACCAGATTAAACAAGATGCCCACCATATGCTCCTGCGCATATTGGAACGGCCGGTCCATCATTTCAGTCATGCGATGGGTCGAAACCTCAGCATCGCGTTTGAGCGCGGATCCCCAGCACCAGTCAGGTAACCTCAGTACTGCATCGAAGCGCGGAATGTCAAGTCTTTCTCATCAACGAAAATGAGCTCACAGAATGGGAAGAGTTTTAGCAAGGTTGCTCTCTCTTGGGTCAGCACCTTAACGCCAATAGCCGTTGCATTTTCTACGATTTGAACCAGGGGGTCATCACGAGGGCCAGTTTGGTAACCGTACGCCACTGACATCGCAACTGATGACGAGAACCTGTGAACAGGTTGATAATCATTTGATGTTTACAAATACATCGACTGACGTTGCGAAGTGAGAATGATAATGTTGAGGGTCATCAATTAGGTTGACAATCATCTCACGAGCCCGGTTGATTTGCATTGGACGAAACTTGAGTGCAGAGTCAGGACGGAAAGTTTGGGTGAAGAGTCGTCGGGAAAGACGCCATTCGTCACCATAGCTTATGAATGCAAAGTTAACCAACCAACCAAATCTGCCAGGGCCTGTATTTCATAATGATTATATGGAAGAATGTTAGAGGGACGTACGGCTCGACTGTGGCTAAGTATGGTCGATCGGAGTAAATGCGAGAACGCTTGTCCATTAAGGCTTCTGCGACTGTGCTGAGAATTGATCACCACGACTTCCTGGCCGTAGAAGTCGCACGAAAACCAAGTCTCCCTGATGTGATTATTTACATCTACGATATGCACCATACTATCTGCCCACGTACCATAAGCAGCACCCCATTCTGTATAAGTCAACCAAGGCTCCTTGGTGTCGATAGATAAGACGTTCCCTAACAGTGGGAGCGGCGCTGGCCAGGAGGAAGGCAAGGTTTATTCTGTCTGTTCTGAATTAACCGCGCAAAGGCTTTGATAACAACAAAGGATGTGGGCAAGACGGCGAGGATAACAAGGCGACCATCAAGTGAAGGAAACATGGTTAGAGCAATACGTGGGTAGATATTCGATGCACGAAGCGGACGTTATAACTGCACGGAGAGTCGTTTACCACACCCTGCACCTGGCGTGTCGGAGCTGGCAGAAGACCTAAGGGGTAGGGACTTGTCTGACCTGTGCGACCATGTGCTGCAGGTGCAAAATGTTATGTCGTCTAGCGCGAAAAGATCTAAATTCAAGTCTGAGCCATATTTAAAGGTTTCGTACAACTCTCATTGAACAAGATAATTGTATTGCAGCTGAGAAAAAAAGTTGCGATATCAGATTGTAGCTCGACAATGGAATGGAGAATACGGACAGATCCACATATTCTTAGGCTGTCCATCACGAATAAATTAGGCTCGTTAAGCGAGTCCCGTTGCGGGTGTCCATCACTTCAACTTTGCCCTTCTTTGACGGAAGAAATGTTCAAGTACTGTGACCAACATGGTGACAATGCCATACGCATCTAAAGCACGAAACGGACCTTACAAGTCTCATGACCGCTCGATTGATGAGAAGCTTGTTGCCCACCTGCATGTCACGCTTGCGAAGTGGCGATGTCAGCAGAAGAAGAGGACATGGATATACTCTTATCCGAACACTGTTGTTCAACAATGCGGTTCCCATGCAGGCGAAGTAGTCATATTTAAGGATAGCAGGTCCGAAATGCACCATGGCTTTCGGTCCAACTCCTCGATGACTACGATATCCTGGATCAGGGATGGGATAAACGGAGGGAGTGAGACGAGACGAGACGAGAAATGACGACAGAGACACCTAGAGGAACAATCAAAAGACGTCGATTCGGTCGAACGCAACGAATAAGAGTCACGCTCGTCAATCCAGTTCCATACATATAAGAAGATGGACATTGCGTATATATGGAACACGCACCTTAAAAGACGTCGGACCTGAACGACGGATGTCCAACTTCCTCTCGGACTTCGAACCAAACGCCCACTTTCTCAAGTTGTAATCTATCCGTCACATTGATGATTTGAATGTCACATCTGTGTGAGTTAGTTTAAACAAGTGTTTCTTGTGAGTGATGATTTCTAGACTGTAGAGCTGATCACTCCGTGCAAATATTACGTTGAGTCCCCGAGTGCCAACTTCTGTTGAGAATCTCAAGTTCTCATAAATAAATAGATTCAGATCCGACTCGCCGATATATATTTCGGTAAGTTCCGCTCGTGCTTTTAGCCGTTTTCACGATCTGTCCATGGGGTGTTGCTGCGCTGCGTCATCCGGAAAATGCAGTCGGACAATCTATATTAATACGTAAGTCAAAACATAAGTTGTATGTCAGAAAAGGAAATAAAAATTACCCACAAAATCAAGTCCAACTTAGCTGCCACAGGCTTACATCGTTCTGGAATCTGCACCTCCGGGGCTGTGAGCCATCCCGATTCCTCTCCTCAATCGTGTCATTGTCAGCACTCTTCCCGCGTTCTTGCTAGTATATCCAGCGTGTGTAGTCAGTCGGACGTGGCTTGGTGTGAGCAGTCCGCGACTCCTTCAACAACTCGTCAAAATTCCGTGATCTGTGGTCCGCTCATTGTCTTCTACGGAGATTGTGACTGGGGGCTACTGCCAGGGGTGATCAACCGTACAATTATTTCCCGACAGGCTGGTGTGGTATTTCTGGAACGCATCGATTTCATTTTCACCAGTGGCTGTTGCACTACAGTTGTTGCCTTGCAATAGTTAGTCCTGATGTCCTCGTCATTGGAGGAGCTTCCTGTCCATGTTCGTCTGGAGGCACACGCTACCGCTCGCGAAAAAGCAGTTGCTGCAAGCGATATCAGCCCAGGTTCAATTGTTCTGCAGGTGCCATCCATGGTAGTTTCGTTGCTCCCGTCGGGCAAAGGTCGCCGATGTGATTTTTGTCTCTGTTCAGAAGCATCCGAAACCAGGCTGGCCAGGTGTACTGGCTGTGCTTCATACTGGTATTGCGGTCCACAATGTGCGTACCCACTGTTGATGACGTGTGACAACGGCCTTGAAAATATTCTCAGGCCAAACCTTGCACTGGCGATCGCACAAAAAGTTTTGCAAGAGACTTGCTTCCTTTACGGCATCAGCCGATTTTCAATGCCTGGAAGCGCACGAGCAACTAGATGCTTTGCTTCACACCCATCTTATAGCGGAAATTTCGTCTAATGTGTCTTCTGATGTCAGAGCAAAGCAACTATCCACTTTCATGTCTCTGCTGCCTGGACCGCAGTATAGCTCCCCCCCAGTTGCTTGCCCCATGTCTGTGGGCGTTGATGTGCACCAAAGCCTTGAAGATTTGTTTACTCGTTCTGGGAACAACAATTTCGCAATTCACAGTCATCTCACAACTATCGCTCATGGCATATTCCCTCTTGCGAGTCGCCTTTTCAATCATTCGTGTCTTCCAAATGCCGCTGCAAGATACGTGATCCGCCGAGGTCAGTCAGTGCGAATGGAAATTGTAGCTTTGCGAAAGATCAAGGCCACAGAAGAGGTACTTCGTTCACCTAGTATGTCAGATGGTCATTATAGAGTTAAACTATTCTCGTCTTGCAGATCTGTATTCCATATGTGGACCCTGCTCTGGTAGAGTTCCGTCAGCAGATCTTCGAGCTCACCTATGGCTTCTCCTGTACCTGCCCATCGTGCAATTTCCTCAGCACGCTTGGCTCCATTCCTTCGTTGCCTGTCTCGGAGGCTGCACTCGCAGAATTGGACAATACTCTGCAATCATTTTGTTTTCCTTCTGGAGATATTGACGATCGCACGCTGCTTGTGGGCTTAACTCTTCCAGACCTTCCAGAAAATTTGCATCCTGTACTCCGCGAACCGTATCTATTGCGGCTCACGGATGCCTTTAGCAGATCTTCTCACGAGGGTTCTTATCATATCGCTCTTGATGTTGGGCTAACCGTGCTTGCCGTGTATCTTTTAATATACCCAGAAAACTATCCACAGATTGGTAGGGAATTCTGCATCGTGAAAATCTTATCTCGACTGACGCTTTCAAAAGGTATGCATCTGCTAGAGATGGCAAAGACAGCATGGAATGCTGTGATCGCAACTGAACATGACAATGCACACGATGCTCTTGCTGAGACATCCTTGCTTAAGCGGGCCCGAGTCTACCGCAATCTTGCTAGCAACATATTGGAGTTGTTCGGTCCAGAAGGCGATCCAGCTGGCCCTCTAGAAGAGCTTGCGGTTTTGCAAAAACTACTTCATGAGGAACTGTGAGTTGTCGTAATGTCAGTCTTTCGAAAATCTGACGGACCAATTTCAGGTAACGACCACCAGTGATGCACCCGAGGTGTTTGCAATTAAGGTGGCGATTAGAGCTAGAACAGTCAAGAACGGATCATTACTACGGCAAGAACCACTCGCAAGCATGCTCAATACGTTCATTAGCGGACCGTGTCAACATACAGCTGGATAAGCTTGTCTCACTCAATCGACACCTTTTCGTAGAACTTCATATAGAGCACTGCGTACATTGATATATAATGTATGTTACATACAGGACATAAAAGATCATTGGAAGGCTCAGAAGCACTTCGACTCTTGAACTACGTGACGGTGCTCTAGCCCATCAGTGAAATCACACGCGCACGAACTTGAATTGTTACATGCTCCGAGGCTCGAGAGTCGGCTGCATACATAGTACAAGCTCGACGAGCACTCGATAAGCAGTTTGAACGAGCCTGTAAGTACTACTGTATCACTGCGTCGCACCATCCCAAGCTGCGCTTCCTTGCTCTGAAATCATATTGAACCAGATTGAACTGCCGATTTCAACCTGAACTTTGAAGTCGGTGGTTCCAATATTCTGGAACGTAACGGTGTCACAGGTGGAACGTAATACCACCTTAAGGCAGTACCAGTCTAAGCCAAATAAAGCCATGACATCAAAGTTTGAACATTGCTTCGCTTACGTGATCACGCATGCATCGATAGAATCTTCCTCTGGACGTGGATACCGAACTTCGAAGTCATAGCATGAATTCAGTGCCGTCTACTTCCGAGTCCTGGGATTTTCCGATCGGCCCTTACCAGTAAATCCCACCAGACGCGCTGTGGATCGAGTTACAGTCCGACATCTAATACGTCCTACAGGCCTTTATGGGGGGCACAAGTCCCATTGGTCGATCCCGTGGTAATGCTGTTCATCTGCATACCGGCACTGGCGGAATCGTCCCTTTGCAGAATGTGACAATCCTTGTATTTGCTCTCATTTTTTCCCTGCTTTTTATTATCGCTTTGTCGTGTTCGTTCCTCGGTGCCGATGAAGAAGATGATCCCCCTTTCAAGAGCATGCTGAATGACATCGCAACGAATGATCCAGGCGTAGGCGTGTCATACGTCTTTGATACTTTTTTGCTGAACTCGTCTGCAGGTTGTCCTGTTGGGTGAAAATGTCGACGTTGACATTGACGAGCCCTCCGTCACCGTGTCGTGGTCCCTCGTTGCATGTGGAGACAGCTTTGAACTCGACGGAAGCTCTGGTATCCATGAGAGTCAATGTGGACTGCCCTCGATGGCTCTCTGGATTTATGCCGATAAGTAGGTGGCCGTCCTGAGCTTGATGAATTTGCGACTGACGACGTGCATCCTCATAGTTCTCCTGAACCTGCAGCTATATATGATCCTGCCACAATTCCGTTCGTTCGTAAAACGGGTAAGCGGCACAGGTAAGTCCAGGGGATGCGTTGAGATTGACTAATGCTCATGATTATATACGTCAGAATCGAGAACCTCGTTCGATTCGACTGCGATTATACCCTTGATGTCCACAAGGCTCGCTTGTACCCATTTGATACCTATCTTCTCGCCAGCACTCTGCGGGCCGTCAATGCTTCAAACACGACGGTTCCCATTCGGAAACTCTCCACAATCGAACAAGTAACCAGTTTTCTCGTCGCAATCAGTGACGTCGAAAGCTACGAGATAATCAATGGGAACTCAAGTTCCTACTCGCGACTTTCGATTTATATGTGACGAGGCCTGGACAATTACGGTTCTATACTTTGTTACTTTTTGGCATCAACTGGATGCTGTCTCACATCACCGTTGGACATGTTATATTGGCACGCAGACTAGTCGATATCAGGTCCATGACCAAGCATCTGGTGTCTGCCTTTGCTATCCTTCTCGTCATCCCGCAGCTGAGGAATTCGATGCCAGATTCTCCGGATTTGGATGACGGTGAGTTTATCTCAGCGGGCTGGGTCGAATATTGCTTATGCATTCACGCAGGTGCTCTCATTGGTATGTTTTCTTTGACTCCTCAGCTTCCTAAGATAAACAGATTAACCGCTTTCTTTGACAGACTACATTGGTTTCATCCCGCAGATGATCATTTCCGCTTCATGTGTCCTCACCATATTACTCCTCATAATGCTGCGCGAGTACGATGAAATGGAGGGCAAACAGACTCCCCGCCAGATCACGCGGCGGCCATCGCTGACTCCGCCCCCACGACCGCCACCGCCGCGCACTCCCAAGGTGTCTTCTAAACTCCCCCGCACCTCCTATTCTACCACGGAAATCACCACTGAGACCCTTCCTCCTCGGAGCCACAGTGCGCACCCGGTCGGTCGCCATGGAACGTGGGGAGGCAACCTGCTTGAAAGACGAGCTCAACACAAGTTTCGTTTTTCCTCCAATATCACATGCAAATGGTATCATTCACCACCGCTCTCGTTCTTCGCGATCCCGCTTAGGCACAACGGGGCTAGGAGGACCGTTCGAAAGTGTTTCGGGGTCCAACTCGTCTAGGTCACCTACACTTAAGTCTCTCAAGGAGTGACGACTAAACCTATCCCTGTGAGTGGTGACTTTTATCTTATTCTTGTTCTTCTGAATCACCGTGTGTAGTGCTTTCGATTGGACTATCCTGGCAGTGTACTTGAGGCAATTGGGATATGTAACCATATGTAGTACGAATGTAGGAGTAAGGGCGTTACACATTGACACAGTCGCAGCCTTCTATTCGGACCATTTCGTTAGATGTTGCGTTAATACTTATAAATCATATTCTCAGTGTCACCGGCGTTCTGTGTTACGTTCTTGAAACGTGCTTTGTGGAGCCCCGATGCCTGTGCAACATCATGCAATAAAATGTTTTTGCAAGCTTGAATGTACGAGAAGTCAAAATAATGACTTCACAGCAACAATAATTCCACTACGTATCGCGTACGCGATGTAGACACACCTTGGCTACACATCTGCCTGTACACAATAATCAGAAAATCTGAACGAACTAGTGGGTAGAAGTACTAAGTGGTATGATGGTTTGATCATGAGACAAACTGGCCAAGTTGTGGTAAGCGCAAATTTGAAATACAACTTGGATTATTGATGCCACGTGGATCTTTCATCACTACCCCCCTTCCCACTCTCTCTTCACCTTCGTTTCGCAGGTTTCGACAATTTCTGGAGATCTAGTTAGCAACTTTAAAAATGCCCGTCGGAATTGAAGCTTGGTTGACCCAGATTCCACCAATAACGCGTGCTTGGCTAGCACTATCTGTGGCCACGAGTTTAGCAGTGGTATGAAGGCGAATGCTCAATTCACCGAGACGGAACTGACGTGTTCCTAAGCAATGTCAGCTCGTGACGCCTCTGCAACTGTATTTTAGTTTTAAATCCGCTTTTACCAATGCGCAAGTGAGTTGTGTTTTGACCTGGAGCAATATCTTGTGTGCATGCTAATAGAGAGTGCAGCCGTGGCGCATGGCCACGACATTCTTTTACTTTGGATCGATATCTCTCGATTTCGTATTCCATCTTTTCTTTTTGTGAGCTCTGTTGTCGATTTCGATCGATTCAAATTTGACTTTCATGGATTCTAGCATGCGATATAGTCGGATGTTAGAAGAATCCTCGTTTGCCAATAGAAAAGCCGACTACTTTTGGTTGCTTCTGCTATCATCCGTGATGTTATTGGTGAGTTGTATCAACTTCTTGTCGCCTGCATCTTAATCTTCGTGGTACAGGTCATGTCACCCTTATTCAACCTTCCATTTCTCTCCTCCTCGCTCGCCTTCGTGCCCATATATATGTGGTCCCGTCGGCATCCATCAACGCCAATATCGCTTTTTGGATTGTTCACAATCTCAGCGCCGTACTTGCCATTAGCCCTTGTAATTTTCTCCTGGGTAATAAGTGGAACATGGAAGGCGGCGGCAGGAGATCTAATTGGGTGTGCGGTCGGTCACATTGGATGGTTCCTGCGGGATGTCTGGCCAAGAGAGATGGTCGGAGGGTACTCGTTCCTGACTGAGGCACCTGATGGGCTGTAAGTGTTTCCCGATAGACAAAATGGGTCATACTTATACTGTTACAGGAGGAGATTATTCGGAGACCTCTGAGTCGATCTTCAGTGTACTTGGCATCTTTTATTCCTTCCTGGGGCAGAGAGAGCGGCATTGCTACTGAAAAAATCATTATGAATTCATTGTTTCTATGTTTGATGAAGCAATATCCTTACGTGCTGCAGTCGGGACCGTGATAGCGCCTTGTGTTATCTAAACTCATATGTGTCATACGTGTCATTGTGCATCATTAGCTTCAGGCTCTGTCAAAACACTTTTCGTTGCTGTGAACGAATCTCACCATTGTTGTCTTGCCTTGGCCTCAGGAAGGCTCAGTGAATGTCACGAGTGTCCGAGGTCCGCACGGGAGCAATACGACTACGAGTCGACAAGTGACATGTGTCGTCTTGGGGAAAGGGCTCTCATTCCACAACAACAGAATTCAATTTTGTCATTATAGTTGGCGGTGAGCTCCGGGCTGTCCTTGTTGATCTTTCCTTTCTTTCTGGCCTGTTGCTTTTCTACTGCTCTTGTCACTGTTTCTTGTGATTATATCAAGTCATACATAGTCTATCCGAGTTGCTATAAGGGAATATACCCAGATGACTAGTATGTCCTCACGATCCCCATCCCCTGCCAATCCAATCGAGTTCTACGAGCCTCACGAACATAATGGACTTCCTCAGTCCTCGAACGGGATGCATTCAGTTGCATCGCCCTCAGCCAAGTTGACGCGAACTGTCGCGATAATCAAGACAAACGCATTGGAGCAGCGTCTAGATATTGAACACCGTCTTCTGGAGGCAAATTTCGAGGTGTGTGCATCAATTTCATGAATTTATGTGCTTCGCCCTTGTATCGCACATTAGTCTTTGTCTTTCGAATATAACACGTGAAATATGTCCAGAGTCGCGTTCAAGAATTTCTAAACTTCTTGATTTGAGATGCCATAACTGATTCTCCATGCCTTATAGATAGTTAAAGAACGCCAAATGGAGTTTGACACGGAGACGGATCCCGACACATTCTTCGAGCTTTTCGGCGATGATGCCCGGTTCCTTGATGAGTGAGTGTCTCAATGACTATTTAGTAACAGTATTATTCATCCCAAAACCCTTTCTATCGTATCTCCCACCACTGATACCTATTTAGCGGTCCAGTCTGGGTCTACATTCTCGAGCGCAGACGCGCTGTCCAAGTTCTCCTCACGCTAATGCCTTCACTGAATGATGCAATAATAGGCGCAAAGCACGAAGAGCAAGCAGAAATACAAATAGCGTCTCTATTTGCCTCCAGCCCACCATTTCCCACCAGCGATCTCCCTGCAGCCGATGAAGAGCTGATTTCAAGTGACGAGTTCGACCCCGGTTCCGTGCGCTCGATCGACTCTGCGATCCTGGAAGCTCTCAGGCTAGGTTTGAGTGCCCCTCCAGGCGTGCTTACACCATCCTCTGTATCTTCAGATCCGCGTGCACCACAATTTTCAGCACGCCCAAGCCTCAGTTCCAATGGATCACCCAATGGAAAGCAACCATTTCGTGCACGGCCACTTCCAAAAACGCATCTGACTCCTGATATCTCTCCACGCACAACAAAAGCTGCCCTTCTTCGTCAAGGGCTGGCTATAGACGGGTCCAAAGCGTCTCCACTAAAATCACGAATGTCCACTGCTAGTACTGGCCGCATCCCACTTACTCGTAGGGAGAAAGAGAACGCAGCGGATAAAGAGATGGAGAAAGAAAGGATCAAGAAGACGTTTGCAGGCGTTCCGGGCCACAAGCGCACTGAGACGCTCACCGTTGCGTCTACTGCGCCACCCACCATTACCCCCGAGGTTGACCAAGGCAGCCGCCCTACGGTTGGGCCTCGCCCAGCCCGCCTTACCTCCTGGGCGGAGGCGTGCATCGATAGCTGGCTCGGTCGTGAATGGAAAAGCAGCAGTCGGCACCGATGGGCCTGCTATCTCTTCACAGAAATATAGTTTACCTAACGATGCCGAGGGAGAAGGCGAAGACACGGAGACTGAGCGGGGACGCGAACGCAAAAATATTTTTGACGGTGTTCCTGGGCACAAGCGTCGCCAACCGATATCTGTCGCAAGTACAACTGAAGCTCCGTCTATAGTTCCCAGAACAAACAGGACCGCAGCTCTCAGAAAGCAGGGCGGACCTCCCCCGAGCAGTTTCATGTGTAAGTCCTTGGCTACAGCTGTTTTCTCTTCACTTCTCTTCACACAATAGGACACTTTGCGGTCGTTCGATTTTTTTTTAAAGTTCGTCACTGACGCAATGAACACTTCCAGTTCGCACTCCGTCCGCTCCCAAGGTGCCTGGCAGTGCTGGCACTCAGTCGAGAAGCAGCTCTTCTCTCAGCGCTTATCTTGACAGTGCCGGAACTGACTCTGCTACTCGGACCCGTACAAGTTCCACGGTGCCGTCTCGGGCATCTTCCCGTGTCTCACATGTCGCCCCGAGGGCAAGTTTAAACAACACCAGTAGCTATTCCTCTCGGGCTTCTGAAAGTTCCGCGGTGAGCACTACGAGCACTGCTAGCGTGGATGAGCTCGACAAACCCGCGTCATCTCAACGATCGCTGCGCCGTTTGAGCAGCCTCCAGGCTCCCTCTATCGCTCCTCGCGCCAACAAGAGCGCCATTCTCAGGGCTCAAAAGATGGCGGCAGAGGCGGCCAAACCAAAGAGCCCTTGGGCCAATGCTTCTAAGCGGTAGGGGTGATGTACACTGCTCTACTGAGACGACAGTTACGGGATTGAACAACCGGGTGGGACTGACGTATGAGTGGTGTGTGGTTATTATTTTATGCTTCATTTACGTGAAGGCATCCCGCCTTCTGGTCTTTATTTCAGTATATATCTCGTGTGCACTATTTCTCGTTTCATACTGCTGCGATTCCAGAACATACGCATTTATCCCTCTTGTATATCATATCTTCACTTGCGTCTTTCACAGGTCTATGCTTCTCTTTCTTACCCCTCTTTGATTGTTTCCTTGTTTTTATGGTTTCTGGAACGATTGCATGCTGGTCATGTGGCCCCATATGTCAATATAAATAAACGACGGTGTTTCGATACGACATGGAGCGCTCAATCTCAGATCGCAGAAGTTCTTCTGGCGGGTGGGCTTGGCTTGCAAGCAGGTATGCAATCCCGCTATTGTCCAGTTCAACTCAGACTTTATTCTACAGTTTTTTTGCCTTATCTTACCTTGTCCTGTTGTTAATGAAGCAAACCTCCACGCGGCGCCGGCGCAAGCGTGCTACGTTGCACGATAAGGCATGCATGCTCGAGTCCCTTCTGATCGGGCGTGCCGTGCATGAGTGAGGAATCACAGGCTCAGCTCTTGAGATCTAGGCCCAACTCGTTTGGGTAAGACTTGAATTTAGATTTGGTGTGTATACGAATCTAGGTTGATAAACTTATTTTTGCATCCGCAGTATTCAGATCTCATGACACAAGGCGTAGGTAGTTTGCGTATGCCCATTGCCCAATGATAATTTATTGAGGACGGCGACGACCGCGCAACACGTGGGGTTTGTCTACACCGCAGTCATTGCCATAGTTCTGATATGATGTTCTGACTAGTAACACTGCGCAAATTTGATAAGCTCCTTGTGAGGTTATAAGGTCTATACGTGTTTTGGATGTCCACCGCCGCACTGCTCTAACCATGGTCCCTGCAGTTGAAGGTCGCCTTGCTATCCCTCGTCATCTTCTCTATTTCTTTATTGTCCTCACTGCCCTCAGGTGGTTCATTAAGAACAGACAGACCAAACCTTCCCTTCCTCCTGGCCCAGTGCCAATCCCATTGTTAGGGAACATTCTATCTATCAACACCAAAAAACCTTGGTTGACTTACACTCAATGGCATGCTGTTTATGGTATGTGGAAAGACAGTTTACGTTTTGTAGTACAAATAATTCTCTCAGGGGACTTGGTATTCGTGCGGATTCTAAACCAGGATGCAGTGGTGATCAATTCACAGCATGTTGCGCAAGCCTTACTGGACAAGCGCTCTGCCATTTACTCCGATCGACCATACATGGCCACAGTCGAGCCGTGCGTCATCCTAATATCCATGTTTTCAATCCCTCTGACGTTTATATAGAAGTGGCTGGTCGATCAACTTTGCATTCACAGGGTATAATGATGAATGGCGTCGTTGCAGACGACTCTTCCACCAAACTTTCCGTCCCGACTCTGCACTCAAGTTTCGTCCGATGCAGATGAGACAGGCTCGGGAGATGATCGTCAACCTAATTGATGACCCTCAACATTATCATTCCCACTTTGCAACGTCGGTCGATGTATTTGCAAATATCGAGTGATTATTAACTTATCCACAGGTTCACGTCATCGATCGGGATGTCTACTATATATGACTACCAGCCCGGGGCTCGTGATGATCCTCTGGTTCAAATCATAGAAAATGCACTGATTGTTAGCCGTGACATGATAACCCCAGAGAGAGCAGTATTGCTCGAGGCTTTCCCCTTCTGTAAGCTCAGCGTTCTTTCTCATGGAAAGAGTTGACATTCTGTCCCGTCATGCAGTACTGAAGTTACCTGACTGGTGTTGGGGATCCTCAATCAAACGCGATGCTCGAGCTTCAACTAGTCACATGAGGGAAATGACAGACGTGCCGTTTCGGTATACGCAGCAGCATATGGTGGGCCTGTGTTAGTTTAGTCCCAGATACCGATTTTATGCGTGCAAAGGCCGACAGCTTGACATTTGGACATTTGTCAATGGTGGCAGAACATTTACGACGGATGGAGAAGCAAGATGAGGCATCCAAACCAATGTTTGAGGCTGCTTTGAAGAAAACCGCTACTACCGCTATGATAGGTTCGTGACCTTTTATGAGGGACGTTATGTTCTTGACAAATGCATGCTATGCAGGTGCATACGAGACGGTCAGCAGATGTCCGAAACACGTTGTGTGCCGCTCAACTTCTTCACAGACTACTTCAACCCTGATGGCTTTTGCTCTTGCTATGGTGTCTTACCCAGATGTTCAACGACGTGCACAAGCAGAGATCAACTCAGTGATTGGAAGAGATCGCTTGCCTACATTTGAAGACAGAACATTACTACCATACGTCGAATCAGTTCTGCGGGAGACTTTGCGATGGCTGCCTGTTGCACCCCTTGGTAGTTTTCCCCGCTAATTGATCTCGCTTTCACTGAAGACGGTCTTACAGGTGTACCACATGCTGCCTCGAGTGATGATATATACGATGGCTATTTCATTCCAAAAGGTCTGCTGTTTTCAACGTCCAAACAACGAATCATTTTCAATATTTCACATCAGGAACAACCGTCATATACAATACATGGTCAGATACTATGATTCTCCCCAGCTTTCAGGATACTAATGTTACATCACAGGTGCATTTCACGGGATGAAAAGCGGTACCCTGAGGCATCTCGTTTTATGCCAGAGAGGTTCTTGGACGTTAACGGAGCATTGACCGATGATGACCCTGCGGGATATGTTTTCGGCTCAGGCCGGCGTGCATGTCCAGGTTGGTCGAGTTATCTTGTTGTCGTGTGATATGTAATGAGATTTTCTTTAACCAGGCCGGTACACTGTTGATGCCACTCTATGGTCCGTTATTGCGACCATGTTGGCCACGGTCGAATTTTCTTTTGCCAAGGATGACCAGGGCAAAATGATCGACTTCACCCCGCAGTTTGCGACGGGATTCACTCAGTATTTTATTTCCTTGTCATTCTATCCTCCTATCACTAACAGTTTAATCGTTTTAGCTCCGTCATGGCCTTCCCTTGTAATATTTCACCACGTTCTCATATCCATTCAGAACTTGTGGATCTTCTCTGAACTGGATTGTAGTATGTATACAAAGAATCGTCTGTCAGAAAGTAGGTTCCGACACAACAGACTGCCTCAGCTGTAGTGATACGAAGTGTGTATTACTATTCAATAAATCGAGTTTAATCTGGTTTATACAAGGGTAATTGGACGAGTCTGTCCTATAGCAGACCTGTTCTTCCCTCGGGTCTTCCCGTGTCTTTGTCTTGGGCCTTGCCCTATAGCCCCTGCGGCTTTTGCCCTGTGCACTCCTATCGTCCCTGTGGCTTTTGGCCTGTGCAAACCGGCATGACAAACATGCCGAGGGCAATACTCATTGCCACCTCCTTTAGTGGAGTTGACAGTCTATGTCTAGCGAGACGGTGTCGAATTGGCTCTTTGCCTTTTCTCACTCGAGTTTCTCGTCTCGCTAGGTACGCTGTCTTTATTCACTGTATGGCCTTTTCTCACTCGAGTTTCTCGTCTTGCTAGTATAGCACAAATTTGCGAACCCACCCTGTGTATTTTCCCTCCCGTTGTACGATACGTACTTAGTGTGTGGAGCTGTTTGTCTCCCGAATCCATGGGGTCTCACCGCTCTCGCGGCCGGGTCCCTTTTTTGCTGGCTATATCCTCGCTGTCTGCGATCCTCGAGACTTAGCGAGGACAATTAGAATTCATGTAACCGGCTCTCGTATAGACTTGCGACCTCGGGACGTCTTAATTGCCGGACTACACGTGAAAACCGTTCATAGTCACGTGGTTTACGTGCGATGGAGAGTGAGTCCAATTTCGAAAATATGGTCATGCGAAGGGGTCGCTCTGTCGGAAATCGCAGGTCTCGCGAAGGGGTTGCTTGAACTTTGAAGGAGCAGTCTCGAGGTACGTACCCTATTCTCACATGTGGAAGTGCTGCTGCAACTTCAAGGCAGCAGACATTTGCTCGCGTCTCGGTGGTACAGACTGTGAGAGGTCTTTTTTGATGCAGTGATGCAGTGAAGGTACGTGCTTCACACAGATTATCCGTTTTCAGTCCCCTTCTCACTTTCAAACAGCGTTAATAATAGCTGGACTATCCAGATTTATTTAACAGTGACAAAGCTCATTTCCTGTGCCTCCTGGATCTGCAAGACACTGAGATGTGACAGTCCATATTTATGTTGACCTCTCTGAACTCTCTGACTCTGGAAATTTCGGTTCAATCATATGATTCAATAGTTGTTACATGTAGTATGTATCTCAAGCTCTTCTCAAGTTCACTCAGCAAAACTTTCACTTCTTACCAGTGTCCTTTCCTCCATCATCCTTTGCTTCATCATTCTTGACCCTGTCATCCTCCCAGTTGGACTTGCTGGCATTGCTGGTGTACAGGTCCATCAGGAAAAAGGGTTATTGCTATATTAGCTCATATAGCGCTATATATGAATATATAGCGTCTATAGACATCATAGGATCTAAAGCAATCCCCCCCTCTATAGAGAGGACATATAGTCACATATAGTCAACTTGTGTAGCCAGTAGCACATTTATGCATATATATTCAACTGCCAAAATTTGGAGGCACCTCAATTTTTTTCCCTTTACTTCGCTATTTTTCTGCTGTATTTGCATTCATATTCACTTTTCACATCAAAAAAAGCAAGAGCAAAGACAAATCAATTCAAACTATAGTTAATCATAGTGACTAAAATTTGGAATTAACTACTATGCCTTCCCCTGCTTGGTTACCTTAGCTGCTGTCTCTAGGGCTGAGAAATCAAATATTGGAGTAGGATCAAGAGTTGTTAGAGCAGAGCAGTGTGGCCTTTCCTGTATTGGCACTGTTAGCAGAGTCTATAAATGTGATAATCATGGACGCACCAGAGCCCCTCCTTCAGCTCATCCCAGACAGTCTCAAAATAAGTTGGACATTTGTTGGAAAATTCAGTGAGCAACTGCATAAAGGTCTCCCACCTGTAATAGTACATTAGATACGCCAAAATAATAATAATAATAATAATCAAACCAAGATTTGAAGTAACATTCTGAGAAGTCTACTGGTGATCCTCTTTTCACTCCAAGGAGGACACACTCCACCTACAATCATCATCAGTCACACACTCAAGCATGAAGGATGGTCACTTACTGCGCAAGCGATAAGAGCCAGGATAGGAAGATTATCTGTGTAGGCATTTCCCTTCCTACTGCACCTCCTACCTTCACCTTTGGGACCCCACCACTGAGCCTCCAGTAGTACTCTGAATGCTGGGTTTTTGAGTGGCGCCTGTGCGTCACAGGTGAGATTCTGGATATATGAATGATCAGTATTAGTCCTGCTCTGCTTTGGTCCAAGTTGAAGACTCACCCTTACATCCATGCCACCATTCATAAACCTCATATCATCCAGCAACCACTTCAAAGCTTCCTGGAGGTCATCATCAGTCCAGTCTGAGCCTGCGCCAACTCCAAAACAGGCGGGAATACTAATTCTGGCTTTGGCGATAAGCTCTCCCCTTATCTGAGTGGCGCCTTTCCATGTCTGCAAGAGTACTAATCAGCTTATAGATATTAGAAAGAGAAAGTCACTTGCATAGTCAATGAGCTGAGCCTTGAGGGCGTCATCACCCTGTAACTCCTTCATCTTCTCCCACAACAACTTGTCTTGCTTGGAAGATTCCAGGATGAGGTCCCAACACAGCTGGTCTCTATCAGAGGAGGAGGGAAAGCCTTCTACTGTGGCGACATGGAAATGTAGGGCCTTGTGGCCAGAGATGGCAATGCATTTGGTGCGAGGGCTTTCCATATGACTGAGCATAGCTAACTTTGATACCTTTGATCTGGAAACGCTGGTCGTAATGCAAGGCTTCGCGCTCACTTCCACCTGGTGGTAGTAGTCTGTTAGCTATCTGTATCAAATCACAATGAACACTTTACCTCTTCACCAGAAAATTTAGTGTGCTCCCCTTCCACCCCCTCCATGTCTTCCTCCCCCTCCCCCCTCCCCCTTCCCTCCCTCTCCCCCTCCCCCTCCCCCTCACCCCTTCCCTCCCCCTCCCCCTCCTCCTCCTGGTACTCCTTGTCCAACTCATCCATGCCATCAAGTTCAGAATCAAGAATTGATTGTACCATACCACTATCTTGGGAGTCTGTGACAGGTGAGCCTGATCGCTCAATCCTCCTGACTTTTGACGGTGGTAACTGCGCATGGTGGTCATCTCTTTCATCTGCAGAGCCAGTGGACTTGTTATCTGTCTCATTAGACAGAATATCTGCTGCCCTCTTGCGTGATGCTATTGACAATGTATAAGCATACTTTATTTAGCGTGATCTGATGCTTACCTTTCTTGACATTTTCAGCTGCCTGAAAAGCTGCTGCGTTATTCTTAGCAGCGAGCTCCTTTAACAGGTTCCCCTCCTGAGCAGAAAGGCCACCAGGAGTCGCAGACTTGGACTTGGCCCTAGAGGCAGATGAGGAGGTATTGCTAGTAGAGATCGGTGGTGTGCTGGTGTTCTTGTTGGTATCTACTGCACCCTTTTGAGCCATGCCTCTACCTCTTCGTGCAGTTCCACGTCCTGTTCCATGTCTGGTTCCATGTGTTGAGGAGACTCCATTACCACGGATGGGGACAGATGAGCCTTGCCCTGAGGCACTTTTAGTGTTAGGCTAAGGCTGAGACATGGGTAGAAGAGGAGAGAAGGAATTGGAAAGTAAAGTAAATATTAGCAACAAAGAATTACATAAACTTCGGCTCAGAGCAAATAGATGCAGTTCTGTTACTGTTACCTTCTGTAAGATAAGCTCAGAGGCAATGCGGATAGAAGCTGCTTACTATGCCCTCAAAATATGGCGAAAGTATTCAAAGGAGTCTAAGTGGAATTGAAGCACCCATGATCCTTCCAACCATTGCGATTATCCTTCCACTTCTGAAACTCCCCATCTGAATGAAGTACCAAGGAGGCTCTTTCACCTAGGTAGTCCAAGTTGAAATGTGTTGTTTCATCATTATGCATCTCAACAACAACTCCCTGCTCCCTCATCACCAGTCCACCCCCTACAAAGCTACCGATGGGCAGCACTAAACATAGGTGAAAGTCCTTTCCGTCCTGATGACCTTTTGTGCAGACGTTGATGTTCACCACCAGAGACAAGAAAGGTTTTACCGGTGATCCACCAGTGTTGGGAAGAATATCAACGAGCTCAGCAAGAACAATATAGTCATCTGGAAGATAATGAGCTACCTAAATACATTATGCGTCAGAGAATGTACTACAATACTCAAAAATTGCTCACTGTCTGCTCTATCCACTCAAAAACCTCCCTTAGGTTATTCTGGATGTTGAGATACAGTTGCTCGTATTTGAAAGTTTCACATGACATGTAAGGCAGCGTTTGTGTGAGGTTAGTTCTGCCTGATGTAGCCACCAAATCATGAGGGTGCATGTCAGCAGGTGCCGTGTTGCCCTACTGGACATCAGTGTATACATATCAACGGTCATAAGCATGTACTCACTGAAAGACCATATCTATTCCAATGGCTAAAGTGAATGCAGCGAAATGGTTCATTTACTTCAGATTGTAATACGGCCTCAGGATCCTGGATCTCTTGAGAGATGGACAACACAGTGCGATTCTTGAACACCTCTAGGCAATCAAAAGCAGATTTCAGTAATGGTAAAAGGGTATCTCACATTGAAGGAGGCATGAAATTGCAGATGAACACTATGAGGCTCCCATCCAAGTTGCAAATTTCCAATGCTCCTGGAAGGATAGACATTGGAATCTTGATGTAGGTGTCCAGTTGTTTAATTCCAGAGGGGTAGAACATGGATAGCTGCCCCATACAAGACCTGTCAGTTGCATACAATTCCCAGACCATGAAAGCTCACCTTTGCCTTTAAATCTTCCGTGTCTGTGATTATTACTGCGTTCTCCTCAATGATCTTTTGCTGCTCAATAGTCCACAGCAAGTTCTGCACTTTGTCGCCATTAACCGGATTGTGTCGGTTCTCAGGAGCCTCACAGTCAAAGGCTGTCTCTATGGAAATCAACTTTGGGAGCGTCTTGATAGAGGTAGAGTTGTTGAAGAATTCAGGTAAGTGTGGTAGTCTTACAGCAGGTGAAGCCGTAAGTGCTGTTGCTGCACTGACATCTCCAATTGACCTGGTGATGCACCCCAGGCTCAGTGTCTCATCCCAGCAAGGGTCTAGACAACTTCTCCAAGCCGATTTGTGCTGAGAAGGGAGCTGGTAATTACTGAAACAGATATAATTAGATACCCGTGTGAACAGTGATAATATCATCCTTACTTAGTATTCACCCCATCAAAAAGGCGGTCAGTGTCCCTAATGCACGTCCAATCCACCTCTCTGTCCAGGGTTACAAATGCACCAGGCATGCTCAAAGGTAGGGCTTTATGCAGACGAGATATTATTGGTATAATTCTCCTTTCTATGAGAACCTGTAAATCGCTTTCTGTTCCAGTTTTTCAGGTACAGGAACCAACTGCTGATATGAGCGAGACTTACCGCAGGCATTTGGCCTTCTCAACATCTTGGTGATTTCCCAGGGCACGTTGGCTTGCATCCTAGTTACAGGCCATCACAGGTCTTTGGCAGCCACGAGAATTAGTAAATAGAATGACCCCCCTGCTGCCAAGTGCATGAACTTGAAACCCATGGCAATCCAGAACAGAAAGGTGTGAATGGTAGGTCTGTCCACCGGTAGGGTTTCATATAAATCGCTGTAATTAGTGGATAAATCTATCATACTAATGCCCATTTGATTAATGATTATGAAAGTCAAATGAATGTTTGAAGCGCACCTCTGGCATTTCATTGCTAGCTGCATGTAGTTCACCACGGAAATCAAACTCCACCCAACACCCTTTCCGCCCCAAACCTTACACTGGTAAGTCAAAGACGTCATAGTAGCACCTGACAACTGAATCTCAGATGCCACAGAGTGAATACTCTCCATCCACTGGGCCAGATCTGACTGAAGACCAGTATCCATGGCCGCAATTACCCCAATGAAGGCTTCTGCCGAGACATTGGAAGAACAGGCCGTTTTTTCTCCAATGGTCCACCTTCCTCCCATAGCCAAATTCCTGGAGTTCCTAGGGCAAAGTCGGTAAGGTTGCATCCGGTGAGATCCCTTGCCACCCGAAAGAGCACATCCACCTGCATGTTGTCTGCCTCCCACTGGATTGTCTTTGGTTGAATGTGGTGAAGGTGGGTTATGGCTGAGTAATCGATTAGCAAGAGCCACAGCTAGCTTGCTTTGCATGAGCTGCAGGGCATCCAAAACCAGAGAAAATTCTGTGTCATCTAAGGAAACTTGAATAGACATGAGCCTTGCCTCTTTGAACTCGTTGTTCTGGATGATGTGCGGGCAGTTCCTTATATGGTAGTGAAACATTTTGCAGTGATGCACGCTGGAATGACAAGCGGGAAATTCCCACACAGAAGCACCTTACCATTAAGGCCAGGTTGACTCACTAATGGTTATCGATGGAGTCTGGTAAATCTGTGAAAGCAACTCATCTTGATCACCTCGAACATCGCAGTTGTGTAGAAGATTTACTTTCTTTGTTGCTCTTGTTGATATGGATGTATGAGCATCTGTTGACACAAAACTGATTAGTACTAACCTTTTTTATGTGGGATTTGGGTTACTTGTTTGGTGGACACTCCACTAGACTGGAATGGAAAATGTTGCACTTCTCCCCCAAACTGACACTACTCTTCCAAATGCCAAAGAAGAGTTCAAAAGAGTTCACTATCATGTCAGTTAGACAATCATGCCTAGTTCGCTTTATTGATATCAGCCACCAGATGGGTTCTTGTGTCCATAACCTGGATGCAAAGGGACCACTCTGGGCAGATACCAAATATTGGGCTGCGAAGACCCTAAAACACTGCACCTTCCACAATAACAGACATTGCTCCTTGAATACATTTCCTCTTCTGAATGGCAGCATATCCATGCCATCCTTCCTCAATGAGGCCAATTTGCAGGCTGTCAAGCAAGCTTGCATCAACGATGGCCGATATTATGATCTGTTCACGCAACTCTGGACACTGTTTCTTCTGCATTCTGTAAACCTCACAGATGATACACTTCAAGAGATGGCGCAGAAGATACATGAAGTAGGCTGCAAAGTGATGTCAAATAAAGTGCCCAGCAAGAAGACACCGTCATCAACCGATATCCTAGTGCAGTCCCAGATAGAAACCCAGAGAGTGAATACTGTGCTTCTCAGTGCTTTGATGGAAGTTGCGGATGTTGCTGACCTTGACACAAATGCTGCTATTGCAATGAGTGTGACTAAGACACTTGTCACAGAGGTACGTGCATTTTGTTTTCAGGTAACACCCTACCGATTTCTCATTGCAGGCATGAAATCAAGCTGAAGGATTCATTGTGAGTCATTGGTTGAAGGATGTGTGTCCTTGGCTGTACAGTCCTTCCAATGAAGTGCACCTGGTTGAGTTTTGAACAAGGTGAGTTGGCATCCATTGCACCCGGATTTTGTGACTCATTCCTGGCGCAAAGACGTGCTTGTGGGTGGATCGGTACCTCACAGAGCTGGGAGTCATACAGCCACACAATTCTGATGATCCTCATTGCCGTTGGATAAGCACCGGTACCACATTCTTTCAAGCCAGATCAGGGGTGGCGGCATCATCCAAGACAAGCAGGATTGGCGCTCGCAAGCCGGATGTCACCCTTGTGACCAACGACTCACATGAGTGGTCAGATGTTAAATCTGTTATTGATGTCAAGTATCGCTGACCTGCACCAAACTAGTCTGGTGCATGGCTGACTAGCATTCTCATAAGAAGCCTGGCCCAGGAAAAGGACTTGCTTCTTTCTCCTCATTCTTCTGCAAACCCGGTTTACAGGAATGAATATTCTCAGAGGTTTATTCTTGGATTCAGTTTCATTTCGTTTGGCTTAAAAATGACTCAGCATGAACTTCTCACATGTCAGGTGACTGTGAAAATTATTTCCCACACAAGTTGTCCTGTGGGAACATGCAGGAAACCCTAAATACAAAGCACCGCACCAGTTCAGCCCCTAACAGAAAATGTAATAAACAAACACAAACATAACACATGGACTGGTACCTTACATAATCAGTGTCCGGACCTTTTCTGCTTTGTCATGAGAAATCACATGACTAACAAGTCAAGATGACTCATCTATATACCCAAGTGACTCAACGATCTGAAGTGACTCCCAAAGATTCAACTTAATTCAGTATGACTCACACTAGCTTATATGACTCAGTTTAACTGGAGATGACTTGACAGGAACTTTAAAGTACTGGTAGCATAGCCCTTAAAATTTTGTCTATATAAGAACCCCTTCTCTCTCAATAAAAGTGTGTTTTTTATCCCCCATTACTTGAGTGTGAAGTGTGACTGTAGCCAAACAACAGTGAGAGCTGTTGAAGATTGGTGAAGGTACTCTTCTGTGAGACACCATTAGTGTGAGCTCATCATCCTCCACAACCACCAAGCCTGGTACTGCCTCCATTTGTTTGTTTCTCCACATTCCTTCTTTTATTTTCCTACAACTTTTGTGTTGTCTCCTTAGTCCACCTAAGACTTTGCATAGCTTAGTGGGGGAGCTTTGAAGTTGATAATTGTGCGCTTGACCACACACATCTGAGTAGTGGTACTGAGCTAGGGTTTCATTGCCATACGGCTTTAGCTATTGAAAGGGGACTTGGTGCCAAACACCAAGGACGTCCATTCCTGTTTTCTGTTTAATACTCGAAGCAAGTTCCTTGACAGCAGGTTCAATAGTACTGAAAGTTCTTTGAGCATTGACTAGTCCTGACTAGTGATCCTACCTGTTTGCATTGTGGGAGTGACCATTGTAGCTTCACACGAATCTTTGTAGTAAGATTGCCATTGGGCATCTTTTTGGTACGAGAAGGTATATTTGTTTCTTTTGTTGTTTCCTGTTGTCCAGGCATTGTTGGATTGATCACTCACATTACTGACCTCACTAGGCACCATCTGCTGACAGTGGCTTAGGTATTGCTAATCAGCCACCCACGAACGACCACATTATCAGTCATTGGTATTTGTCTGAATCACTGACCGTGGAGATATTTGGTTTTATAGGTGTTTATCTATAGATCATCTATCTAAGAAGACATCGCCACACCGAGGCTCTTCTCAAGGCCTCCAAGGAGTACATGGTAGAAGTTTCCCGGCTGGTCTTCACCAACCAAGTGCATCGTTACTTCTTTGTAGGAGCTCTCTTGACTGGACCAGAAATGAGGATCACTCTTTTCACTCGCAGTTGTGGGGCCTTTTCTGAACCCATTGATATCTACGCCAATCCCGTCAAATATATGCAAGTCTTATCTTGGTTCATGCATACCGAACTTCGGTATCTCAGATACGATCCCTACTACCAAGCTCCCACTTCCACGGACAATCTGTCATTGTGGTTGATGAAGGCAAACAGTACCACAGAAGAAGACATGGTGCTGACTATGGTGCTTTCAATCATCTATAGTGGTATCGCCGGATTTGGCCGCACCACTTGGGTGATGGCAGTCGAGGCCCAAGACGGCAACTGGGGGTTGATCAAGAGACTTTGATTGTAAAGGAGGTTTGGCAGGTTGACCGTTTCTTACCAGATGGAGAGATCCATCAACTTTTGGAGGACAAGGAGTGCCTTCAAAAGGCTCGCATAAAATTAGGTGCGTTCTGAACTATCCATGCCTGCATCTCATTTTCATTTAATAGAGCAAGAAAAGATTCCCTGTCCTGACATTATTCATGACACTGAGGCTGAGAAGAAGTCACAGTTGGTCTTGTTCAAGAGATGGCCCAAACCTGTGTGGGATGATGAGGACAACGAAGGTTCCTACCCCAGACACCTGCCTATTTGTGATCAACGCATGTCCACACACCCTGTCATGATGATCGACTGTGATGGGGCGCGAGTACCAGACAGTGTTGCGAACATCATGAAGCCCTTGTCCGCGGAAATCTATCCCCTTGTACACTATCAAATCGTCTTCAAGACCAATGCAGTCAGGTGTACCTGGTTCTCCTGTTGCCGGGAATTCTTCTCAGGGTTGATAGGTGCTTTGAAGGGTGAGTGCACGTCTCAGTCCAAAATTTCAGAATGCTTAGAGTCCACAACCTAGGTTATCTCAATGCTTAGTTACGTGGGTTGATCCACCATTGTGTTAGGGAGTGTAGGCTTGGCCTAGGTTTGGGGTCTGCTGGGGGTGCCAGGGGTCTTGCCTGGGCCTCGAGGCACTTAATACTTATACCAAAGCATGTTTGTAGCCAGTAATCCATCCCATCCATCACCGTTTTGCCCTTGTGTCTGGTTCGAGTCTGTTGCCCTTGTCTCAGTATGCCCTAATCCAACGCCACTTTGAGAACTTCATGTCATGCTCAACAGTGTCCACTCAGAGCTAGGATTGCTGGATGAAGGCTTGGAAATGGTTGTTATAAGGGAGGATATCTGGAAAAGACCCATGCACCTAGGAATCAGCAAATATGCATGAGGATGCAGACTGCAAATGGAGGAGCCCAAGAGATGGGAGGATGCGTCGAGATGTTAGAAATAGAAGTTGAAGGCATCAAAAGTTGGGTGCACACTTATGTCATACCAGACGCACCCTATCACCTGCTTTTGGGACACCCCTGGCAGAAACTCGTTTGCCTTTCCAAGGTCGAAGACACAGACAAGGTATATATCATGATCCAAGACCCTATGAATAGTTCCAACACTTGTACCATAGAAACTCTCCCCTGTCCTTGGCCGCATCCATCCCTTGCCCTCACCACTGCAGCCATAATCATTCCAACTGATCAGCCAGCTCTACCCGCCCTGCATATCCCACCGACCAGCTCAACAGATATTTATCACACAATCAAATCAACCAATTTGACCGATATATATCACACCACCCTACTGACCAGCTCAAAGGACATTTATCATGCAATCAAACCAACCAGCTCAACTGATATCTATCATGCCATCAATCCAGCCAGCTCAATGGATACATATTGTGCCATCCTACCAACCAGCTTGACTGATAGCTATCCTACCATTCCACCAATGAGTTCCACCAACATATCCTCCTACCAACAAGTTCCACCAACACATATCATGCAATCAAATCATCCAACACCTACAACACCTATTCCCATATCCCATCTCACCTTCACCTCCTTTGCCAAATTTCTTCTTCAATCACACTTCAAAATCAACCCAGCTCACTGCACTTTCGCCTACAAGAAGGTGGCCAACAAGGTAAAGCCTGTACCTATGACTGTGCCAGCACATGCGTGTATCATCTGTTGATTGAATGAAGATCCACTCTTCTCACTTTCTTCTTTATCTACCACTCCTCCTGAATTTCTTCCTGGCATCTGACTCACCTGAGAATGAATGAATGAGCTCAGGATCCTTCAAAATGACTTTCTCTTGCCCGAAGAATGGAAGCTCGCTGTACAGGTACTGATGAACAATGAGTTAGCATTGGCCTGGGACAAGTTGGAGAAAGGCCATTTTTGGGATGACTACTTCCCTCCTGTGATTATCCCTACCATTGAGCATGTACCTTGGGCACACCGTCAGCCTCCCATTCCTCCAGGTATCAAAGAAGAAGTAATCAAACTCATCAAATCAAAGATCATGTCCAGCGTTTATGAACCGTCAAACTCATCCTATCAATCTTGCTGGTTCTGCATTGCGAAGAAAAAGCAGAGCTGTTCAAATCGTGCATGACCTCCAACAGCTTAATTCCATCATGGTCAAAGACACTGCAACAATGCCTTATGTCGAGTTATTCATGGAACAATGCACAGGCTGTTCAATTTACTCAATGATGGACTTATTTGTAGGATTTGACCATCGAGCCTTAGCAGAGGAGTCTCGCAATATCACAACCTTCCAAACCCCTCTTGGCACTTATTGTCTCACAGTCCTTCCCCAAGGCTGGACTTATTCCCCCTCTGTCTTCCAAAATGACATCGCATTCATCCTTCAAGCCAAAATTGAAATTGTGCCAAACTTTCAAGATGACATCAATGTCCTGGGACCCTGCACACAATATGAGCTTCCTGATGGCTCATAAGAGCTCATTTCTGAGAACCCTGGCATTAGAATGTTCATTTGGGAACACTGTGTGGACGTCAATTGAGTCCTGTACTGTCTTAAGCATGCAGGAGCCACCATTTCCGCAAAGAAACTGTTTCTATGCATTCACAAAGTCCTCATCATTGGACAACTCTGCAACTATGAGGGACACATCCCAGACAAGACCAAAGTCTCGAAGATTAGGAACTGGCCACCCTGTACAACACGAACCGAAGTTCGTGGATTCCTCAGCACTGCAGGCACAGTTTGAAACCGGATCAAAGACTATGCCAGGATTGCAAGACCCCTCACGAACCTTACATGTCTCAACACTCCTTTTGTGTGGGATTCATCCACACAAAACACCATGGACTCCCTCAAAGACGCAATCATCCATTCTCCTGCAATTCACCCCATCGACTACTCCTCCTCACTCAAAGTCATCTTAGCAGTGGACTTGTCTCATATAGTGTCCAGATGGATTCTTTTTCCAAGTCAATTCAGAAGGTTGTCATTGTCCCTCAAGATTTGGTTCCATTACTTGGAACGAGCATGAGTCACAGTACTCTCAAGCCAAAATTGAGCTATATGAGTTATTTCGAGCCTTGTGTGCAGCAAAGATATGGCTCATAGGATTTAAGATCTTCTCCATCAAAGTGGACACCAAG